AGAGAGAGAGAGAGAGAGAGAGAGAGAGAGAGAGAGAGAGAGAGAGAAAGAACGAGACTGGGTTGCGTCACAGTGTGTTAATAATACACCAAAAAAAATAAGCAAACACATTTTCTATAGTGTATTTAGACACACACACAAAATAATAATAATGTTCGGGGAATTCACGAACTATTTAATTTGATTAAATTTGTTTTTTTTTTCGCTTTTCATCCGATAGATAATTGCGAAAAGATATTTTAAACTCGTTTTTAACAAGCACTTGAAATTCTGAACTCATTACATATTGTACACGAAATCACTGCAATCGAATTCACAACCCGATTCTTTCTGCGTGCTTTTTTTTTCGTTCGTTCACGTTTCACCACAAACAGATGCACTGCATAATTTTTACCTTTTTCAATGTTTTGTACACAAATAACCACTGTGCTCTATGCCACTGTTGCTGTTACCGCCAATTTTGCACAATTTTATTATCATTAAATCGAATTTGCCGAGCAAATGCTTCGTTTTTTTTACTTCCTTCGGTTTCGCACTTCCAAAATTCTAACAATATGTTACCAGTTATGAGGCGTATGTGTAACATGCAACAGCAGTTCTCGCTCGCGTAATTCAACTGAATTGTTTTGGTGGACGACGACGACATTTTTCCTCCATCAAACCAACCACACACATCCTCTGCACGAGCAAATTGACATTCGGAACACATTTAAAAATACGAATAGTAAACGGTTGTGCGCCTGTGCACCAAAGGCACTCATTGTTACTATTGAAACGTGAAATCAACTTCCATACACTGTTGCTGCTTTATGTAAATAATAAACGAAACTAGAATCTACTTTATGGAATAAATACACGGTCGTCATCTTCAATGGATGGAACACACTGAGAGCACAACATATTGTGTTGGGTATGTCGAAGAAAAATAGGGCGAAAAAAAATTCGACGAGATAAATACTTTTCAACTCGCTCAGCATTTATCTCGTGGCATGAATGGGAGTCTCTTCGTTGTTGTTTTTTTTTCTGTTCTAATGAAAGTGCTTGTTGAAAGTAATTGTCGTTTTATTTTTCTGCGAAGAAATAATACGCTGAAATATGACTCAAAGATGAATTACACTCATTGCATAAGATACCCATAAAAAAAAACTTCTGATGATGACGACGATTGTAACACTTATCATAAAGTGATATATGAAAGGCATTTTTTTAATTTGACAAAAATCACAAGATTTACTAGTTTCTTATCAAATTTATTTATTTGTTATGACGACCATGAACAGTTTTCGGACTGATAATTTTTTGTAACGTGTAGAAGCAGCCTATAAAAATACCAATTCAATCGATTAGAAATCAGTCATAAAGTCTCGCTGAAACAATGGCAGTCAATAAGTGTGTTACACGTAATTTTAGTAGAATCGCAATTTTTGCTCAACTCTTTAGTTTTGCGACAGCATCATCCGTGGTTAATTTTGCAAATCCTCTGACCGATCCCTGTTTTGGTCATAAAGTATGGCCATTCGGTTAAACTATTTTTCATAACCAGCCACCAATTTATTGAATATCATCGGATTTTTAATTTTTCTTCTCTTTTTGTCATAAGGATGGACGTGCACGGTCTATAGATATAGATAGTTCCTTTGCGGAATGCCGTACATATTTTGAATGCATTAATGGTATGAAGACAACAGAGGAACCCTTCATGTGTCCATACGATTTGCCATTCTTTGATGCGCAAATTGAGGACTGCGTTAAAGATTCCGGAGCGTGTTTCTCATGTTCATCGAATTCAGAGTACGAACTGTTCCCCGTGCCGCATGCACCAAACCAACTCGTTCAGGTTGACATTTGAAAATAATCACTTAAATTAACATTTTAAATCTTATAATTTGATTTCGATTGTCTTGACTCGTTCAGTGCTTTAGACACAAACCATTGCTGATGGCATGTGCCGATAATTTGGAATTTGATGCTCGCATTCGGGAGTGCAATGTAAAACAGTTATGTCGAACCAAGAATTTCACTGGAAAACGGTGCCTAAGTGGTGGGCCATACTATGAAATTGATAACGACGATCCAACGGTGTAAGTTTGAACAAGTTTTACTTTAAGTGTTAGATGCATTTGAAAATAGCCAAACTGTATCTCGATTTTTTACAACTTCATATATACATCAGTACGAGGGGCTTATGTGTAATGCAAGTCTCACGAGTCAATACGAAAAATGTAGGCAACTGTGCGAGTCTTTCATATAAGTTTACGAGTCAATGTTTCTTCAGAAAAAAAATTCAACCGACTCGCGCTGACTCGCTTTGATTCATAAATTCGTTATGAATACGCTGTGCTTTCTGTTGTAGAACTCGCGACACAATTCCAACGGATTTGTGCGAATCAATACTGGCTTGCGATGACAAATAAGCCATTCGCATCAGTAGTTTGATATTTTAGTTCATTTTGAATTAAACAACTTGAACCGTTTCCCTTTCTACAGATACTACATTTGCTGGGATGAATGGAACAGTCTGTGTGCCCAATGCCCTTATGGCCTACAATTCAACACATTCAAAGAAACCTGTGAATTTGCATAGAAGACTCTGGAACAACCAACACGATTTCGATTTCGATTTCATATTTAAATATATTTAGCGAAATTTTAAAAAATACAAAGTCATATTAGCTTGAGATGTTACAAAAGAGAATATCATCGTGTTCAGCCGATAAAAAATGCATTGTTTTCTTCATTTTCGGAATTTATTTGACTGGTTTCATTTGCCAAAGACCATCGTTTAGGTAATGACAGTTCTCAACGCCGACACCTTTGTTAACTTTGGCTCTGTTTAGAGAGAGAGAGAGAGAAAAAAAGAAACGAAATAAAAGAATTGGAATTTCCACTTTTGCGAGTTTGAAAAGACTTTTTTTTCTGAAAGAAATGATTTCCTTACATGTCTTCGGTTGAGAGGCTTGTGAAGCCGATAGCTAGTGCATGTTGTTTTCCTTCTGCCATAATAGCGACGACCGTACCCTTATCTACCGGTGTCATGCATGCACCTGGCGATGTCAATCCCGGGCACATAATGTTGGCTCCACTCAGAACGAATCGAATAGCACCTTTGTCGACTTGTAGCATTGGCAAAAAGTATGGGTATTTATGCAGTAGCCGCAAAGTCGGCATCCATGGACCTTCGCGATGTCGGAAAAACAGCTGATCGCCGGAACTGTTGATCAAAATTTCGATATGATCTTGGCATTTCACAATTTTGAATGCATCCTTCTTCGGCAGGATTTGATCAACGTGCGTTTCGATGTGAGGAAATTGTTCGATTAATTTCGTACGAATACCCTTTTGCACAGATGACTTCAGCTGTTGAGTACCCGAAATGTTCTCTTTCTCGTCGAATCTAGTTGAAACAACAAAATAACACGGTGAATGAGCGATTGATGTTGAAAATTATATCTTAAATGAAGCTCAGAGGGAAAAACTTACTTTTTGAACATTTTTCTACAAAATTTTCACAAAACTTTTCGATCTGGTATTTCTTTGCACAATTTGCAGTTGTTGGTTTGTATGTTTGACGTTTACAGTGACGACGGCTGTCAATTGCGAGTCGGCTAAAATATCACGAGACAGTGTCACTAAGTGTGAGGTTAGGTGCAGTTAGATTGGAAAAATGAACCACAGAGAAATATGAATAACAGAGCTCGAAATGGGCAATATTCATTCAACACAATTCAAAGTATTTATTCCTTATTTATATCCAATAAATGCTTGCATTTCTTATATGAATTACTTCAGTCTTTTTATTTGAATGGTTTAAGCTGTTAAAATTGATTAATTTGCTCGAGGAATTCGGTTGTTAAGTATGAACGTTAGAAAAATTCTAAATATTTTAATTGAAAAAATCTCAACGTGAGAAGAAGAAAAATCCCAGTGGGAAAATGAAGATTCCTCCACAAATGGTAAAGAACTTACATTTCACAAGTGTGCGAGTCTGCTATGATTAAATCAATCTTAACTCTAAAAATAGCATACCTAATCGACCAATGAAACCCGCAAATCATTTTAATCTCATTTATTTCAATCAGTATATCAATGTCCAACAATCATAACTGTAACAAATACAAATTCCATAATTTTATCGGTAATATTTCATTGATAATAACAATTCGCTGAAACAAAGTGGATAAAACATAGGCTATAGTTAAAATTTGATTCTAGTTTCCTTCTGGTTTTTTTGGTTTTTCATTTGAATCAGTTTTTGTTTTCTTTTTTGGAAGCCATTTGCAAATTTATTAAACATTAAATTGGCTTAAAATATCAAATCTATCAATTAGAATATTCACTGGCAGTTAACAGTCATTACGGTTCTCAATAGTAAAATGCAATTCAATAAATTCAGTATATATGTATATATATATGAGTTTTGTGTTCAATATTTAAACAGCAGTTTCATGGTCAGTTTCCTCAATACAGCCCAAGCGCCATGAGTTTATGTCTCCTACTGCAAAAAAAAATGAAATAAGCAAGTATAACATGTATTTATTTGCCAAAGCGGTAATTTTCTAATTTAAACGAATCAAGAGAAGAAGATAATTTTTTCAAATGGAGATAGAAATAGAGGGATATACAAAAGATTCAATAGAAAAAGGCTAAATAAATAATTGGATAGCTATGTAATGGAGAGAAAAAGAATACAACACAACACAACAGAAAAAAAAAACAACGAAAGTAGAGTAAGGTCAAGGTGTGAATGGAGTTAAGACTCACCGTAGTAGTACTTCGATATCGAAATGCCTGTACGTTAAAAATGGACAATAAAATCACACATCATCAACGGAAATGAAGAAGGAAGAGATAAATTAAATACAACAATAAATAGAGAGCGAGCAAGAGAGGTAGATAGAGAAAGAAAGGCAGAAGATTATATAGATACAGCGTGTTTGTTGATTTTGGTTGTTGTTCTTTTATTGAATTTAATTAATATAGAAAGCATTCACAATAAATCAAATAGGCAAAAACAATCGAGAAAAAAAAACAAGAAAAAAAATAATACCAAAACTCATAAATGACAACATTGCGCGGCGTAATTTCATTACTTCATACATATCTTCATGGGTCACCTTAATCAATTGATTGTGTAATTGAATTTGTAAATTGCAATTATCGTAATTAAATAAATAGTAGATTTTAAATCGTTCGAAAGAAAAACATATATGCCCTTTCGAAAAAAAACATCATACGTCAAAATGAATTACGCTTGTCTCATCCTTTTGATTATTATCACTTAATAAATTTGACGGGAAACGAGAGACCAAAAAAATAAATCAGTCGACTATCTATAAATAAGGTTACGTTTTTTTTAGGAATTGATAATTGTCCATTATTCTCTTCTTTTTTCCAATTCGTCATATTACATCTAAACTAATTGTTTGTAAATTATTGTATCATCCAATTCAAAGACGAATTATAAACGCAACTGGGGCAATTTTTTCTTGTAATACTCTATGAGAGGTGTAGCCTCAAATACAAGTGAACGTTTTGTTTTTGTTTTATCGTTGAGATTTCGAATCAACCAATTAAATTCTGAATGAATTTCATTTTCGATTGAAGAAATTTTAGGATACATATATGTGTCTATATTAGGATATGACCAGGCGGCGGATATTCTTTCTTTCTTTTAAATACACTAAATTTAAGCAATTTTCTTAGTAAATACGTCATTTTGTGAATGAGCACACCAACATTAAATCAATGAGCAAGATCAACTTAATTCCTAGACATTTGCATCAGTTGGTTTCAAGCAAAAGGGAGAAGGAGAAGGGCTATGTATATTCAACACGGAGACGTTTTGTAATCATGGTTTGATTTATGATTTGTCGAGAATGCTGATTGTTTCTGTAGCATATATGGCTTAGATTGGTGACGGCCTAGCAAGGGAACATGCTCATCTAAAATAGTTGTATTCGGAAAAGAAGAAAAAAGATCGAAAATAAACAAACAAATAATCGATTTTTTTTTTAAATACGTAAATGAACTCAAGACATACAAGCAATTGGGTGATTAATTTAATGGCATTTTAAAACTAAAATTAATTTAAACTTTGGTATTTCCATATCGGCTGTCTCTTCATTGGAAAAAGATCATCTTTTAAAATCATTATTTAGCATACGCATTTACATTACATTATTCAGTACGTTTGTTTGTTTTTTTTTTTTGTTGCTCAAATTTACATTACAATTTCAACGTTGATAAAAGGTAAATATATTTAATTGAGTCAACAGGGGAATCAACTTGTACAAATGAAGTGAGAATAATAAAATCGGTTGCAACTGTTTAAATACAAATTATGCGTGCTAGAAATGTTTCAAAAGAAAATACTTTTATTTGTGGACAGTATTAGATACGACACCAAAGAAACGAAATAAAATGTATTGCGATTGTGCTTACGCGTTGAGTGTTTGTGTTGTTTACCTTGCAATTGGCGGTTGATTAAAGCATTAATTCCCTGGTCATCAGCGCCGTTCATCTTGACTTGTAACATTGGTTTATCCTCACTGCTGCTCTCGTCATATGTCTGAATGTGACCATTGCTGTTAGACAGTGTCTCACTCACCTTTTTGTGTGTATGTGTGTGTGTGTTTCAGTGCGCACCATGACAAATGCAGAAATTATTTGATTAAATCGCAGTTGCCATTAAATAAATCCGCTTTAGCAAAAGTTTGTATTTTTTTTTTTGGTTTGGTTTTAGTTTACCTGAGTGACTTGCATGAGCTTCTTAACCACATCTTTTCCAAGTATATGATCAAACACCGTTTGCAGGAATGATTCGTTGATTATGGATAATCTAAGTTTGTCGCGGTGCCATATTAGTACACGTGACTCCTCCATTGCCATTATTGACACCTACAATGTAAATAAAACCATCATCATTTCGCGATTCCGTTTTGACTTTTGTTTTTGTTTGCATGCAACTACAATGACGACGACAAACAGTTTGGAAAAGTCCATAAGTATTAGCGACAGTTTCGTTTTATTTCTTTTCGTCTTCTGTTTTCCGGCGAAACGCAATCGAAACGGATTAAACGTTGACATTGTGTATTTTGCGAAAACAAGTAGTCTGAACTCTGTGTGTTGTACGTGTGTACATACGCGACTATTCATTGCAGACAAACGACTACTGCGACTCTAAGTACAACTAATACGAATTGAATTACTTTAGTTGCTTGAGTGGCTTTAATGGAAGGCAACGGTTATGCACGACTGAATGGAATTAACACACAGCAAAATACCTTAGAAATTAACTCAATGTCATTGCCAACTTTTTTTATCCGCTGTCGTTTGATCATTTTCGGACGTTCTGCTTGATGAATTTCAATTTGTACGTCATCCGCCAAAGAGGAAAAAAACAGGAGATTACTTTAAAGTGATCAATCACTATTGTTTGTTTTGATTGAATTTTTTCTGGGATAATATTTTCGTGTTGTTTTTTTCAGTTCAAAATATCGTCTAAAAACTTCTTCGTGCGAAGCTATTCAATACTTCAAATGAGTAAAAAGAAGCGTGTTTGATTTTCAATGTGAGAATAAGCCTTCACTCCATTCTTTGTCGTGTTTCTTAAACGCAGCCAAATTGTTTGTTCTTTTCATTATTGAAAGGTGCGAAAATTCAACTTTTAATTTTCATAATTTATTCTTCTTCTCTTCTATTCTTCGTGTTTTTTTCGATCCTCTGTGTTTTGTGTTCGTCTCATTTGCGGTTTCTTCTTTCATTCTACATAATCACACTGTTTATATAAGCGATTTGATAGAATTTACCTGAAAGTAATCATCGGTCGAGACGCCAAACCACTCCGGTGAGTCTAGGAATTGATGCTGGAACACAATGTGCAGGGCTCTTTGGTTTTGTGACACAACTAATCTGCATATGCATGGAACAGAGACAAGCGAATAAGTGTAAAATTCTTGGTAAAAACATGTGAAAAAAATGCTATAACGGAATTCAACCGCATGGTCTCGGGAATTTGCGAAACAAATTGAACACTTTTTCAAAACTCTATTTCGAAATGTACAGAAATGTGTAAATTGGTTCGCGCATCCCAAACGTGCGAATTGTTGTGTGCTGCACAAATTATGTTGTACAATGTATAACATGTGCTTACTTTCCCGATAGTACAAGCGAAAGACTGTCAACTTTGGTAACTTTTTCTTGTGCGTAAATCTCTTGGTACTTGAGCGAACGAATCATCTTCATGCAATTTAGAATTTTCTTAAATTGATGTCGAGACACTTTTAGCGGTTTGAATAGGGCAACGTACACCTATTTGAAATATAAACGAAAGAGAAGAATAAAAAAAAACAATGTTGATTCATTTTGAACAGACATGCAATTTCAATGTACACAGAGCACACGCTCACTCCAAGATAGAAAGAGAGACAGAGAGAGAGAGAGCGCTAAATCGATAATTACCTCATCGATTTCCTTTTCAAAGTAAACTGGCCTCATTTGATACATCAATACGAATAGGTACGCCAAATTGACGATAACAAAGACGCCATTCCAAGCGAGCGCGTCCAGTGAACATTCGATTAGATAACTCCATAGTGTCATTAGTATGCTACCACAGACGAGAGCGCATCGTGCCAATAGAAACCCATAGGATTTGTGCGGTGATAGAAATGCAATCAAGAATAAGGCATTTGCCAATTGAAAATACACATGATACGGTTCTTGCCATTGTCCACACTTATTTGTTAATGCACTCAATGTAAAACCACCAAATGTATTACTAAAATAATCCGTGACCGTGCTTGTGTCAACAATGCTACCGGCTGCTACTTTGATCACCTCTTCGGTTGTATTGATAAAAATGTCTGGCGTTGGCGTTGTTTCTGCCATTTCTGCATTGAGCATTGTCTCTATCACGCCTTCGACACTCTCTATCCCATTCACATTTGTCATTCATTCAAAGAATTACACGCGATTCACGTTTATTTATACTTTTTGCTGTTGCTGTTTTCGATCTAATATCTTCATTATCATCGATTAAACATTTTGATATCAATAAGTCACGTTCTTATCGTTTATCACCCCATTGTCACTTGTTTTTGTTTTTCTCAAACTCACTAAAAATGAATGGAATTGAATTGAATTCACTTCAAAACAAAAATAATGTTGTATCTTTCGAGCACTGCACTGTTTGTTAAAAAAACACACACAGACTCGATTGCTGCGACTCACACTTTGTGACTCATCGGCACATCAAACTGAAATGACAAGAAGTTTTCGAACACTTTAGAGATTTCGTTATGGAATTTATAAACGACAACCACAAGATGAAAACAACAATGAAATACATATATATATATATGTATACATGGATATCTATACTGCATCTAGACATGATTCAGACCCGCTATCACTCTCACGCAATATCATTGTTCAAATAAAAATCTCACAGCATTAAATATGCGCACAGAAGGAAGATTATATGATTTTTTGTAAATAAAGTCTTTATCTTTAATTTGCTGAAATGGTCAATGGCTGAATAACAACAACGCCAATACCAACAACAACAACAACAACAAACCACTTTTCTTTTTCTCCGGCATGATGTCATAGGGCGATCATTAACACAATCACACTATTTCCGCTGCCATAAGACCGTCTTCCTTTGGTTGTTTGTGGTTTTAATAAACTTTAAAATTTGGCTCAGACAAATTGTCATTGAGCTGTGAGTTGGTTGCTGCCACTGCTTCGGCTGCTGAAGCGTAATATGAATGATAGAAGTAAAAAAAAGAGCCAATCAAATTGAGTTTGCAAGCAACCTACACACATAACGACATACCCAATTTTATTCTAAAAATGGTCATAAAAAGCTTAATTTTATTTTTGTGTGTGCATTTGTTATTTCGTCTATGTAAGCGAATAGGATGAACGTATCAAATTGAATCATGCATTTATAATTTCAGAGCGTGTGCCATGGAAAACTGAGAATGGGTATCGAACAACAAAAACATGACTGACACTGGATACACTGTCGTTTCAATGTATTGGCTCTGTATACGAAATACGAACGCACTATTTTTTGTTTCACTTTCCGTTTAAACCAAGACTGTCCTTTCGGTTTTTTTTGTTTCTCTCTGTGTGTCTTTCAAGTAACCCATATGTTAATTACAAAAACTTAAAATAGAATCTTCCATCGATGGAAATATTGCCAGTCCAACTGGAACAAATATACACACATTGTGTCAAAATATGAACGCTTTAAATGGAGATTTTTGTTTGAACACAATTTACAATCACATTTCGCAAACAATAAATTCGCGTTTTTTCCCTGCTGGCACAAAATTTACACATCAAACAAATTGAATATATCAACAACAAAAAAAAACCGAACAAAAAAACACACATTCTGCAATTTTACTGCAAGACTTACGAGAGAGTGAAAAAAACGCAGCAACGCTTTGCTGGTGCTGGTGCTGATGGATATAGAAAGAGAATAAAAAAAAAACCAACAAATGTGTGTAGTTGACACACAAATCACCAATGTGTCGTATGGAACGAACGAACTAACGTTGAACAACAAGCACACGGTAAACGACCAAACATTCGGCTTGACGTATCGAAACTGCAAAAAAATCATCCGATTCGATTACACTTTCGTTTTGAACCATGTTAGTTTCGTTCACCAAATTGGCAAAGAATATATACTCTCTGTCTCACACGCGCAAACACACGGGACGGAACAGAGAGCGAACGAGACAGTGTGTGAGTGTGTGCGTAGTCATGTCATAGAGAGCGCCGAAAGGGAACAATATAACATAACTTTTTTTTTCTTCTTTTATTTACATACGGCTCTTTCTCAACAGCTGGTTCAAACAAACAAATTAGGGATGAGATCAATCACTGTCTCACTTCGGCACATCGGCCCGTATGGATGCGTTGATGTCGATTTGTCTCTTTCGTTTCACGAGAATCATGTGGACACACATACAATTGCACAAAACAGACAACTAGTTTCGGTGTGATTGAAACGCCATCTCTATGTCATCGCTCACAACTGATGGGCTCGCTTTTAATAGCGATTTTTAAACGACATCTATTCAATGACTTATCGTTGAGTTTGCCAATGCAACCTGACAATTATATCGCATGACTTTAATTCAAAAATGTTTGTTCGGTAGGAGGAGCTTCAAAATGATTGTTTCAACACATGGTTCATCTCATGCTGTCAAAACAGGTACATTTTTTTGATTGTTCAAATATTGGATTTGTTTTTTTTTTTATAAACTCGTAATGGTCACTTTGAAGTTAGACTAAAAAGCAACATTTCTGGTGGGAATTTATTATTATTGTCGTTTAGAACTCGTTTTTTCCACTTTTAACCTTTGTTTTGACTTTTTGAATATCAATATTTAACTTTCGCACCACACTTAACTGGATCGCATTTCTGAATAATGTAAATTTTTAAGACCATGATCAACTCCATGCCTATGGGCCAGGCTAATTTAAAACCAAATCGGTCGTAAACAAATTCAACACAAAATATCAAACAAAATTGAGTTTTTTTCGGAATTGAAAATTCTGTTTAATTTCATTGCAGGGCAACATGTGAATCGTGAATGTTTCCTTTTTCAAAGGTGTCATTTCATTTCGTTTGCGGTGGGATCACTCAAGTGTATCTACTTCCGTTATTCCCGGCTCTTCTGATCCGTAACATACAAGCAAGGAGAGTCAAGTGGACGCCGAATAGACCACCTCACAAGCAAACGGCTCGACATTGACATTTTGATGATGCCGTGAAAGAGAAAGGGTGACGGCGTCTGTAAGTATTGCTTTTCTGTGTTTTATTGCCAGTTTTTATTCGAAACTTTTTTATAGATCTGATTGTGACAATATATCATTCCATATGAATCGCTATTTATTTAGAAATTCAACCAAAATTTGCTGAGGAATCTGGATATTCAGCCAAAATAAATCTTCAATCGTTTCAAAAGTTAAATCAAACAAAAATCACAGAACGAAATTGGCTGGATCTTTAGTTCACCATTGACAGAATTTTATCATCATTTCAATTGCATCAATTTTCCATTAAGTTTTATCAAATGTCCAAAGTCCATTGGAATGAATGCAATTTCTGTTCATTCATATGATTCGATTTTAAGATAAATTTGGCTCTGAATTGGATTCATTCCACTGTTAGGTTATGTAGCATAAATCACAATCGGCGCATGCCTTAACAACTGTTTAGTATTTACTGTTTGAAACTGATATGTTATCGATACTTCTTTCGGCAAATCTGGTTAAAGAAATTACGTCTTATTTACGCATGCATTTGGTTTGTGTATGATTGATGTCTTCAGTGCACTTGACTCTTTTATTTACTCGGCAAACATGCCGAAGATTTTTGTAGACTCAAGAGAACCTTTTGTCAAGTGTTGTTTATTCAAAGGATGTATATAATTGTTCAAACATTAAGCAGATCGTCTTTTTTTCTGTCTATATTTTCAGAGATCATGGATAATTTTTCTCCGTTTCAGAGATTGAGGCGTTGTCAGTTCAGGATGTGATTTCGACAGCAGCAAAATAATCACAGCTAATTTTCCAATCAAAAATTGGCTATCCGTATTTCCCGATATATTATTTGCGTGTGATTTATAACTTCCTATCGAGCATTTGCGATTGCAAGTGGAAAGAGTAAGTGCAGACAAGCATTTCCCTTTTCGAAATTGTCTGCACGACATTGATTTCAACCGTATTTTGGTTTCGAATATACAATTTTCTCCCATATCTCTCTCTCGCTCTCGTCTGCTTTGGCCATAAATTCCCAAATCATTTAATTTGTTTCGTTAATTGAAAAATATCCTTCTGCCAATTGCACAGTGCAATTACTTACGCTGGGCGAGAATAGCCGAACGGAACAACGCAATATTATATTGAAACCGGAATGGGTGTTCAGAAGAGCAAAACCGTTCCGCGCAAACTTCGTTTCGTGAAATGTAATACACATATCATAAATTGCGTGTATTTTCCATTTGCTCATTTACAGTCCAGTCAATGCAGTTGAACACGATTGAATCGAGAAAAACTCTTTGAGCAGAACAAGTGAGAGAGAGAGAGAGAGAGAGAGAGCGACAGAATCGGTCGAGAGCTGTGTATTTGATTTGTTTATGTTGAAATTAATGCACGAGAGAAGCACAAGAAGAACGAAAAAAAGAATGTGGTCATGCCACAACACAATGCGCTCTCGTCTGGAACATTTGATGTGTTTATGCATGTAAGTAAACAATATTGGCCGGGAGAGTTAAAACGATCGGCAACAAGACCGAGAGAAAGAGAGCGAGTAAGTGTGTTATGTGTGTGCATATACGACGCTATTCTGAGTAGCGCGCGCGTTCAATGAAATGGAGAGTAAATACAAGCGAGTAATGTAACGAACGGACCGAATCCCATTCGATGATCTGTTGATTCAGTCAGTATTTGACGATGGTTCGGAGTGGTTCGTTCAGTTGAAACGGCCCCTATTCGAGTTAATTTTTTTTTTTTTGCATTTTTTTTCTCGTTTAATCGCCGCTCGTACATATTCATAACCACGGAAACTTCAATCGTTGTGATAATTCTTTTTCGTGTCATGCGAATTTTAAAAAACTGAGAGAAGCAAAAGTTCGTTACAAAAGAAGAAAAAGATCAGCTGAAAAAATACGTCATCGAAACGGTGTTTGTTTTTTGCTTCCGAAATTGTCTCTATATCAGCCAAGAGGTTGTTTGTTTGAGAAAGGAGAACTGCGAATGAAACGCAATCAATTTGCCTTTTGCCGAGCTTATTAGCTTGATTGAGTTTTTCTTTCCTCGTGTCACACTCTCCACGAGTTGATAGTCGCATTTTTGTTGTGGATGCGAAATGATATTGAAGTGAATAAGTGCAAAAACCGTACTTGTCGCCGCCACCGCCACCGCCACCGCCTGTTGGATTTTCTTTCATCACACAGAACGAGATTTCGCCGTAGTGATAAAAGTTTATTAGGCCATAAAAGTGGATAGGTTTCAAGTATTTTTGAGGATTTCGGTGGAAAATTCTTATGGAACGGAGCTAATCATAAATCATACGGAGAGAAAATATTTCGAGTGAACATTTCGAGGGAAATAAAAAAAAATTGAGTTGAATATTCACTAAAATAAGAATTGAAGACAGAAGAAAATTTAAAAAAAATTCTTTGAAAGTGCATTTGCAAAGCAAAAAATAAAAAAAGAAATTAATGAATTAGTGGTCTGTGCTAAAAAAAAGAGAAGAATAAACACACATACAAATCCATATGATAACAATAAAAATCAATATGCAAAGAACAATTGAAGTTGAATGATCGCATCCTCGAGTACAGCAAGTGATTCATTGAAAGCATCAATTAAAACATGTTGGCTCCGAAAAAGGGTGAATCCACATCACTCGTGCGCCGACCATATTCAAATGTGATTTTTGTGTTAAGTGTTGTGATCAGTATTAGTTTGCTGAATGGATGCATACAAAGCAGCGTAGCTACTGAAGCGGAAACTACTTTTGCTCCGGAACATATTGAACAGTCGTGTATCGAAAAATGTCCAGATCAAGTAAGTTGAAAGGCACGGTGGCTGCCGCCGCTGCCGAAAAAAAAAACCGGTAAACACAACCGCATTAAAAATGAGGGTCCGAAATTTGATCGAGTCACAAAAGTGTGGTTCACATAATGGCAAAATTCGAGGCAGTTAACATCTCAAGAGCTTAAAATTAACGAAACAACGAACGAAATGAAAAAAAAAATTATTGACATTTTCTTTTGCTGTCGCAGCGTTACACACGCAGTTTTGGAGCTGGATTGGTCATGGCTATATGGGTGTGTGTGTTCGTTCCGAATCATATTATTGTTTGTTTGCCTTTTGAAATCTAATTGATTCAATTAGATGTGAAAAAAAGTATGCTTTGTTATTTCGTTGATTCCGATTCAAATCCATTTTTCTGAGTGTGTATACATTCACCGTTCAATAAATCCTCAGCAGTTTGTGTGACGCTGTTTGTGTTGCGTATGATTTTTGTTGCAATATTGATCACATCCAGTCGAAATGTGAAAAAAAATAGCGGTTCTAAGAAGAGTGTATGGACCATTGTTATTTGCAGTGTGAGTGAATGTGCCATTATAATATCGTCTGACTTTGACCGATCCAACGAATTCCATTTTCGATACAGAGATAGAGAATGAGCGAAAAAAAGGCTGTCATTTATCTAGATAAAACAGGTCATCAGTAATTGTTCAACACAAATCCAATGACATTTTTATTCTTCTCTATTTCCACAATAAAAACTTGCGCTTTGATGGAGTTTTAATTTTTTATTATTTGCGAAAGATAAAAAAAGAACACCCAACAAATTCATTCGGTCAATAGAAAAATTCCAGTCACTTCAGTTTTCAATGCATTCAGAGTGTCAGTGAGTGAATTGAATAATTGACAGTTTGCTGCTGCGACTGTGTAAGTTTTCTTTTTCGTGTGTTAACGCGACTGAAATCAATATGGTTCGGAAGTTGGGTTACGCCGAATGATTCTTTCAAAACCGCACAATTGTGCTTTTTCGGTGTCCGACTGTGGCTGATCAGAGCTGCAATCAACAAACAACAACGACGATGATCATACAACGACTGGAACATACAACTGGTTGATAAAGTGAACAGTGGTTTGTTCATTGGCTGCGCCAATTTTCACAAGCACATAAAATCTAGAGCAAATAAGGTATTTGTCATGTCATTTGAAACAAGTGACTAATTCTAGTGTTTTATGTGTGTTGTGGCCAGCCGTAAATTGACACATTAATTCAAATTACAAAGCACTCTCTCGGTTGGTATAGTCGCTATTATGGCTACGATTCGGACATTTTTCGACTTATGTCATTCATTTTTATCCTCATTTTGATTAGGAATTTTAATAACGCGTTTACTTGTGAGCTTGGTCATAACTTTTGAACGATTCATATGCTAATGTGTATTCTAGTCGATTGTATCGTTGTTGAAAACTCAGTAGCAAAAAATGAACAGTAGCAATAGTAACAGAGAGCGAAAAATGAAAAAAAAGACTCTTACAAACAAGAAAATGTTAACCTTTTGATAAGCAAATCGTTGACCTTTTCATTCCAAAAGCAAAATAAAGCAAATACAACATAACGCGATTGTTAGGCTGAACGCGGGCGCGTAAATCGATCCACGTCTGCTGCTGCTGCTGATACGCAGCGGAGAAAGAAAGTGTGGAAAAAGTGTTGTGTGTCGATCATGAAAAGAAGAATGACACATTCTCTGTCTACGAAATGTTCACATTCTTTTTTTGATCCGTTGATTTGACTGTTTAGTTCAACATTTGCTTGGAATGGGGCTCGTGACTTCCCATGTGATAAACACAGCACAGCTCGATGAGTGCGTGTGTGTGTGTGTGGATCGAGGAGAGATCAATTTTCGCACGTCAATTGTCAATCATAATAATTTGCGTTTCATATAATTAACTTGCGCCAGCCATTTGCAATAAATATTTGCAAAGAATGATTATTTATGTCGGGCAATTATTCAGCAACGAGTCGCGCACAATCGTAGCGAAAAAAAAAACATACACACACGCGGATCGCATTTCTGTCGACACGCATTACCTTTATTCGATCTGTGATAACAACGTGAAAATACCATGAAGCTATTAGCATTTTTTCCAAGCTGACATTGAAAAACTAGCCCGGTTTGACGGCATGAATTCTCACACACTCACACGGCTCTCTCGTTTCCAGAATCATTCAAATCAGTTGCTTTAATTAATCATCTTTTTTAATTCTTAATCGTTCATGCAATTTGCTGAATCCGAACAATTTCGCATATATTTTTGTTTGTCGCAGCAAACACGCAAGTCAATAATAAATACGAGCATTCGTTGTGTTAACACTTTGACGCGATTTTTGTAAACAGTTTTTTCTTTCAACATGAATGCAATAAGTGTTCGGGAAGAATAACGAGTTTTCAAACCGATCGCATGACAACAAAGTAGTAAGACAACGATGATCTAAAGTTTATTTAAGCGGAAAGTTAAACGCAATTATTGTGTTACACAGTTTCACATGACAATTTTGTTTAAGTGCAAAATCCAATTGAATCAAATGTATATTTCGTCGTGGAAAGTCCATAACATTTTCATAAACAAACGTTTCCAAAATAAACTTGGTTCGGGAATCACCAAATGACATTCTTGAATCATTGTTTAAATTAAGGCATCAACTGCAGTTTTTTTTTCTCTGTAATGAAATATTTCGGAGAATTTGATTTTGCTTCAGTTTTTATACTATCTCAAAAGAGACTTGGAAAACTCTTTAAGCTAAAAAAAATTTGAAATTCATATTTCAATTCAAATAACCGTAGCACGGCATCCCGTTTGCACCCTTCCAAGCCGCTTATCATCCAAGCGCAAGCACGGTGCACAGCATTATGATTATTGTTGTATCTAAAGTAAATCTTCCGGTCGCAAAATGGCTCTCATAAAAAAAATGATTATCTTTGTGTAGTGAGTGAAGCGTAAATGATATTAGTTTTTTGCATTCGACAGTGACAGCGAAATGGCCATTGTGTTCGATGATTCTGATGATGCTGGCCACTCTCAACTGATGAATTTGTCAAAAATGAATATTTGAATGAAACATCAATGGAACTAGAATTTTTTTCTCGGATGCCCATTCATAATTTTTCCCGATATGCTTCGTCAGTAAACCGATAAAAAAGTGTGTGCGTTATTTGTATTTTTTTATCTGTATCTAATAAGCATTGAGTGCATCATACTTTACGTTATTTTCCGAATGACTCGTTTTCTAACGACCGACTTGTGCCAGTTGTAGCGTGTGTATGTGATAATTGAAATGGCTGGTTTGGACTATGAGTTGCTGCTTTTGCGGTGGTCGTCTCTCTCACTCTCACTCAGTAGAGTTTGTTGCACGCTATTCATATCTCCGATGTGGTACAATTCAGTTAAAATAATAGAGAGAAAAAAAACATCATTCATCTGAATGTTTCAAAGCAAAAACATCCACACAGCAGCAGTAGCAGCCCGTACAGATTGCCGTTGATTTTTGCGTTTCCACTTCCGAACATTTGTGTCCGTATATGTATGTGTGTGTGTGTGTGTGTGTGCAGCATACATGCGACTGGCGTACTATTTGTTTCAATTATCTCATTACATTTCATCAGACCGGGCGTTTTAGCTGCTGCAGAATTTTCTCTCCCTTTTCATCATTATCAATGTGGTTGTTGGTGTTTTTTTTCTGTTCCACTGTAACTAATGCTCATCATATTCAACATTTTGAGTCGTGGTCAAACGCAGCATGAACTCAAAAGCGAACGAAAAAATAATGAACGCAAACGAAGAGTATAGTGTGTTGTTGTTTGAATGAAGGTTGAAAATTTCGCCGCGGAAGAACCAATTAACAGGACTGTGTCTGTGTTAAATTAAAATCGTTTAATTTTTTAATCTTCAGTTCCATTGACTTGATGTGTGTGCGTCGCACGTATGATTGTTTGTGTTGCAAAGCAAAAAAAGGCTATATTGAGATGCGCGCGCGTTCCCTTTGACTAACTTGTTTTTGTCATCATTTGATGAAACGCATGCAATTCATAATTAGTTTTTGGAAAATGTTGTCAATCTTCCGACCAGAAATTGAGATAAGGGCCAACCAAGAACAATAAAAACAAAGAAGAAAAAAATTTGTAAAACCAATTACCACACTTCCCCTTAAACTTGAATCGCTCATGTCCAGAGCGATTCATAGAAATGGCTCAAACAATTCATATATAGAAATTACTTCCTCGGACCACGTCGTTCAAGTGCAACATCGTTGTCACACTTAACCGGATATTCGTTCTATGCTTGAATTCAACAAGTGACCACCATACGATATAGTACCATAATTGCTGTTGATTTCAAACCAAATTTTTTAATTGCTTTCCATGTTTTTATTTCAGAATCAAACCTCAAGCAGTACGGATTGCATGGAACAATGTGGGCAGAATCAGGTAAGCGTCACTACTGGCATATTTTAATGGAGAACGAAAAAAAACTGCGCCGTTTTTAAAGTTGCGGAACGCATGAAACCATAAAGAATACTTCTGGGTAAACGCACACGTGGGGATTTTTTTTTTCGCCAATATAATAATCAAACATGAATGAATACTTCTATAGCGTAAACATTTTCGTTACATAAAGCCAGAATGTGGAAGAATGTTTCAGTGTGTGACTGTTTCTCTGTCTATCTTTGTGTGTGGCTTTGTGCTGTGCGTTGCGCGACGATGCGTATTTCCGGCACCAGAGAAATTACAATAAACGCATTAATATCAGGTGAATTCATGCAAACATGTATGTGTTTGTGCTGCGTTGTGTGTACTGTCCGAGAAAGGCTTTAGCATTGTTGTCCGTCTGCTCGGTGTTTTTTATTTTTCATTTTATTCCATCGCATCTCTGGGGTTCCGCTATCATTTGGGATTGAACTCGTTGTTATTATTATTCATATTCATTTTAATATGCACTCTGTTTATAGCAATATTTCATACAGACAGAGGCTCATTTGTCGACAACATCGTCGAACTTCATTATTCGTGTGTATCATTTGCAGTGCTTCGATTTTACTTTCGTCTTCAGTTTTCCAGAGAACGGGTCCTGATAAAGCCGTGTACTATCACAGTTCAAGAGACTATCAATACACTCGATTGAAATACGTCTCGGAAGCACTAGTTTGCTTCGACAGAGAGAGAGGAGAAAAACAACGCAGTGAGATAAAAAAAATGCCACCAAAACACCACGAGCGTTCACTTCACACTTTTGCTGTTATTTCAAACAACAATATTATTTTGTCATTCAATCAGTTTTTTTTTCTTCCTCTTTTGACATCGTTGTCACAGGCTGGAAAAAATTGTCACAGGCTGGAAAAAAAGGGTTCATTTTTTTCATTACATGTAGTAAGTTATGAGTTTTCAAGGCTTTGAAAAAATATTCGACAAAAATATTTCAAACGGAATTCAATTTACTACAGATAACATCAGTTCATCGCCTTAAATTAGATAGCTCTGCTTTGTTCATTAGCCGGTTGAGCGCGCGTCACAAATATAAACTAGGAGAATGTCATACATAGCCTCTATTTTATTGGATTTGATCAATAAGCAAGTGGGTGTTTTTAACTGTTTCGGATGATGTAATTGAATATTTTGTCCATTGTGACGACCGAGAATCGAAAAGGTCATCATTTTCAGTCAGTTAAAGTTCAAGTGGATATTATTATATTTCTAGATTAATAAAATGCAACCAGGTTTCGAAGTTCCGCGCTCACGCACGAGTAAAATAGGAATTCGATGATTTATTGTTCGTTCATGTATTTGTGCCAAGATTTCTTGTGCTTGACACACGCACAAAAAGCCACATCGATCAACAAACACACATGATCGAAATGATAATAAATTTAAAAACGCCTGCGCTTTCCGGATTCTTTACTCGCATCACTTGTCTTATGATGCTCTAATGGAAAATAAAAACTAATAAAATTGCCACGACGGCGCAAGACAAAAAGTCATACATAATTCAAGTACCCAATTTCAAAACGGTACAGTACACAGTTTTTTTCTTTATGAAATGCTTCCAATGCGTTTGAACACTGCACACAGCGTTCGCGAGCGCGCCTTCCATATGATAGCGTCCAGCTGAAATTTTTCGTATGCGATTCCATTTGCCGAAGCAATGAAGTGCGGACCATCGTTATTAATAAACACGCACATAAATTTAAGTTTAAAATCAGTTTGTGCGATGAGATAGAGTGAGAAAAAGATGAACTGCTCTGAACCAGCCGCCCCGTTCAAACACATTGACTTTTGTCCCCTGGTTGCCGTTGTTGTTGTTTGTTTGTTGTTTGTTTTTTCTGTGAGTTTTAGCGGGTCAACACTATATGCGGCGATATGAAGATTACACATGGCATTTATTCGTTTCATGTGCAGATTATTCATAATAATTTTTGTCGAACAGTTGGTGGACGAACTTCATTGGCTTTGTTCGAAAATCGACGACGACATTCGTTCGATACACTCGACACAAGTTGGAATTTGATATTTTTGCGTCATGAATGAAATGAAGAGGGTTTTATAACAAGAATATTTCCAAAAATAATAAATTCGATGATAACTACTAAAACGTTCAAGACGACAGAAGACAATTTTGTTAACAAAAAAAAAATTAGAAAGAAAGAAAAAGGGAAAAAAGTCGGAAACGATTGAATGAACCCTCTTTGCCATAGTAAAAACTTGATTAGAACAAGCAACACACAGATAAAAACTGAGCACTTGATTTGATTTTTGATATTTACCCGCATTCTTGGGCTCTTCGCGTATGTCAATTCGCGGTTGTGCGTTAGATTCGGTTTGTTATAGCATTTTTGTTTTTCTATTTTTTTCCCGTTCATGCCCATTTTTATCAGGGTGTTTCTAAGCTATTTTTTTTACGCTCGTTTCCTTTTTTCATGCATACAATTCACATTCCAGCCCATAAATGGCTTTCTTCCAATTAAAATATCTTCCTTTTTAATAGACATTCATTGCAATAGCATTGAAGTTTATTTACTTTTAAAACGGCTGTTCATTCTTGTTCTTATTGAGTCGTTTTTATGGCATCGCATCATTCTTATATGCTCTTCAATCAAACAATGGACACACGTGTTCAGCGCAATCGGTCACGATTGTGAGCATAATAACCATAATTATAACTCCCGTGCTCGTGCTGCATAAATTCCAGTTTCAATGCGTTGCACCGCACACATTTAATTGCATGGTGTTGCATGATCTTTTCTTCCATGTCTTCTCCCTTTTGGTGCACTTGATCGTCATGACTATGGTTGTTGTACACTGTGCAATCGCTAAAATTGTGCAGTGATCTTGCTGTAGAATTAAATCAATCTGCAGAAACATCGGCGGAACGAGTGTCTTTTAATTAAACAATTTGAATATGAAAGTAGAATATACAATGTCAGAGAAATCGATCAATTTCCTATAGATGGGATGAATTGAGATTCCTCTATAAAACAAATTTTCTTGGGAAAAAAAGATCGAAATTCCATCCACAGATGATTCTCCGCAAAACGTTTTATTATTCCATTCCAGTGGCAGCAACATGTTGCCTTGTCTCTTTTTATGATTCGGACTTTTTATTTTACGATCGAATTATTTCAGTCATCGGAACATATGTTTGAATGTATAGTATTATCGAAATATGGCTTGCACTTTTTCTGCTTCTCGCACAAGCAACTTGTTCGACATCCAAAAAAATGTGCTGGCGTTTTTTTTTTCAGTCAGTTTAATTCTAATGAAATATCAATTCGACCATTTCCTTATGATTTCAGTGCGCAGCTGGGTGTAAACTCTGGGAAACAGCTCTCGATACATCATGTAAGGTGGCATGTGTGAGTAAATTATTTCAAGTTTTTTTCTATTGCATTTTTCATAATTTCAGTTATGAATAAAAATGTCGAAAAAATCTTTTTAATTGCTGAAACGGCAATAATGCCGATTCGTCATATCGATGGTTAAAATTCTAAACATAGAAGCAGCGAAATTAATATTCATGCTTTATATTTTCTGTTCATTCCATAAAGAATACAACGGATCAAGATGTCGAAGACTGGTATTGTGTCATGGGCTGTAATAATGCCATTTCGCAGTATTTCAAGTGGCTCATGGGTAAGAGATTATTGTTTTTTTTTGTCGTTCATTTATTTATCTTTATTCCATTCCTTTCATCAATTTTTTTTTCTCTTCATTCATAATTTTTTGTTGATTTTTTAAAAAAAATCGTATTTTCTTCCATCGAATGAATCGTTGCGCATTCTCAATTCGAAACGGTTACTAAATAAATGGATTTGTATTTTTATTTTCAGTCGAAATTGGAACGCCGCCAGCACCAGCTCTTCTGGCTGATTCACTGACGTCAACGTCTTTGTCGCTGGAATGGGAAGTTCCAGATCATTTGTCAACGATCATGAAACGGCGTCAAAATGTATTACGAAACTATTTGGTGCAATGGCGCTACGAAGAAAGTGGCAACGACTGGAAATACTATCGTAATCAAAGCATGGAAGACAGTTCAACGATTCGCGTCGAAAATCTTCAGCCGTACACAAAGTATAGGGTGAGTCAACGTTGACTACTTCAATTAGTTGAATTCTTAAATTAGTATCACCAATGGTGAAGTTCAATGGCAAAAAAACGATTGATTGCATTGATATAAAAGCGTTATGCATATTTTATCAATGGTAACGATCGATAGACCAAATAAAGTGATTATTCAACAATTTCAAACGATATTTTTTTCATGTTCTTTCAGTTCCGTGTCGCCTTGATACTGTCGTCATTTCGTGAGATAGAACTGTATTCGGAGCAAAGTTTGGTGATCATTACGGCTGAAGAAGGTCCACCTCAATCGGAGCCAGATATTGTAAGAGCCGTAGCGGTCGATCATACAAGGATATCTATATCATGGGAACCGGGACTGTTGAAAAACGGTCCGATATTATTTTATGTGCTGCAGATCAAAGAATCAAATCGAGACACATACTTCGCATATAAGGTTCACATTTAACAAATGCTGCGCATTTTATTTCGTGTTTTTCTCTCTTTTTGCACTTTTTTCCTCTTTTCTCTTCCTTTGCACATTTTGTTTTGATCAGCTCTCAGCTGCAGATCTCTTTCTCTATCTCTACTACAACAAAGTGATTCAATGCCCTTCAACACGGCGCTGCACTCAATCAATAAAATCAATTCGAGTTACTTAGTAATAATGATTTATTCAATAGCTGCGATGATATAATGTAGCGGCGGCTGTTTCACTAAAGCGATGCGCGCTCCTGATTCAGTATCAATTTTAATTGCATTTGATTAAATGTAACTAGATCAAGCTACAGCATTTATTTACTGGATTCACCATGTACTTTGGTCTTTCTTACGTCACTTGCCGCTAAATGACACACGCAATTGAAATGATACATTCAAATATAAATATCAATTTATCTGCACTGGCACTTTTGTTTAACATTTCCATCATGCATGCCGCATATAAACTTATTAACCCGGATACAAATTATGCTTTATGTTCGTCATTGCTCTTTATTCTTTATACATATATGTATATATGTTCTGTGCATGTTGATTGATTATGTGTAACTGTAAACCATTTCTTTGTAATTTAATCAATGTGTGTGTGCGTGTAATCTTAATTGAGATTCTTGATTTAGTTGGTTAATTGTGAACTTTTCACCTTTCAAGGATATACCCAAAGAACAGCAAGAGATTTTAATTGAGAATTTACAACCGTCGACGGAATATACAATGGAAATTCGAATGCGGAACAAACGTGGCGTCGGACCGGCAGCCGTTATCAATGTTACGACAGCCGATAAACCCGAAGTTCGACACGAAGATGAAACACTCAAACTAATCATTGTCTCTGAACATACAATTCTTATGCAAGGGTCAAAGTTCTTCTACGATCCAGCCAATTTTATTTACAACAGCAGCGATGCTATCACTGGCATTGGCATTCATGTCGCCAAGAAATTACTTTTTATTACCGATAAAACGCGCGCTATTTACAAGTAAGCATGATGAAACAAACACATAGCCTAAATTGCGTCGATTCGATCTTTTTTTTTGCTTGAATTGTTTTGTTTCAGAAAAGACAATTGGAACAAATTAGAGAAGAGAATCCAAATGAAATTTTCATTAAAACTCATTTGAAAAAATCTCTTTAAGAAAACGGTATTTTGAACATTTTCAGAGCTCCCCTGAGCAATGCATCACTACATTCGCGAGTGCGTATCTATTCAACCGAAGGTACAGATCAAATCCCGTTGGCATTGTCGGTGGATTGGTTAAACGACAAGCTCTACATTTTATTCGAAAGTAATTCAATGGTAAGTGCGCGTCCCCTCTTAATGAATTCGGCAAGTGCCATTCACAATGGCCATTGATAAGTAACATTTAATTTAAATTCATTACATTTTTGTTTTCTACTCATTCTATTTTGTAGAACCAAAAGGGCTGGCAAATTTCTCGTTGTAATTTTGATGGCAGTCAATTACAAGTGGTTTACAGTGGGCTACAATCAAAACCGGTTCATTTTCAAGTGGATCCATTCAATGGGTATGTGTGTGTGTGTGTGTTTGTGTGTTATAAATTGTGACAATTGAACGAAATTATTAACCGAAATTTTTCCAACTCAATTTAATTGCGTGTATGTTTGTTTGCATGTGTACCAATTTGCAGATATTTATTTTGGTCGCTGAGTGCAGAGAGTAAAAATGATGGTGGATTATTTCGTCTGGATTTGAGTGATGTGTCAAATGGTGTTAAGCATGAAATTGAACCGACGCTCATTTTCAATCGAGACACAGTTGGTGTGTTTGCCATCGATTATATTCACTACAAGATTTTGGTACCAATCGATACGCTCAACACGGTGATGTCAATGGATTTAAACGGTGATAAATATGAGGATATTCGAAAGAATACACAACGTCCAATGTTTAAGTCGGTCAAGTCATTTGCAATGGCCAACGATTTATTTTATTGGACGAGTGGCGATGCGGTTTTGATGGAAGAATATCACGAGACCGACAAATATTATTACGATGTTTTCTTCAGAAACTTTGCACAGCTCAACAATTTTTTGTTTATATTTGTGAAATTGCCATCAGCTCAACCAACACCAAAACCATTGAATCCACCAAGCAATGTACAGGCTTTGTTGAGCGTCGATCGGGCGAAAGTGTCATGGCGCATTCCACATCTGTTGGGTATTCAGGGTCGTGGTGCTTGGCAGGATTGGACATATGAGTTGGAGATCATTGATGAAGAAAACAACGTAACAAAACCAACAATCAATCAAATCAAAGTGCTTCACTTTACTGTATCGGATTTGAACCCTGCGACAAAGTATCGATTTCGCGTTGCCGCCTACACTGGTGCTGGTTATAGTCCATACAGCGTTGAATTCCGTGGTCAAACACTCACTCCACCTCGCAATCGACAGATAATTTGGGCCTCCTACGACGGTCTCATTCAAAGTGACATTCTGGCCGATAATATTCACACATTGATACCACAGCAAAAACTGGATGCATGCAACATTTCGAATATTGAATGGTTTGAAGATGTCATTTTTTATGTATGCAGCAATTCATTGTATTCATTCAATCGAACAACAAACACCACGGAAAAACTGAATGTTAAAGACTCGGTGCAAGCGATTGCTGTCGATTGGATCGGACGACGTTTGTACTGGTTCAATCCATCACATCAAGTGATCACTCGTGGTAATCTCATTAATTTCGAACCCGAAGTGTTATTCCCGCTATCAGCTCCGCAGGCTGACATCAAAATCGATTCGGCCAGAGGATTTTTGTACTTTTCCACCGGTCATTCGGTGGAATTTTGTCGACTTAACTGTAAAGATAAAGACAAAAGGAAATTCTATGACATGGAAGCGTACACGGGCAGAAAGGTGATGGGTCTCACATTGGATTTTGATATGAGTCGCGTGTATTGGATCGTTCGCAGCTATGACGGCTCAACTTTGATAAGTGCTCCATTGATCGAAGATGAAATGAATCTCTTCGAATTGCAAGAGCACACATTGCCCGAAAAGCAAATTCTCGGCCCACTGGCTTACCTGAGTAACCGATTGCTTTGGCTCCAAGACGATCGCACGGTGGTCATTGGAAATTTGACCGGCAAGAATTTGGCACACATCAAAAGTATCGAATTGAGTGATTTGAAAGTGTTCTTAGTCATCGATGAAACGCAGCGTATTGTGCCGGAATCGGATGAACCTTTGAACGTGATTCCTGAGGCAGTTAACACATCGACCATTCAAGTGAATGGCGAATGGAACTTCTTTACTGTGAGTTGGCTACCAATTAAAAATGTAAATTATGGAGTGGTTTTCTATGAAATCCGATACCTCAACCATTCTATCGTTGACACAAGATCATTCATTGAGATTGAGGATGGCATATTACCGCCCTATAGCCAGTTGAATATCTCAATAAAAGCGTTCACTTACTGGGCATCGTCGCCAATCGTTAAAGCGCAAGTATATTCACCGCAGTCTCAACCATCGAAGCCATTGGATCCACGTATTTTCGTAACGCATATGCATAATCCACTACAAAAAAATTCGCTAAACATTGAAACCGTTTTCCGATGGAACCCGCCAAAAGCCGCGAATGGGCCGCTTCTTGGTTACAAAATCTCTTGTTGGTACGAAAAAGACAATTCACGCTATGATTTATTCGTTGATTATCATTTGCAGCCGGAATACACGGTAAAGCATATTGAAAATCTACCAAAAAATGCAACACTCTACTGCAAAGTAAAAGCTGAGACAAGCGCTGGTGAAGGACACTATTCACCGTTGGCTATCGCAAACACGCACACTGAAAAGCCGATCCCGACTTTGTTTGCCGCTAGCAATGGGGCAATTTACCAAATTGATTTCGACTTGAAAATCTACAAACTGATTGTGATTGCCGGTAGTCGAGTGGATCACTTGTGTCATATCGCATTGAGCAAACAGCTTTTTTGGACCAACGAAAACAACGAACTGATGTTGATGAACAGTCAAGATGGTAAAAAGAAGCTGTTTTCGATCAATGCGCCAGTCCTATCCATAACTGTCGATTGGATTGAGCAAATTTTGTACTGGTCGCAGGAGGAAAGCAAGGGCAGTTCAATCAATGCATTCAATTTGAATACTCAGAAACCAAATTTCGTACTTCGATCGTCAAGCTTCATCATCAATTTGAATGTAGCACCGTTGAATCGTGAGCTATTTTGGATCGAGTCTGAGTTGCCGATTTCAACAAGGAGCACATTGGTTTCATATCGTTTTGGTGAAGATCAATGGTCGGTATTTCGTGATGCAAAAAATGCCACGATTTTGGTGACGCAGAAAACGTTATTCCTTGACACATTCACCGAAGGTCATGAGAAGATTTTGTGGTTAAACGAGTACAATCAACTGATGTCAACGGACATTCGATCGAGAGTGTCAACGCCGACGAATTTCCCATACCAATCGAATATGTTGAATGTGATTCGTGACAGTGGTCGCATGTATTGGACACAAGGTGATACAATTTTTGCCGAAAATCCATCCGAACAAGTGCCTTATCAACAGAAATTTTTCTATCCCATGAAAATTTTGCCCAATTTCCGTCAAAATTATCCACCGGTACATTGTTTGTTGCCACGCAAACATTTCGATCGGAAAGATCATCTCGCCGTTTACGATTCAACGGATCGTTCGCTGTGGTTACATCTGCCGGTACCAAAACGATTCGAAAATTGCTCATTTGAACCAATGTTCTTGAAATACAAAATAATGTACACGGAACTGATGAGTGAAAGCGTGAAAGTATGTTCTCCACATTCGTGCAATATAATCGAAACTTATGATAAAGTAATTGAAGTGGCCAATCTTAAACCGTACACCAAGTATCAGTTCCAGATAACCATCAGCAATTATTATACTGAAAACATGAATAGCACAATGAACTTTACACGACCAATCGTATTCCAAACTAAAACCGGAGCACCTTCACGGCCAAGAAATGTATCGGCCACAATTTTGAGTCCGACAGAAATTAATCTGAGCTGGTTACCACCAGAGGAAATTAACGGACCATCGATCCGATACGAAGTGCAATACCAGACGGAGAGAGAAATTAATGGATATAAAAACCAACTACAGTTGCTGATAAAAGGTAGGGGTTTTGCATTTTGCAAGGCACAATTTCAGAATATTTCTCAAGTTTTTTTTAGACACAAATTACCATCAGATCGCCATACAAACGAAATTGCTTGAGTTTTTGAATGTTCGAATCAGTTTTACCCTTTTTAAACCTTAAAATTTCAATTCATTGTTCGCAGATGATAATGTCACGTCGATCAATATAACAAAATTGCTGCCCAATCAACCATACAACGTATGGATTCGAGCTTATACCACTGAAACGCTTCACAATCAAAGTCTTCCGTTGAAAATTGTGACACTTCCAGATCCGGAGAAAATCAAGCTAGTCTCGTCTACACCCAAATCGCTGACCGTCGAATGGAAACCGTATGCACGTGCATTAAAATATGTGATGTCTTGCCGCCCAATATCTGGCTATAATGATTCAGATGCTGAAGTCATTCTTGACTCAACACATCAAATCAACAGTACGAACGTGCAACGCAACGGAAATCAGTTGACCGTTCTAACTCTACACCCGAAAACTCAATACACATTCTGGTTATCATTTTGGTTTGAAAATCGATCTGACCCGTATATTTGGCCGCGTGATGAACGTATCATTTTTGAAACAAATGCTGATCGACCGAATGCCCCGGGCAAACCGAGCATCATCCACTTGCAAAGCGATGTGTATAAAGTAACATGGAAAGCGGCCGAAGGAAATGGAGCGCCAATTGAAGAGTACAGTTTGGAAGGTCTTCGCTATTATGGATTGAATCGGGCTGCTCGATTAACCAACTCAACTAGTGAATTTATTCGAAACCAAACGCTTGTCACAAACACATTGACAAATAATAAACTCACAGTTGAAGTTCCGACACCAATCGAAGACCATTGGACTGTTTACTACACTGGAAATGACACGTATTGGATCATCAATGATTTAGTCGATCCGATTGCAATGTATTCGTTCAGAGTACGAGCACAAAATAGATATGGCTGGAGTGAGTACAGCGCGCTGAGCGAACCAATCACAGAGATCCAAGCATTCTCTGAACATCGAGAGCATCTTTTCATAGCAATCGCTGCACCAGCATTGGTCGCTATAGTCATTGTTACCTTCAGTTGCATTATTTGTGGTGAGTTTGTGAATGAAACGATGTTGATGATTTTAGCTGAAGCCATTTTATATATCAAGAAATTATAATGCTCCGATTTCATTGTAGCTCTCAAACGGAAAAAGTCAGATAAAAAGAATTTCCAAGACACCAACACCGGCCGAATCGATGTTGAGCTCGCCACATTGCCTCATTTGCCACGCAATGGAACTTTTGTGCAAAGCAATAACATCTTGTACACCTTTGGTCCAATCACAGACGGTGACATCGCTCTGTTGCCACAAATTCGACGTGATCAAATCACAATCGCTAGTTTTCTGGGCAGTGGTGCATTTGGTGAGGTTTATGAAGGCTTTGTGCTAAATGTCGGAACTGAACTAGAAACACGAGTTGCCATCAAAACACTACGAAAGGGTGCCACCGAACAAGAGAAAGGCGAATTCCTACAGGAGGCACAATTGATGAGCAACTTCAAGCATAAACACATCCTCAGTTTGATCGGCGTTTGCTTTGACACGGACGCACTTTACATTATCATGGAATTGATGCAAGGTGGCGATTTACTCAGCTTCTTAAGACAGAGTCGACCGTGTGAGGTGAGTTCTATAAGAAAAAGATTTTTTCTTTGATGAATTATATCTGTAATTTTTCGGATCAAGCACTTGTTATGCTTAAAAAAAGCATGCGTGCATATTTTGAAGTGAATAAGTTTGAAAACGTATGATTTTTCTTCTTATTCAATGTTGACTCTCTTTTTTTCATTCCAACTCCATTCAATCCAGGGAATGGTATCCGCTTTAACTCTGCTTGATTTGACGACAATGTGTGTGGACATTGCGTCTGGTTGCCGATACTTGGAGGAAATGCATTTTGTGCATCGTGATTTGGCCTGCCGCAATTGCCTGGTATCATCGGTCGATCCAGAAAATCGTGTTGTTAAAATCGGCGACTTTGGATTGGCTCGAGATATTTACAAAAATGACTACTATCGCAAAGATGGCGAAGGATTGTTGCCCGTGCGATGGATGTCGCCGGAGAGTTTAGTTGACGGTGTATTCACGTCACAATCGGATATTTGGGCGTTTGGAGTGTTATGCTGGGAAATAATGACACTGGGACAACAGCCGTATCCAGCTCGTACAAACGTCGAAGTGTTGCATTATGTGCGCGATGGTGGTCGGTTGGACAAACCATCAAATTGCCCGGATGATCTGTGAGTATAGCCTTTTTTGATATGAGAATCTCAGTTTTCACTAAAGCCACTATTTCCAAGGCTCACGATTGCAATCGTCCACCGATCGTTTCCTTGGAAATAGCGAATATACGATCGTGCACGATTATTTCCATATAAAAAACTTCCAATTGGAAAGATCGTCGACCGATTCAGAATCGTACACGATTGCAATCGTGTGCCTAAGAAATAGTGCCTTAAAGGTACACAGTACAGACTCGAGATTGCAATCGTCAATGATGCAACGTGCCCAAACGATTTATTAATTGGATTATTTCAAAAAATTCCTAGATATCAGCTAATGCTAAAATGTTGGAGTTATCGACCCGAGGAGCGACCAACCTTCCGATACTGTTTGGATGTGCTGCAAAGTTTACGCACAAAATTCGAAGATATTCGCATTAATTTGGAAAATGCGAGTCGAAACTTCGCCGGTAAGCTATTGTATAAAATGTTTTTTTTTTATCATTGGTTCATCGTATCTTTAACAAAAAAAAACACGATTCATTGTCATTTTAATAATGTCACCTGTTGCTTTTGCATACTTTGTCTCCGCTTTATTTATCCGCTTATTCGATTTAAACAACAAGAAAATCCCTTTCATTTTCATATTCTCAGGTGGAATATTTAATCGCTCGTATTTATTAGCCGACGAAAATCATAATCATACAAAAGGTAATACGATGAATATTGTGTCTTGTAGCTGTTGTTTGTTGTGACTGTGTAATCATTAGTAGCCATAGCTTGTCATGTCATTTTCATTCATTGGCACAATTCCAATTCTCTATTTATAATCGCGAAAAACGAAACATCATTGTTAATGAATCAGAATATAAATATTTCTTTTCTCTTCATTTTCGCTTACGTTGCAGAAGTTGTAAAATACGTAAACACATCGGGCAATGCACCGGAGCCGTACTCGGTGCCAAAATGTGAACCATCGATGCCAAAGTATTTAGAAATAATTTACGATGAAAACGATGAACAACCGCCGCTTCCAATAGATCCATATGAAGTTCCGTTGCCGCCGTTGGACGAAACAGAAGCGATGCAATCAAGTAGCCCAACATTGAGCGAAAAAAGTAATAACAAAAGCATCGAATCCGATTCAATCAAAGCCAGCAGCGCGAACAAAGAAAACAAAGTGAAGAGCCGAACGATATCAAGTTCATCGACGGTTAGCGAAACGAGCATCTACAATCTGTCGAAAAAGAAAGAGCAGCTAAATGTGCAACCGGATGACAACGATTTGTCGAAAACAATTTTAACAGTTGCCCTGCCCAACATCAACAACAATAATAACGTCACAAGAGAAGACTGCACTAGCAAGCTATTGCTACCACCGCCACCGCCACCGTTGCAACAACAATCAAACGACATCAACAAACGAAAGCTACAGCAAATGTACGCAAACACAAATATCGAAAGCGCAATACGCAGTTGTGATGGCATCACATCGATGTGAGATTCCAATTTAGGCTTAAGGTCAATTCCCTCGTAATTCGTAATGAAAAACACCAAGTGTTCAGGTGATTGAATATCGCGAAAATGAAGATTTGTTTTTCTATTTTTATGGTATCAAATTATACATATGAATGGAAAAAAATAGACAATAAAACGGGAGAATTGTTTTTTTCAGAAAAATAAAGAAACAAAACCAAACAAAAAACAATCAAAAATAGAAACATAATACAAATAATACGAGTAAAGTGTTTCCTAAGAAATATCATTCCAAGCAATTCGTACAAAATTCGTTGCACATTTTCGCACGAAATCCACATGTGGTCGCTCGAACACAAAACTACATGTGAAATGAGACTAAACTTTGATAGATTCCCATAACAAATTGTTCTCTAATTTAAACAAACAAGACTTTTTACTCCTAAGTTCGAAGTTTTCCATATAATCCATGATACATCCATTAAGACAATTATGTTTATATATTGAGCTATGAACACAAGTCAGCTAAAATAACATTTTATTAGACCAAAGTTCAGACGATATGTACAAATGTCTTTATATTAAAGATGTTTTCTTTTCGGTCAACATATACTAAGCATATATTTTTAGATGTTTCTTTGTAATAAGATTTTGATGGTCAGGTCAATTCAATAAAAAAAAATAATATCCAAAAAAATCTTCTATAAAATGATCTTATTTATTCAATTGTTCATAAATACAATACAAAATACATTCGGAATTCGTTGGATTCATATATTTTGGAGATTCACATATGATCCTTCTCATCAGTATCACATTCGATTCTCGTCTATGTACATTAATATAAATGGATGCAAAGCTTGTGGTCGATTGTTTTGAAAAAGCTGAATATCTAGTTGCAAATGGGGCAAACGTAACTGCTGAAGCTATCGGCAAATTGACGCTTTACATTGCTGCAACTTGTATCTACACTTCTTAGTGGGTTATAAAAGTTGATTGCCATGCAAGTTAATAGATTAAACGTTCTCAATCGTTTTGTAACAGAATTTTGCTCGGAATGAGAAATAACGTCCACAGTTAGAGCTAGGGGCTTCTATGTCGGTTTGCCATTCGAATTTTTATTCACAAATTCGCGCTCAGTGCCATGCATTCACAACGGTGCCATATGATTTCTATGTAAACATTCGCACTCGCATTCGTATAGAATACGTATTTCGCTGTTCTCGAACGTTCTCACGAATGCGAGTGCGAATGTTTACATAGAAATCATATGGCAGCGTTTCGAATGCGTGCACAAACACGAATCAATTAATTGAATTATGTAGTCACAAGTTCGCTGTCATAGCCGCATTTGTCGCATTCGCAAACATTCGAATTTTTGTTCTGAAATGCGAATGCATTCGCAGCATTCGCGAGAGATAAATCCTCTTAGAGGTAGAGGCCTCAAGGTATTTCGGACGTGTTGAAATGAATTAAAACGTCGAGGCTCATCAATTCAAATAGAGCCAACTTCAGATCAAAGTGGAAAACGTCAATTCGAAATCCTTGTCCAACTGACATTACCTCTTTGTCTCTTCAACTAATGATCCTTGTTGCTGTCAACATAAATATAATATTTTGTTGTCTTTCAGTGTGAACATAAAGTGAGATTATTGCGTTTATTCCATTCAAAATTCCTTAAAAAATTATTTATTCATAAAATTTGTGATATTTTTCTGTCATAAAAGTAAAGTGCTTGTTTGCAGAAAATATTCATCATAATTTTCGGTCGTTCTCTTTACAGATGAATTTTTTTAACAGCCTGTGCTGGCCATTTGTGAGGATGAGACGCTCACAAAAAAGGCAAGAAATGTCTAATCCAGACAACGAGAATCGTAATGAAGATGCGGTTGCTGGTTCAACAAATGTAGAATCACCACCAGAATTATTTCAATTGAACATTGATTGCTTTAACGAAATATTTGAATATTTGTGCTTGAAAGAACTGCATTCATTCGGTCAAACGTGCAAGCGAATGAACAAAGTGGCCGGAGAATATTTCAAACAAAATTATTCATCGGCTAAAAAATGGTGCCAAAAAGATGGGATTTACACGACTTGTTCGGACGGGTTTGTTCTAAAAAGTATTCAAACATCCGGTTTCATTAGGTTCATGCCATGTATTTCACATTACTCTAACAACTCCGGTCTTGAATATACTAAATCTCATATCAATGAATTTGAGTCAACTAACCACATTTATCTTCGGTACGTGGATATTGAAAAGAAAACAGTTAGATATTTTAAAAAATTATTGCCCCAACTGGAAATTGTACATATGAAATGGTGTTCTCGGATTTATGGTGATTTCTACGACTTGATATTGAAATACTGTAAGAATTTGAGAGAGATTTACGTTGAAGATTCGAGTGCCGGCAACCGCAAAAATGGTAAACTCAACTGGCTTTTACAAGAATATCCCAAGCTTGAACGTTTACATTTGACCCCAATTTATGATACTGAGCGAATTGAAGAGCTACGTGAATTTTTCGTATGCAATCCAAATGTACAGAGATTTTCAATTAATGCAAGACTTTTGTGGGCCAATGGTGATATATTATTAAATTCCAATGCAAAATTGGATATATTGGAACTCATAGGACGTCCTCTTTATAGTAAGCAGAAAACTAGTTTGGAATTATTAAACCAACTGCATGAACAAGGATTTTATAAGCGACTACACATTTACATCTTTGATACTAAAGACGAGATCAGCACTAAATTAGACTTGGTCAACGGTCTTGAACTACTATACATTCATAAAATGCGTAAAGATTACAAGAAATACAATTTCGATCAATTGACCAATTTGATTTTAATTATTAGACGTGGATGTGACAATGGCGAGGATATGGAGATTTTAGCAAATGGCCTGACAAAACTCAACCGTCTTTGCATTTATGGGCCTAACACTGATGTCATTATGCCATTCATTTGTCGATCATTAAAATTGAACAAAATCAAGTTCATCATAACTTACACACGTGTAGCTTTGAATTTGGAAATGTTGAATGAGGAACGAGCTAAGTTGGTCGGAGCACGAAAAATAACGATTTATGTGCGTGAGGATTGCTACTTGGCAACTAAGTGGACGACTAGAAACGGTGACACCAATTTGAGCTTCATCGAAGTGAGACGATCGGACTCAATTGAATGGAATCCCTATAATTTTCCTTGGGGCTGCTAACTCCAGACGAATGTTCCATATAAATATGTATAACCACGTATAATTGCCGTATATTTTGTGCATATTTCATATATAACCCGCGTATACGCCATATATTTGAACCATTTCGCATATAAATTTGTATTGGCGAATAGAGATAAAAGCTCCTAGTCATTTTTATTAAACATAAATTTCAGAATAGTAAAACGACGTGAGTTACGACATTTTGTTATACTTGATATTTTTAGATGTTTCTTTGTAATAAGATTTTGATGGTCAATTCAGTAAATAAATAATATCCAAAAAAATGTTCTTTAAATCTTATTTATTCAATTGTTCATAAATACGTCTAATTAGGATAAAGGGAAAGGCACCATAAATTTCAATTTACTCAAATTCTCAACGAGAGAGCTACTTATTGACTCTACAATTTTATCTTTTTAAAGAATCAACGATTTTATAATTCAAATATTACATAAAATGAGTATAGTATCGTTTCATTTGTTTGCAGTAAATCTGAAAAAATCGTTGCATTTTATTCTTTGTTATCTTTATTTATTGAGGAATAGTCATTTCAACATAGAATTAAAAATTTTATGAATTGAACGTATTTTCATTTGTATTTTAATTGTATCGAAAGAGATGCACAGTTTCCATTCTGTGTCGACGAAGTATATAAGTTGAAGAACCATCTGTATTGATATGTTCACGTGAAACAGGCGACCAAAATGAATAAACATACGTAGTATTTGCACTCACATTCGGTTTAATTGATTTAATCTAAATTAAGAAAGAACATTCATCTCTGTTTGCTTCCAAAGTAAGAATATTGTTTCGAAAAGTCTGTTCTTGTTCTGAATAAAAACGGTTCTTTACTGTTTTAAAAAGAAGGTGTTTTTGGTGTATTCATTGCGATAAAATTTATTTTAGAATCAGCACCTTAGATTTACATATGCCGTGAATAAAATGCCGGCAAAAAATGTTTATGAGCTTATTTCACTATATACTTTGAAATGTTGTAAATTTCAACTTATGATAAAACTGAAAATGAAATGGACATTTAAAATGTCAACGAATTGCTATGTGTACAATTTTAGGTTAACGAATATGAATATAAATATCAAAATTTATCAGATAAAAAAGCGGAGACGAAATAATGTTTCAGTCACAAAATTGTTCTTTTGATTTTTTTTGTTGTTGTTTCGACTCCTGAGACGTCATTTTTATCTTGTTCGTAGAAAAAAAGACTCATAAATTAACGGAAATACCGCACTATAAACTTTTACAATATGTGGTGTTTAAACTTTATCGACGAGCTTATCAACAACAGTGCTATCTTTTTCACGTTCTTTTTCAATGTCAATATGATCCAAGCTTCTATTCGATGCTCTTGTACTAGATTTCGATGGTTTAGGCACATATCCGTACAAGAAAATGGCACTGATTACGAGACCAGCACCGATAGCAAACTGTATGGACAATTTGAAATCGAATAGATAGATGCTGGCGATACAGGCGACAATGATTGAGAGTGATGTTGCGAATCCCTTCAGAATGTTATCTGCATATTTGACAACGACTGCCACGAGTAAACCGCCACCGGCTTGCAGAGCCACCAAGTACATAACGAATGCATCGTAGCCATGGAAAAATCCATGTTCGTTAACTTTATCAAAATCAAGCCACATGCACACGCCGAATCCAAGCGGAATGCTCAGCAGGCTCATTTGTACGTTTCGCATCCAAACGGAAATGTCGGCACCTTTCAACATCTTTTCAAAGAAAATGCCCGCAAAACCGGACAACACACATGCACCCAAAGCAGCGGCTAGACCGAGCAATCGATTTTGTTCTAGATTATGTGGGATTTTTGTTTCCTTTTGATCGGCCATCTGCACCATAACAACGCCAGCAATCAAAAATACTAACGATCCCCATTGCGTGACGAGTAGTTTCTTCCGTAATATAATCACGGCAAATATTGCCGTCGTTAAGATTTTCAATTGATACGTGACCTACAAAAATAACGACACACAAAAAATTAAATCATGTCAAATGAGTTCGGTAAATAATAGCGAAACTAATTGAGGTTGCGACGCGAAAAAATCACACTCAATTACTCAGTTAATAGACGAACCTGATACGTGGCAGCGTCCAAGTGTGAGGCAGATATTAATATTAAATTGTTTTGTATCACATACAATAATGATGGCACACACACCTTCAGTGTGTCGATTTTATTTTCGATAATCGTTTTGCGTAACGTTTTACCAAATTTCTCAGCATTTTGATCCTCTTCGTAGAACACAAGCACCAGACATGTGAGCAGCTTTGTTAGCTCAGACATAACAACGACTGAAAAAAGAAACGATTTTCATATATTGTTATTAGTAAGGCGATTAGATACGTGAATTTGGAATGATGGCAACAATGTGGTGACCCTTTGTTGATAATGATCAAATCATACAGGTCAAAAAGCATGCAGTTCAATTTGAACACACTCACCCGTTGTGTTGTAAAACAGGTCTTCTTTGCTAGCCCTCGTCCGTGCATACCGCATACTCAGTGTCAGGATAGCATTTTGAAGTGTTAATGTTATTAAACTAACATATTTTAACGTATTTTTATTTTCTTTTGGTGTTTTTGTTGTTGTTGGTATCGTTGTCGTTGTCGTTGTCGATTCAGCCATTGCAAGCGTTGTCCGAGCGAAAAATCCAATGAAAAATTCAATATTATATCAAACGATGCGTTTAAACACACAAAAATATTGTGATAGAATTTTTAGGAACTATTCGATTTTTTGGTCGATGTGATGTTTTGGTGAGTTCTCAATTTGAAAAATGTTATTCTCGTTTTTTTAGTCTTAATTTTTCTTTGTTGCGTTCCTATATACATTTGCTCTTTGATTACGTGCCGAATGTGTGAAACAATTATCCAGTACTATTTACAAAGACGACCCGAAACCACAGAAAAACTAACCAAAATACACAGATTACTACTCACTTTGTATCATCATTATGAATGAGTGCCAACAATTTTAAAGCGGAACTCAGTGTGTGTTTGCCGTATAAATTTAAAATCAAGCCTTTTTTCTCGCAATCGCACGAATAAACAATAGTTTTGATAAGATTATCGCTGACACCCTTATGCTGATGGCCTACACACAATCGACGCTTAGCAATTAATACAAAATGTTTATATCAAACGAGCACATATCGCATCTCTTTGAACACCAAGCTGACGAACTGCAGAGCTCGAATCAATGAACTAGTATTCGTCTTCGGCTTACATATACAATACAACGGGGAGAACAATTTTTTGGATACGTTGACACAAACGATTTGACATTTGCACCATTCTTGTTGGCAACAATTCGTGTCAAAGTTTTACATGACCCACCGTAACAATACACACACACATTTCATACGAAAAAGTTCCTATTGCCAACAATAGGGGGCGCGATTTGACTATCCGTTGTTTAATATCTTAATTGAAGAAGAAAATAAAATGATTGAAGCTCGTTTTTTTTACTATGATAATTTTTTGAATTAAACTATTTACCTCTGTCTCTTCTTTTGGATGCATGTAAACATTTGATTTAATCTTATCATGTTGGTAACCATTATTATCAAGGGCAATGTCACAAAACATAAGTACGTCATTCGTCAAGTTTCAAAGTGCACTGCGACCATTTCTTTAATTGCACACTCTTCATACCTCATTATACAATATATCAATACCGCGTGTACTTTGAACGGTTCTTTCTGCCGGAATTCATAATTCAGAAGCGGATTAAATCACATTCTCTCATCGAAGCACCATGATGTCTTTGCAAGAGGTTATTATTTGCTTGGCACATTTGTTTTTCCTTTTGAATTTTTGCACGATTTTTTTCTCTATTTCTTGTATTGTTTTCTCAGAACTTTTCTGTTTCATTTTCCAAATCATTTTTTAGTTGGTTTTCATTTCGAATTCAATTTTCATTTATTTTCAACCATTTTTTTTTCTTTCTTGTTGTTGTTGTTGAAATGTCTTTTTTTCATGCATCTCTCAATGTGGCACTAATTTCGATTGGATTATTTTTTCTGTAGCAATTCGAAAAGTCTGTTGAAGGCGTGAAGCAATTGGCAACACAGCCAAACACTGATGATTTGTTGGAAATTTATGCGCTGTACAAACAAGCAACCATTGGAAATGTTAACACAGGTAAAATATGAAACATTTTTTCTATCAATTTTTCCAAGATTATTATCTCTTGGTTTCAACTTGGTTCAATCGTCAAATTCCAATCTTATACTAATCATAATTCCAATCTTACCGTTCAACAGCATCTCCTGGAATGTTCGATATCAAAGGAAAATCCAAGTGGAATGCGTGGAATGCCAAAAAAGACATGACCACTGAAGAGGCGATGCAGAAATACATCAACAAAGTTCAAGCACTGGCTACCAAATAGACTCTGACCTAACCTTTTGATAAGCACGTGAGAGGAAGAAAAAGGGAAACCACATGCCATTGTACAATCTACATATTAAATGCCATTGACATTTATTCAAATTTCAAAGTAATTCAAAGAAATCTTTGTAAACAATTACAAATAATGTGGAAAAAGAGGCGTTTTGCGTACAATAAACTTTGGAGTAAAGGTGTGATTGATGTTTAACATTGTAAATTTGTTGTGAGTTTTTATTTCATTTTGTTTGATCATCTGAATAAGACTGATTCTGTTGTTCTTTTGCTCGTTGACGATTGTAAAATTCTTCTTGAAGCTCACGTAAATTTAATTCCAATATTTCGACCTGAAAATGAAGACAAAACACGCAATGAAAAATATGTATTTCTGTGACAACAATATGATGAGAACTAACCTCTTCAAAACGCATTGCCTCACGTGCTTGTTTCACATAGCCTTTGATGATATTGATTTGTTCCACTAGCGGATCATTTATGGATGAGCCACTTGTGTCAAGTGATTGCAAACCGCTCCAATTGTCGATTGATTTGACGGCCATCTGAAATTCATGGAAAAAGGACACAAAGTTAACACGGTTACTGTTTTTTTTTTTTAATGAAAAATGTCTCTTCGAAATCCTTACTCCCATAGCAACTTTATCAATTTGTGACCTCGACACTGGCATTGGTACGCCAACCAATTCATTTCGTTCGATGGCTTCCATCGCAAGTCGGCGCTCTCGTTCAATCTTCATTTCCGTCTCCATTCGTCGCTTGTCTTGCAGTTGTTTTATTTCTTCTTCTAGCGGCATCGGACTCAACGTCAACAAATCCTCTTTAATAAATTTGATACACGCTAGACGAATGGCTTTCTTCAATGCCTCTTCTCTACTTCCAGCTGGGCATTGCAAACTCAAAATCGATTTGCTGTACGCATCGATGAGTTCGGCAGTTTTGCCGATTTTCGCTCGTAAGGCACCTGCATCGTTCAGTGTATAAATGGCATCGCCTTCGTAAAGACGATCGATAATCTTTTCATACATTTTTGTATCGGGTGCGATATCACGTTTTAGTTGATCGATTTTGTCGTAATATAAAGTGACCGGTGGCCGGTATGTTCGGCTCTCTTGCATCTCTTTGCGATTGTTCAGCAGCCGCAGACAATGTTCACATATTCGGAATGGTTCGTCGGTTTTTTTACTTTCAGTTGGCGCTGCGGCGGTCGTTGGTGAAAATGATGGATTCACTATTGCAGCTGCAATAATACAGAAGAATGGGATTAATAACAATGAATCGAAGAAATGTGAGTAAATAATATCATACCAGCATCACCCAGATCTAGAAACAATGAACAATCGTGACACATAATCGATCCACACAATCGACAATGATGCTGCCGTCTGGTCAAATAGAAACGCTTCACGCAATTTGGGCAATGTTTCACCACTTCACCGTCCAGCCATGGAACAATCTGAAATAAATGGCAGAAATTGTATTTTAATGGGCGTTTTTTTAAACAAATTGATGTATCAACATTTCGACGAGCTCACATTTTTCTCATGTTGTCTCCGTTGCGATGGATCATGTGGTAAATCAGTCAATAGCTTGTGAAGGCGAATAATGAGTTTATTTGTTTCAGTCGCGTACCGCTCGAGACGCGGTGTACGGATTGCACGAAAGTATGATAAATGGCTGCAGTCAACGCCAACATCCTGTGGATAAACCGGTGCCGGAATATTTAATTTACTCGGTTGAGATGTGCTGGCATTTTGATTGTTTGGTGCGATTCCGTCGTCGAAGCGTTTGATTTTATTTTTGGCCGATATAAAAATGTCTTTAAAGGCTTTCAGTAAGTCTTGATCGTCTTCGGAGTGTGTATCAAAATGGGCGGTCAATCGGTCGGGTGATTTGAAGTCTACTTTGCATATTGGACACAAAAAACCTTCCATCACTTCATCTTTGTCGTCGTCGGCTGCATCACCAAATGGATTCAACATTTTTTGCTCTTGTTTTAGCTAAACTAGTTTACAATTTTGCTAACCAGATTATGGAGAATAACTTGCGTCACAGTTGTTTTTTTTTTCCTTCTTAATAATTATGAATTTAGTTATGTCGATTCATTCGATTTTGATGATTATCACAGAGTTTGCTGCTGAGTTTTATGATTTATATTTGAATACTGTTTAGCCCTGACAGAAATTCACCGACTTTTTCTTCTTCTTTTCATTAGAAATTGGACTACACAAAAAGCGGATGCGATAAAAATCAGTAGGAATGGTAATGTTTTCGTGCTATGCGAAAAGTTTCTCTTCCATTGAATCAACAACAAAAAAAAACACACACAATTGGCGAAGTTTGACGTTTCATTGTGACACTGACATGTTTGGGCTGCGTACAGAGTCACAACAGCAGCTATAGCAGCAGCGCACCGACCGACCAACAGACACAATACACAATCGCGGGACAATGATGAGTATTACTTTGAATTTGAATGAACAGTTCGGTTCAATATGTTTTTCTTCAAATACACATAGTGTGGCTTTGATTGAATTGGACGGGCACGGAATACGCATATGTGCACTGTACATTGAGTTGGTATGTTTTATTTTGATCCTTTTGTTCGCTTTTGTCGTATAAAACTTTCTTACTGTGTATCTGATATATATATATTCTATTCATGGATAGTTCACTGCTATCTATAATAAAATATAAACAAGCGGAACACATTGGACTGCTACTCGCTTGCGCTCGCTCTCTTTCTCTCCCTCTCTCTCTTATTCCCGCTACATAGTCACTCATATTTCATGTGTTATACACGCACAATATATCTCAAGTGGCCATATGTGTGGCTTGTTGCTTTTGCTCACAAGCTATTTTTTCTCACCCATTTTGTACTACGAGTTAACGATCGAATAAATTAAATTGGCTTTTATAATGTAATAATAGCCAGAGCGCTCAGTCGATTTTCGTATGGCAAACGAATTGAAAGCAGACAACGCTCTATCAACGGTGTGCGCTCGCGATAACATTGCTCTCTCTCTCTGTGTGTGTATCTTTCGATTAATATCATTGTGATATTCGGCGCGGGTTCTATTTTGTTTATCGGAGAATCTAGTTGAATTTCGATTTTTCTTTTTTTGTTTTAACCAAGGTCACTCGGATTTGCAGGACGCGAGACACTGGCGCTTCGATAAAATCAAATGCAGCGTCGTAAATGAGATTTTTAAATCAATTAGACATTGGTTTAAGTTTGGTGCTCTTTGCTGTATGTGAAAAGTGTATGTGTGGGTGGTGAGCACAGCCAAGCAAACAAACAGTGTGAATGTGTGATTGCGCGACAAATTTCTCGAAATTTTTCTAAAATAAAACGAAAAGCGACAGAAAAAGCATTGAGGAGTGACGACGTAAGGCCAAAGGCTACGACAGCAATCATGCCACAATTACGGTTTAGCATTGATGTGCCAATTGAAACGAATGAACAGCAACCACCATCCAGTCCTCCAGACATCGGATCGAATGGGTCGGCCGCAAGTAGTGCCGTCGTACCGACGACACTTATTGAAATGTCATTGAGCGCCCAAAATCTAATTAACGCTGATGTTTTATCCAAATCCGACCCATACTGTGTCATTCAAATGATGAATGTCGCGTGGCAGGATAAATACTGTGAAATTGGCCGCACCGAAAAAATCAAAGATAATTTAAATCCTGAATGGGTAAAAAAATTCCTAATCAACTATAATTTCGAAACGGTACAGAAGATGCGCTTCGAAGTATGGGATCACGATTCAAACGGAAACGATTTTCTCGGTGAATACGAAACAACGCTGGCGGACATCGTGTCTAATTCGGGATCACATCAATTTCGAGGTAAATTGATACACAAAAGTGTACGTAATGCGGGCACTCTCATTATCGTAACGGAAGAAGTAACTTCTTGTAAGCAAAACATTCAACTACAATTTCAAGCGAAGCATCTCGATAAACTGTGCTGGTTCGTACGAAATGATCCGTTTTTAGTGTTGTATCGGTCGAATGAAGACGGATCATCGTCACTAGTTGCACGTACTGAGGTCGCGCATTCCACACAAAATCCCAAGTGGGAAAAAATAGCAACAAAGGCGCGCACTTTATGTAACGGTGATTACGAGCGTTCAATCAAAATTGAATGCTATGACAATCGGTCAAACGGTGATCACAAGCTAATTGGCACGTGTCACACATGCTTGAATATATTATCAAAGGGCCCGGGCGAGAACAACAGCTATGCACTGCGCAATCCGAAAAAGCAACACAAAAAAGAACATTCCGGCTTTCTTGAACTGATCAGCATTAGCATTTCGGAGGAGGTTTCATTTTTGGATTTTATTCGAAGCGGAACTCAAGTACATTTTGCCGTTGCCATTGATTTTACGGCATCAAACAAACCACCCACAGATCCACAATCGTTGCACCATCTAAATCCACAGCGGCCAAACAGCTATGAAATCGCATTGAACAGTGTTGGCGAGATCATACAGCATTATGACACAAGTCGAATGTATCCGGCATTCGGTAAGTTTGTTTGTTTGATAGAAACCATAAATTGGTTATTATTTTTTTGTCGAATTTGTTGGAAAAATTCCAAATACTTGCAACTCAGTTAAGTCCTTTTGCAATTCTCAGAGCGAAAATATTTTTGTTTTTTGTTTCATTTGCTTAATGTTTGTGTTGTCGTAGGTTTTGGTGCAAAATTGCCACCAAGCAATGAAGTTTCACATCAATTTCCATTGAATGGCAATCCAGATCACCCGTATTGTTCATCGATTGAGGAAATTCTACACCACTATCGAAACACTTTGTCACAAGTGCAATTGTTTGGACCAACAAACTTCTCTCCGGTGATAAATAACACCATTTCCATAGCCAAGCAATACCAGGATGGAAAGCATTACTTCGTCTTGCTCATCATAACGGATGGAATTATTTCTGATATAAAGCATACGATAAATGCAGTTATCGATGCTTCAAAGTTGCCAATTTCAATTATAATCGTTGGTGTGGGAGATGCCGACTTTGGTGCTATGGATGATTTAGATGCAGATGACTGTCGCCTATCGATTAATGGGCGCACAGCCGAACGTGACATTGTACAATTTGTGCCATTAAATCAATTTCTAACCGGTCAACATGTACGATCTCAAGCTGATTTGGCGAAAGCCGTTCTGAACGAAATACCAGACCAAATGACGGGATACTTCAAAGCAAAGGGCTACAAACCATCAAATCCATCAGATAATTCAAGTGTACAAACATGAAGTGATTTTACACACATACAACACCCTCAAACCCAAAACAAACATAACAGTTCACAATTATTAAGCGTTATTAGGTCGATCAAATCGTCGAGATGATGAGAAATTTAATCGATGTGCATTTAATGGCCTTTAATTGTTTCATATACCAAATACAAAGTCTATATAAATTAATATACATATTTTTAATCGATTCAGAGAGACAAAAAGGAATTTAGATAAAACAAAAATAAAAAGAAACTTTACAATGTAGAATTAGAATTTTAATGAATACAAATTAATTGAACATCTCGTCTCGATTCGTTCGGGAATTTTATTTGTTATGCATGCGAATATCTTTCAAAAACACAGACTACTACTACATTTATATAAAATGATATAACTCGATTTTTGGATCACGTCGTTTTATTCTCTCTTTTTTTTCCTTCTGTTGCTTTGTTACAAATTTATACTTGTATTTTTTGGAATAAATATTTACTACATGCCAAAACCAAGAAGAAAAAAAATCGCCCAAATTGTTTATTTTCCACCGCATCACCATTTAATGTTCAATGCTGTGTTCATCTTTTCGACGGCATGATAGGTTGTGTGTAGCAGCGTTTCGGCTTTGTCGCTGTCGACACCGTCGAGAAACTGGTTGTAAATTTGATCTGTGTCGGTGTTTTGTACATTGGATTGCGGTAATTTTTCATAAAATTCCATAAGTTGAGCTGTCATCTCGCGAACACTATCACCGCTTCCGGGTCGAATTTGAGCGCCGCCATTCAAACAGCCCGAAGGACATGCCATCACTTCGACGTAATGATAAGTTGATTTGCCACGTTTAAGTTTTTGTACGAGATTTTGAATGTTTCGAAAGCCATTTGCAATGGCAAAACTCAGTACAGTCTTTCCATCGCGTTCAAGCGATACTTCTCTGAAGTCTGGGTTTCGTAAGGCTTTGAATTCCACTTTGTCAATGGTCTCGTTAAACAATTCTTTGGCAGCGTATTTGAAAATGTGCTCAGCATACCCACCCGAGCCAGACGATTCATATCCATAGATTGAATGTGTTGGTGGTGCGGTGGCCAATTTCCATGGCCAATCCATGTTCACGGTATTCTCATCGAGCAACGATACATTCTCACCCGTCAACATTTGCTCAATCTCAATCGATGTGATGACACAGTCAACGTCTCGTGAATTGATTGCCTCGTTAAAGAAATCCTCACGTGATGCTTCGAGTTTTTTGTCATAGCACGGCATTACAGTCACATGATAAATGCGCTCCGCACCGACATTCAACTGTTGCGACAAATATTGCTTCACCAACACACCCATAATTTGTTGCGGTGATCGTGTTGTTGAGATATAAGGTAAGATGAAATTGCCGTGCGTTTTTTCCGCATAGCATACCCAGCCAGGGCATGTGGAGCTTAGCATTGGCATTAAATTCTGTGTTGATTTGGCTGCATCATTGTTCAGTACAACTGATTTATAACGCTCCATAAATTCATTTCGACTTTCGATCAACGATAAATCATCGGCAATTTTGGTATTCAGCACTAAATCGGCACCCAGCCGTTTGAAATAGCCCGTCAGACGCTGGGCAATTTCTTCAAAGTCGGTCGAACCGTATTTATAGGCCAATGATAAAATCGATTGTTGTGACACGGTGAACACAACTGTTTTGACTTGTGCATCGTTGCCAGCCGCTTTGTTCTCGTCATTCTCTTTCAGCACTTTCAACACTTCTTCTTGACTTTGCTGCGTAATTAAAACGCCTTCGGCCGATGTAATGCAACCCGAGCACGCCAAACAATCGCCCAATGTAATTTCGACCTTTTGCAATTTTGGCGGACGACTCAAGTCAATATCAACACCATCCTCACTGATTGTAATTTTTGAGCCTGTTTTTGTTTTGCCTTTCCTAATTTCAACGGGTTTGATGCATTCTTGCGACGGTGTGATGAAATCATCTAAATTCGTGAGTTGTAGCGCTCCACTAAATCGTGACATTTTTTATTCGCTCTCTTTCGATCGCTCGCTCGCTCGTTTGTTTCGAAAATTTTACCGATTACAGTCTAAACAGCTTACAATACGGCACGACCTTTTTGGACTGTTTTATGCGTATGTTCGTTGTGCGTTATTATGTGCGATTGAACAGAGACCACCTCAGAAGAACCCGATGAACTTGAACTGTCAAAAAATAAATCAGCAAACAAATAAATTAGATATTGCACACACACACACACAATCGATACAAGCGAATTTCAATGGGTAATTCATACCAATTAGATTAAAAATCATGTACTTGAAGTCTAACAAGACGGAATAAATGTCGATTTTGACGCGATAAAATCAGGGAAAAATAAAATACACAGCGCAAAAATATTAATTCGTTCACACGTTTTCACGTTGCAATGGGCTGTTGCTGCTGCTTAACGCCGAACAAAAAAAAATTGATTTCACAATAAAAACACACGCATATGACTTGAACGGATTTTGACAGCCACGGAATATTTTCGTCGGATTTGACGTTTTGTGACAAATGAGAATGTGACTGAAACGAATCGAAATGAAACGAAAGAAGAAGAAGAAGAAGAAGAAAAAGGGAAAAAAACAACGCAAGCAACAGTAGTACGATGTGCAGAATCTGCACACATCGCAGTAATACATACGAGCATACTCCATTTGAGCATGATATCATGCAAAAAATATTTTTGTGTCGAAATATTTTCATTTGACCCAGCCAAAAATTTTTCTAATTTTTGTTTCCATGAATTTTTCTTTAGAAAAAAAAAACATGAATGTATAAATAAATGTAGTGTGTTTGTGGCACCATCAGAAGAGAGTTTAGTGTAGTTTATGTGTTTTGTTTATAAACTCATTTTCCATTTGTGTTCCGTTTGATTCTGAACCATCACCATTGAGAGGAGAGCGTAAAGAACATTGAAAACATCATCTAGCACTTCACCAAACGATAGTCGATATTGATTTATTTGACGGGGGGTGTGATTTGAAACGATTTTTTTTCTCATCGTGTTGAAAATAAATATTTAAAATAAATTAAACGAAAAATCAAAATGCCTCCGCAAAAGTGGTCAACGAATACAGCATCGACCAAATATATCACCGATGAGATGTTGGCACCGTTTGTATCCAGCATTTTACCTACCTCACAAATCGAGCTGACATTAAGCTGCAGAAATCTTATAAATACGGATATCCTAAGCAAGTCGGATCCGTATTGCGTGATTTCTACAAAAGAACCGTGGCAAGATCAATACTATGAAATTGCACGCACCGAGACAATTGACGATACGCTTCATCCATCATGGGTGAAAAAAGTGATTTTAAATTACAACTTTGAGACGATACAAAAAATTCACTTTGAAGTTCGTGATGAAGACGTGCAAGGATACGATTTTTTGGGTTCATTCGAAACGACATTGAGTGATTTGGTTTCATATTCGGGGCGTCAATATATTGGAAAATTGAAGGGAATGTCCATTCAGAATTGTGGTGACATTGTCATCGTTAGTGAAGAGGTTTCAAGTTGCAAGCAAATTGTCCAGATTAAATTTCGTGCAGAGCAGCTACCGAAACTTGGATGGGTGTATAGTAATGATCCGTTTTTGGTAATTTCACGAAGCAACGAAGATGGATCCTATTCAGTGGTTGCCAAAACGGAGCCCGTAAAGGGAACGCAAAGCCCAGACTGGCAAGCATTTACCATTCGCGCCACAACACTATGCAACGGTGACTTTGAACGCACCATCAAAATTGATTGCTACGACCACCGGAGTAATGGCAGTCACAAGCTGATTGGAACGTGTCATACATCGTTGAAAAGCCTACTCGCACAAAACGAATCAATGGTGTTTGTGAACGAAGAGAAGAGAAAGGCCGACCCAAGTCGTGGCTCGGCCGGCGTACTAAAAGTTGACAAAATTGACATCACCGAAGAAGTGACATTCTTGGATTACATTCGTAATGGGACACAAATGCATTTTGCCGTTGCTATCGATTTTACTGCATCAAATGGTGTTCATACCGACCCAAATTCGCTGCATTTTCTCAGCCCAAACCGACTAAACTGCTATGAAGTTGCATTGCGTGGTATTGGGGAAATTATCCAACATTATGACAGTTCACAACTATTTCCGGCTTTTGGTAAACTATTTCACTTTTGATTGCCTTGATATTTTGTTTGAATGACACATTTGCATGTCTAAATTTGTCGTGTTAATTTTGGTTTATTTACAGGTTTTGGCGCCAAATTACCTCCAACGGGCAATGTTTCACATCAGTTCCCTTTGAATGGTATGCAATTGTTTTTTTTTTACATTTTGGAATTTTTCTCCATTTCGTCAGTTATTCTGTCGCGTGTTCTACACTCGATTCTGACAATGTCCCTAAAACCGTTATTCAAATGTGAATGAGTATTAATAATAAATATGAAATCAATAATTTTACTTTACTTACAGGAAATCCCTCCCATCCATACTGCTCTAGTATCGAAGAAATACTTGTACATTATCGTACCCAACTGAACGCCGTACAACTGTATGGACCTACCAACTTCGCTCCGGTGATAAATAATACGATTTCAATTGCAACTCAATTTCAAGACGGACGTCATTACTTTGTGCTATTGATAATCACGGACGGAATCATTTCTGATATGCATCAAACGAAACGCGCCATAATAAATGCATCCGCTCTGCCAATTTCGATAATCATCGTCGGCGTTGGAAATGCTGAATTCGATAACATGGATGAACTAGACTCGGACGACGTTCGTTTGAGTGCTGATGGTCGTTACGCCGAACGAGATATCGTGCAGTTTGTTCCATTGAACAAATTCCTTTCAAATAGTGGACCAAATCAATATATAAAATCTCAGGCCGATTTAGCCAAGGAGGTGTGTGAGATATTGAAATAGTTTCTTCTGAATTTTCCATTCGTTTCAATTCCTTCAGAACAATAATCATTCATCTTTCTTCCGAATTTCAGGTCTTAGCAGAGATCCCTGAGCAGTTGACCTCTTTCATGAAATCCCGTGGAATAAAACCACAACAACCAGCTACACAAAATATGTCAACCGACGGTGTACAACCAACAGCACCCATGTCTTAATTCTGTGTCATTTTTGAAACCAGCAAACCAAAGAACTAACTTTAATTATTGACTTTGTTATGGGCACACACACACTCACTCATTCCACTATTTCGCTCTCTATCACGAACAAGCTGGAACTTTTCAAGCTTTTAATAACCTACTCAGGTTTCTATTGATGTACAAACTCTTTATGTGTTTATTACAAACACGAATATTGAAATATTGAATGTTGAATGTTTTTATTTCAGTCGATTTGTCTGTGCGCGATTAACAATCACATTCTTCGAAATGTTTATATAGTATATCGTGTATGTTGCAGCTTTTTTCTTTATCAGGAGGTGTTGTGATTTTTACAGTAAACACTTTATTCGTATGGTATATGGTATATGGTGTCGGAGTAAAAAATAACAATAAAGACAATTTCTTACAATCATCGTCTATTTTGAGGTGTACAATCAAATGTTTTCTATTTCTACTTTCAAATATGCACAAATAACGAATAAAAAAATAAAGAACATTTTCAATACATTTGGACTTGTGTTTTTAATTCGATTTTGTTTGATTTTTAAAAATTGTATACTCAAGTCTTATCAAGAAAATACATTGAAAATTGAGTAAAACTCTGGTAATCATCATATCAAAATCTCTTGGCTTTATTTATTACGGAGCCTACATTTATGCCAATATGTGTTCCCAGCAAGCTGAGAACATGCTGGTCAGAGACCCAATACGGCATAAATTCCGCCCATGGTGCGTCTTTTGCAAAGAGAATACAGTCAAGGGAGGGATGGTATAAAAGTGAAGCTTTCATACCAGAATTTGGTTCGGAAAACCATGGTAAAACCGGTCTGATTCTGATGAACCAGGGCTAATGCAATGACGATGAGTTTTTACAATTAAAGTACGTTAACATCAATGGGAAAAATCAATTGAAAAATCACAATCTAAAATTTAGATTGGTTTTGACATTGTTAGTACAACAAAGCAGCAATATTGGTGTGGTTAAAGTTTGACAAAAATGTACTGAAATTAATATTCTACATGATAATCGAATATGGAACTCAAAGGACTACATAGGATTTCCCAATTGATTTTACTTATGTCCGTTTTGCCTTTTCTTTTCAACACTCTCAAGATAGTCAGCAACCTGCTTGCAATCTAGGAAAAAGAATCGATACAGTTTGAACCACTTTTTTTCTAAACAGAATTGTTCAACATTACTTTCCCGAACAGCTAATTGATACGGTGTCTGTTTAGAAGAGTCTTTAAGAGTAACACTGGCCCCATTGTCAACAAGAAGTTGAACTATCTGTAAGTTGCCTGGAGGATATTATCGAAATATGATAAAGATTAGATTAATTGCTCATCAAAAATAAATATTTATTCTACAAATCCTAGCAGCATGATGAAGAGGTGTCCGCTTTTCTTTGTCTATAGCATTAACTTTAGCTTTTTTCGTGATGAGCAATTCGACAACCTTAATGCGATCTGAAAAATAACATCGATCAATGTTAAGAATCAAGTCATTCTCTTATTCAGTTAAATTAAATTTCCAAAATTACCATAAATAGCAGCATAATGAATAGGTGTCCGCTTATAAACGTCCGTTTGTTCAACTTTCGCTCCTTTCGTGATAAGCATTTCAACGACATCCAAGTGACCTAAGAATTAAAATCGATTAATAAAATAGATCAAAACAATTCACTTCTTAATGTGACCTGAAAAATAACATCGATCAATGTTAAAAATCAAGTCATTCTCTTATTCAGTTAAATTAAATATCCAAAATTACCCAAATGAGCAGCATAATGAAGAGGTGTCTGCTTATCTTTGTCTATAGCATTAACTTTAGCTCCTTCCGTGATAAGCATTTCAACGACATCCAAGCGACCTAAGAATTAAAATCGATTAATAAAATAGATCAAAACAATTTCTTATTTAATCAAATATGTAACATTACCATTCGCAGCAGCCAAATGAAGAGGTGTCCGCTTCCAATAGTCTTCAGGAGCAACTTTGGCTCCGTTTTTGATGAGCTCTTTAACGACATCCTTGTAACCTAATACAGATCAATGAAATTGAAAAGAAAAACCAAATTTATATTTAGTGTGAATCGACGGTCGCAAGTGTCAAACGTAAATGCTTAGTAGCGACAGTAAGAGTATTCTTACCATTCTTAGCAGCCAAATGAAGTGGTTCCTCACTAAGATTTCTGATGTCCTTCGAATCAACTTTGGCTCCTTTTCTGATGAGCTCTTTAACGGTCTCCAAATCACCTGAAATAAATCAATGAAGAAGATTTAATCAATTCCTGATTTAGTGAACATAAATATCCAAGGTTACCCTTCTCTGCAGCGTTATGAAGATCTGTCCGCCCTGTTTCGCATTCATCGTTTCGAAAAATTGAAAAAAAAAACGGATTAATGAAGTGAATCGAAAGAAAATACAACGAATTTATCATAAATTGAATTAAGTTTTAGTTAATTTAGCTAGGATTCTTTGCTGGATCGTATCAAAAATGCCTTCATATATCAAACGGTGCTTTGTATATGGAATGGTAAGAATGAAATTTAAAACTGAAATGGAACTTCAAACTTACCTTCCATCATTCCTGCCTTTGCCCCACGTCCACCTTCAATTTGCTTCATGTTGGAAATTGTGAACGCATAAAAGATAATTAGTTTGAATCAAAAAATTGAACGAATTGAAATAGAAGGTCAATTGATTTTTAGAACTGAAAAAAACTATTTGCGAATTTTGCAACGCAAAACTAAAATGTCGAGTAAAGAATACGATTCCTTATCATTTATTTCTTTTTTCCATCGTTTTCTAAAAGCCAATTTGTATGAAAAATGAAAAAAAAGCTCTTCATGTCATCAATCGGCCCGATGAAAAAAAAATACAGAAAAAGTTGTAAGTTACCATGAATTGGTCTCCCAAAACCGCAACCAGAATCAAATAAACTAAACGGAGAGAAAATATCGATTAAAACACAATGGGTGACTGAAATCTTAAGTATTGTCAAAAATGAAAATTCGAAAAAAATGACGAAAAAAAGAATTAAGAAGAGACTCACCCATCAATTGCTTAGACATGTTTCTAGTCGAATCACTTGAACAATAACTAAATTTCCACGAATTCGGTGCCTCATTTATAGTCAACAATTAGATATTGTAGACTTGTCATCGTTATGACACCACTTGTAACACAAACTGCCAAAATCCAGTTCCAAATCGTTATATACAACTTCTATGCAACAAAAATTTTCGTTGCTAATCGGTTGCAAATATTGATAAGCCACTGGAATAGCGCACTTGGGCGGAGCCTAAAATGCTCTTATGCCACATCTTTGGAGTAGCATTAGTTGTTCCCGGGAACATAATTGCCACATGATTAGGTTCCATGCCACTGAAATGTCACAAATTTGCCACTAAATATGTTCCGTACAACAAAATTTGCGTAGCAATTCAGTTCCAAAAGAAATTTTTTATATTAAAATTTGTTGCAAATCTTGTAGCAATTCAAAAACTAAAAACTTCAAATAAATAATAAAAAAGGAATGAACAAATGAAAAACTTTTTGTTTGCAAATAAATATATGAACTTTGAAATCGATTTTCGGTCGATTCTTAAACCAAATTTTTGATACGCTTCCAAATTCTTGGGAAAAGTTATGATTTTTCCCTTCTGAATTTTCACGCGCCACTTGAATTCCTTAAAATAAAAAAGTTAGTTTTTTCAAGAAAATTTAAAAAATTTAAATTAGTGATTATAACATAAAGAATTTTTATCAGATAGCTTCAATAATGTATTATTATTCCATTACATATGGATTTTATGGATATTTATTATGTTTTAATTCATTATTTTGCACAGAAAATATCAACATTTTCTTTGTCTCTGAAAACACGTGGTAAATAGGTGAAAAATATGGCGATTTTCCATCTTGTTCCAGGAATACCAATATTTGTAGCAAATCATGATTTGGCACAATTATGCCCTTAGTTGTAGCAAACAAGTTGATAACACGTAATTTCAACTAATTTGTGGCAAATACTTGTTCTCAATAGCGTGTTGCCACAAGTATTGTAAATTCTCTTTGAATTTTGTTGCATACAAGTGACTAACACTCCTTTGTTACAACAGATTTGTTCCAATAATGTTTCAATGATGTTTCACCAATGTTGCAATGCTACTTGATGAAATGTTCCAAAAAATTGCATATGTAACTTTTATGTTACTTATTTGCCACAGAATAATGTTCGGAACTATATTGGTACATCATTGCCACTCATATGGGACTAACCCATCGTGCAACATAAATGCCACTGAAATGTCTCACATTTGCCACTAATCTTGTTCCGGGCCACGGTTATGCGACGGCTATAGAACAAATTTTTGCGGCAAATCGAAATTGGTGTTACTAGTGACGTACAGCAAAACAAAATTCCTTACGACTGAAATCGAAAACAAATTATTTGAAAACATGTTTTTAATTCGAGCTTCTTGCATCGATTCTCGCGTTTTGTTATTTTGACAGGTGCAAATGTTTGGATATGTAAATGAACTCGTATTGACGCAAAGGAAATTGCGCATGAAAACCACATGAGTAACAAATTTTTCTGAAAATATTTTATTTTCGAACTCAGTAAACGTACGATTAAGTGTCCTTGTGTAAATTCTCGCTTGTTCATTACACATCTGCGTCTGTGCATTCCAACCATTGAAACATATGCAAATGGATAAAAAGCGAGAAATGACACAATAAGCTCGAATGAAAAACAATTTTTTTTGATAATTTATTCTCGAATTCCGTCGCAAGGAATTTTGTTTTGCTATACGTGTCAAAATGACGATATGTTAATAATAATTTATTATTCTTTTGCATTTCAACACGAGTTCATTTCTAGGGGCTTTTTACTCTTTTTCATATATGCGATTTGTACGGATAAACGCGCATAGATTGTGTGCCACAGTGAAGTGTGTCGAATTTTGCACATAGTCACGAATATTACGCATAGAAGCGAATACGTGTGCACATAATGACGCCACGATGCGATTTAAGACGTATCAACACAATGTCAACATTCTGTTGTATCGTTAAGGTTCGTTCAAACAATATTTGACATCAACAATTTCTGTCTTTAATATTTATCAAATCCCTTGCTAATGAGATTGTTCTTATTTGATGAAAATTGAATTTAAATATAACACAAAATTAAAATATAATAGCAAAGAATAAGAATGAAAACGAAAATCAAAATGTTATAGTATACAAATATTGAAGTAAAACCGCCGATAGTTTTGGTAGATATAAAAATCATTGAAAAAATAAGTGCGACGATTCATTATACTTGGAAATAGCATCTGGATTATAAATAATAAAAAAATCCATATGTACAAATGATTGAAGTTAACAAAAATAATCAGCAAAAAATGTGAGCCGAAATAAGTACAAATCAAATCACTTGCAATCAAGTATTTCTTGAATTTTTACATGGAAAAAGTCGTTGCAATTTTGAATTCAAAATAGTCGATATTGTGGCGTGTGACCAATCAGAGAAGGAAACATTTTAGTAGGACTCATGCGAAATTATTCGCAGTATGAATGGTCTATGTGCAGTATTCGGACATCGAATGTGTGCACTTCTAACGAATAGGCACCGCATAATACGCATAGTACAAAGAAATCGCCACATACTATAAGTTGAAGCGCATATTCTTCGCATAAAACGAATTTTTTTCGAGTTAAATGCCCCTAGGTTCATTTACATATTTACACATCCGCATCAATGTAATGAACAAGCGAGAATTTACACAGGGACATGTAATCGTACGTTCGCTGAGTTCGAAAATAAATTATTATCAGGGCAACAAAAAATATTTACGAAAAAACATCGAAATATTTACGAAAAACCACTACAGTACTGAAAATATTTATGATAAAAAATATGGGAAAATAGCTTAAAATTGTGTATATTTTTTGACATTTTTTCAATTTTCAACACTGAACCAACATATTACAGTAAATGATGAAATGTTTGGACAAATTATCGAATAAAAACGAGCGTCGGTTGTCAGTCAAAACCAAGCATGTAGGGCTATTCAGAAATAAATTATTATCCGTTTTAATGACAGTTTCCCAATATCCGTCCAATTGAACGGTGCCCGTGTTTCGCAACTGAATGAGCAATTGGAAAAAGTCTTTGCCTGTAATGTTATTTTGCTCTCGATATTCCAGATTTTGCTTGACAACTGAATGGATAAAATTTTCCACTCCTGGGTCGACAAATTTGATGCGTATAAACCGTATGACACAAGGTTGCTGCAACAGCAATATACCACAGGCGATCCTGGTGGCACCGATTGTAATGTGTTGAAAAATACATTGTAACACACAGGATTTTACTATCGGTGGCACAAGGTGTCGCTAGTGGTAATGCTCTTGCAGCAACGGTGTGCCGTATGAATTGAGGTGCGACGAAACGTGAGAGTCGTTTGAATGAATTCCATGCGGACGTTTCGAAAATCTTTTGTCCATATTTACGGAAATCATTTTCATGGCCAAAATCTCACACACATTTCTCCTTTCTCGGCCACTTTCTGCAAATAACTCTCTAAACTTGAGTGAAATGCGAAAAATCCTTCATTAATATCGTATGGATGATATCGCATCAGCATTTAATCTATGATACAAACACTGTGTGAATCGTTACAAAGAATGATAACAATCACACTGCGAAGGTCTATTACTGCAACTACGCATCAGCTAACAAAGTTGTATTAAATGAATCATTTGATGGTTTGATTTGAAAAAAAAAACAAATCCCCAAATAAACCAAAAAAATCTACTGCGAGTAATACTTTCGTTCAATAAATACAGCATCGACCAAATATATCACCGATGAAAATCTCATTGGCGCCGTCTGTATTCTGTAACAAGCCTATTCCTACCTCACATATCAAATTAAAATTGAACTGTAGATTTCTGATAAAAACCTTCATTATCACTAGTCGGTAGATCCGTTTTGCGTTTTTTTACTTGGGACAGAACCGTGGAAAGATCAATACTTGAATGTTTACTACAGTAGATGGACAATTGGACATATATGTTCATCTATGAAAATGAATGTTAAGCATAACCACTAAAGTGGGTGGGATTGAAATGTAATAACCATGTATTGAATACATACAAAATACGAAGTGTGAAATTTTAGAGCACCATCCATACATGAAGGAAAAATCCAATACTAATTGGTGTGATTTCGCAACATTTCGCAATATGTGGAAATCAACCACGGCTATTTACAGCTGATTTAGCCGTCAATTATGGATGGCGCTCTACAATTGTTCAAAGTGTGACAATAAGCGGGTGGTGATAACAAGATCAAACCAGTAAAATTCACTGAAAGTTTATTTTATTTCTTAATTAATTCATCTGCACATCTATATCTGTGCGTGGCTGAATGAGCGCTTCAAAACAAACCATTTTTTGTCGCTGTATCTAACCAAAACATATTGCATCATATGTTTTGCACATCAAATTGTTGATAGCATAATCAGAAAAACGCCTTGAAATGCTGTATTCTGTTCTCTATCATTAACCCACTTCATTGTAGAAAATTTACAGGATGATATAAGCTCGTTAATATAAATGACAATATTTTATATGCAAGAATTTTTGGAAACTCTCATACCTCTGAAAAAGAAAACAACTGTAGTCAATATATAAAATCAAAAGTTTGCCGTTAAAAAAAAAAATCACCAAAATTTCAATGTATAAAGAAAATGCATTGGTACCAATTTTCAAGAACTTTTTCGACTGTTGAAATCTTCGGAGTCTATGGGTTAAATTTTTGATAGCATAATCGGTAGAACGCCACGAATTTTGGCACTTTTTAAAAATCAAAGTTCATAACGCCAGTCCATGTAGTCTGTAACAAATTGTGATGAGATTAACATTCAGAAACCGACAGAAATTGACTGCAAACGTTCAACAAAGCTTTCATTAAATAGAAAACGGATCCATTTTATTGAATTTTTCGTAAGTAATTTCTTATTCATACACCATTTCAACTGCATTCTTACTATCGATTTGCTATTAATTATTTTCAATAATATTATTCTGTATACATTGAGGCCACTCAACTGCGCTATGGCATACAATCGACTAGTGTTCAAGAGAGAGGTGGATGCTGCCGAAACAGCAGACTCCTTCATTACTCCCACATACGAAACACATTTTTTTAGTCGCAGACATCGCACTAGCACAGCTGCATATGGTATGTACCTATTTCGTGCTATCTTGAATATATTTTCGCAATATTTAAGCATTTCAACGTTATAACTAAGCAGATGGACTAGAAAATGTGTCCCCATACCTACGTATCTTTGATAGTTCCACTAGACCAGGATGAGAAGGTTAATAAGCGCATCGCTGAGTCAGCTGAGATGGAAAAACTGGCAAAATGGGGTGTGGTATCGATCTATATATGCATTACACTACTTTCACTGGGACTACTGTTTTTATCTGTTCGACTGCTATTGAAGAAAAGACGAGGAAAGGATGGCAAAAATGGGACAAGAGTAACGGATCTCAAAGCCGTACAATATAAAGTGAAGGTAAATGGTTCAGCATATGATGAAAGGTGAAGTAATCGAACCAGTTGAATCATCATTTTGGATCCTTTTTATTTTAGGTGCAACCTGACATGGAAGAATTGACTCAAAAGAACGAAGAGTTGGACGAAGATGGAATTAATTTGGGCAAATTGAAATACAAGGTTTCTATTGGTTTGATTTTGTAATTTTTGTGTGTGAATCGTTTTCTAGTAAAATCATTGCTGTTAAATACGTTGACCTGTCCGTTTAGATATACATAAAATTTTGTTGAGAATTTTCATCAAATTCGATTACGGTTTTTCTAATGCCACTCATTTTTTTACTCTATCTTTTCTTCAACCTATCGAATTGAATGTCCTACGTAATATCGGAAACATGTTCCACAGTTGGATTATGACTTCAGTGCCAATAGCCTTCACGTAACTGTTATACAAGTGGAAGATTTACCTGCTTTGGATGTGGGAAGTTTATCGAATCCGTTTGTTAAACTCTACTTATTGCCAGATAAAAAGAAAACGTTCGAAACCCAAATTTATCGAAAGACGCTCAATGCACTATTCAACGAAACATTCGTTTTCAAGGTTTTTATGCAATTTTATTCTTTCTGTAAATGTTGATTAGCCATGTGGGAGAAAATTCTATCAAAATGTTCATCTTCCTAAAGTTTGATTTAATCGCTATTGTTATTACATTGCAGAATCTTCCGTACGCTAAAGCTATGAACACAACACTCGTTCTTGCAGTTTTTGACTTTAGTAAGTTCACGAAACGAGAAATTGGTGAAGTGCAAGTGCCATTGTGTCAGAGCGACTTGACACAGACAACCGTTGTATCGAACATACGGAAAATCCGCAGTACAAGCATTCCCAAGAACTAAAGCCGCTCGCTGCATATCAATCAGATATTATCCATGAAAAATTGAACCTAGAGATGAGAAATACAAACAAATTTGATAATTGTAACAATGAAAACAGTACACATATTCAATACATTTGCCACTTGAAAGCCAAAACAGAGTCTAGGCAAACACACTTTTTATATTTTGAATTGATGATATATTGTTTATACCACATATCACCAAATCAGTTGAAAATTGTTATCTTATTTTAATATAACACAAACAATGACTCTTCACTCAAGTGTAGTTGTAGAGATACAGTTTTGAAACGAGTAAATAATCCAAATAGCTACCAAAGTAATTTAAATGTTTATGTTTCAGAAAAAGCTCGAATACAATAAAAATGTCCAATGTTCAAGTGGTGACATTTAGATATTTTCTTCAATAATAATGACTCAACTAGTGAATCATTTGCCAAAGGATGGGATTAACGCTAATTTGTTCGTTTTGGAATATTTTTAGCATGGATTTGCCTCAAGTATACTTTGCCGGCACAAATATCTACTTTTTACTATCGTACTTTTCTGTATGATAAGGAATTGATAATGAGACGTTTATCCGTAATACCGAGACAGAAAATAATTGAAAGTAATTTTGTTTGAAATACATATAGGCCATTGTAATCTACCGAATGGTAATAATCCGAAACGTGTTTTTATTTCCACTTGTTTGTTTTGAGTTTCATTTTATGTTCTATGGTTTTATCGAAATTTTATAAATTCCCCTTGATATAGCGATGGACAATTACATTTCTGGCGAGTTTTACTTTGTCATTAATCATATTCGGAATTTCTTATGGAATTTAGAGCAGAAGCACAAATCAAGGCGAAGTACCAACAAAGCCAGGAAATAATAATAGTACGTCTAATCATCCTGACGAAAGCTCAGGAAATGATCCAAAGATTGTTTCTCGAGCTGAATGGAATGCACACCAACTAAGGAAATACCGTTGGAACTGCCTTCGAAATGTATAATTATTGCTCATACAGGCGGATATTCGCGTTCGTCACAGGTATGTTGATACACACAAGAGTTAATCAATCATGTGATGCACATCCATCCGTATTGGATGAAACAAAAAACGTCTTACGCAGCAAAATTGCGGTCAACAGGTTAAAACGATTCAAACGTATCAAATGCAGCTATAAAAGATGGACGAAATTTCATACAATTTTCTTGTTGGAAGCGATGGTTATGGTTACGATGGTAGAGGCTGGGATGTCATGGGAAACCATACCGAGGGTCACAATGCTAAAACTATTTGTATTACATTTATTGGAAATTTCTCTGAAGAGCCGCCGCCAGCACATCAATTGAAAGCTGCCAACAAATTGAGAAAAGGTGCAAAATTGGGAAAAATTAACTCCGAATACAAACTATTTGGACTCAGCCCTGGTCCAACATTATATGGAATCATTCAAACATGGGATCATTGGAGCAGTGAAACCTGTTCATAAGGGTATCGTAAAAAAAACGAATAAATTTAAGAGCATTTTCAAAACATTCAAGGTCGTATTTTCAATAAAACTTTCTTTTATTTTGTTGTTTCTATTTTTCAAACATGTATTGTAAGAAAAGCTTTTGAAGAAAATACATAAATAAACAAAGTGAAACTATGTTAATTATCATATGCAATTTATTATTTAAATATTGAGTGAAGCAATTTTCTAAAAGTTATTTTCAGTAGATGTCAATTTTATATTATCAAGACAGATAGTAACACATTGTAATCAGAATTGCAACATTATCAATGTCAAATCAAAAGTCATTCATCGAAAGTTTTTCTTCTGGAATTTTCAAAAAAAAAAATTGTTTTGCTATGAAGTTTTATAAAAATAAAATTCATATTATGATGATACAAGCTTTCATTCGTTTATCATCAATACCTGTTGCAGCTTGAAAGCAGTCACATTTGTTGTCAAATAGATACATGAAAGGGGAAGTGTTACCTATTATTCCACCGTTGCCTTGGAATATTACATTCCATAAATATTGAGAGGGAAATTCAAACCACATGTTCATTCATGTGCCTTTTCAAAATGAACTCACTGGAATGGAGCAACCATTGTTCTCCACCGACATTTATTATAATAAAATGCGCACACTCCAAACATATTAAAGTACTCCTCACTTGACCGTATGTAAATGACAACTGTATTTCTCAGTGACATAAAGAATTTCGTGCAAACCATTACCTTATCGAAACTTCTGCACAATAGCACGGTAATTTAGTTGAGTGTTTGTAGATTTCACTTGCATCAATTTATTCAAAGCAACAGTTGTCCAAATAGAACCATATTTATAGTATATACATAGTGCACAGTCTCAAGACAATCGAAAGTCGACAAAATGAGTGAAGTAATTGCACCATTTCTGAAGAGTTCGCTGCCAACAACGCAGGTCGAGTTGACCTTGAGTTGTAGAAATCTCCGGAATAAAGATTATTTAAGTAAATCGGATCCCTATTGCAAGGTATCGATGAAAGAGCCATGGCAAGATCATTTCTCTGAAGTTGCTCGCACTGAGATGATCAAAGATTGCTTGAATCCGCAATGGGTGAAAAAGGTCATTTTGGACTATAACTTTGAAATGATTCAAAAACTTCGATTCGAAATTCGTGATGACGACGACGGAGAAGAGTACGATTTCTTGGGATTTTTTCAAACTACACTCAGTGAATTGGTTTCATTTTCCGGGCGACAATTCGTTGGTCGACTCAAAGGTGAAGCGCCCACGGACTTTGGCGAAATCATTGTGGTATGCGAGGAGGTGATTAGTTGCAAGCAAATTGCTGAGATTCAATTTCGCGCGGAGAATTTGCCAAAGACATCGTGGTTGAGTGGCATCAATCCGTTTTTGGTCATATCAAGATCCGTCGAAGACGGTTCGTTTTCGGTGGTTGCAAAAACGGAAGTAGTACATGGAAAACAGAATCCAACATGGAAACCGATAACAATCCGAGCAACGACACTCTGCAATGGTGAAAAATTGAAGAAAAAAAAAACGATTTATTCGATCAAGAAACTTCTTTAATCTTTTTAATGATTGTGAACATTCGTAGGTGATTTTGACCGAACAATCAAGATTGATTGCTATGGCCACCGAGGTGATGGAGATCATAAATTGTTGGGAACATGCTATACGTCATTGAGAGGACTTAGTTCGCAGAATGATTGCATGATTTTTTTCAATGAAAAAAAGAGAAAGGAAAAGCCCCACCATACGGCTGGTGAATTGAAAGTGCAAAATATTCGAATCGTTGAAGAAGCGACATTCTTGGATTACATCAAGAACGGAACACAAATGCATTTTGCCGTTGCCATCGATTTTACTGCATCGAACGGTGTTCATACCGACCCAAATTCGCTGCATCATCTTAGCCCAAACCGTTCGAATTTCTATGAAATTGCACTGCGTGGAGTTGGCGAGATTATACAGTATTATGATAGCTCGAAAATGTTTCCGGCGTTCGGTAGATTTATATCTTTCACTTTGTCGATAATTTGTCAATAATTTCATTAGTTGACTTCACGTTAGTTCAGCTTGATTGTCGTCATTTTTCTATTTTAGGCTTTGGCGCCAAACTGCCACACGGCAATGTTTCACATCAGTTCCCCTTAAACGGCACACCCAGTCATCCGTATTGCGATGGCATCGAAGAAATCTTAACTCATTACCGCAACCAACTAAATACGGTGCAACTCTATGGACCCACCAATTTTGCCCCTGTGATAAACAACACCGCTTTTATTGCAGCCCAATTTCAAGATGGTCGTCATTACTTTGTGCTATTGATAATCACCGATGGACAAATTTCCGATTTATTTGAAACGAAAAGAAGGTAATGCATGGGAAGAAGTCCAAACTTCTTAAGTTTTACTTAAATTTTCTTTACTTTTATTTTTCTCCTTTCATTCCACCTTTTAAAGCATAATAAATGCATCGTCGCTGCCCATGTCCATCATTATTGTAGGCGTTGGAGATGCTGAGTTCGACAACATGGATGAATTAGACTCGGATGATGTTCGTTTGAATATCGGAAATCAGGTTGCTAAGCGAGATATCGTACAGTTTGTTCCTTTGAATAAATTCCTTTCAAACAGTGGACCAAGTCGATTTATAAAATCTCAAGCCGATTTAGCGAAGGAGGTGTGTGACATATTGAAATTATTCCTTTTGAATTTTGCTATTTTTTTTGGAAATGGATGATTCATCAAAAAATGCTTCATACGTTTTATTTATTTTCATTCTAATTTTTTTTCGAATTTCTCAGGTCCTTGCAGAAATCCCGGAACAGCTGACTAGTTTTATGAAATCCCATGGATTTGAACCACAAGTGGCGGCACAACACCTGCCTCCAGATTCAACCGTCATTGTGCCAACTGCACCGCTATCTTAAGCTTGTCGCACAATCTTTTAATTTATCTACTGTTTCGATAAAAACTTAATTGCGACTTTTAAGTGAAAAGAATTGCCCTATTGCATTTTGAAAATCATTCGTAGTTATTCGTATTATTTTGGTGTATATTTCCGTATAGACGTGAACAATCAATTAATTACCGTAATCAATGTCAATTTCGATAGAAAAATCAACTCATCAGTATTTTACCTTTATATCCTATCAATAATGTATTTTCACATTCAATTCGTTCAATACACCAACGTATATCTGGAGGAAAAGCACAGTGTGACAGCACAGAATGCAGCCATATTTCGACAACGCAGCACATAAACAAACTGATGGAAAAGAATTGTCAGAATTGTGAAAATCTTACATTCATTCGATAGCATTCCATCAGTTGCGCACATTCAACTACAGTCAAGGATATATATATATCGTACGACGATTTGATCATTTTAACCGTTAGTTAATTAAGTGATTGAATGAATCATTATTAATAACTGACTTAAATTGTTTTGTATGTAAAATCCCTTTGGATGTCAAATTTTAATAAACGTATTGTTTCCAAATGGAATTATTGGAAATTTGGAACCAACATTCCCCTATTCTCAACACACATACGTACTATTGTTTATAAACAATAACATTTGCATGCACTAAATTGAAGCTGCATTTGCACGTCAGCTGCTCTACAACCACTGTGTGGAATAAACAATAGTTTAGTGTAATGTCAACAGAGAGAGTTCTACTTTCATATTCATTCAGTTCAATTTTTGTTTTCAAAGAAAAAAAAACAGAAAAAATTTATTATATCTTTCAAAAAGAATTAAATCAATTTAGAAGTGACCACTTTGAATTTTCATTTGAAATGCAAAAAAAAAAACGAAATGAATGAAGCAGTTCCGCCATTTCTGAAGAGCATTTTGCCGACAACACAAGTCGAGTTTACTTTGAGTGGAAAAAATCTCCGAAACACTGATTTTCTGAGTAAATCGGATCCATTCTGTTTGATCATACTAGGTCAAGAATCTTCATTGAAGATCTGACAAAAGTGCTTTCTATCTTAAATACGGGTTTAATAGACTGACTTTGCGATAAGATGTGTTCATGTTCAAATGTATATTTGAATCCCATTCCAAGTCGTTTTTAAATTAACAACCAACATGTTTCAAATATTTCTAGAGCGCTATACGTTTTGCAAATAAATACATATATATTGCACTGTATTTCATTTGATTACAAAGGTGTTTTCAATATTATAATCACTATAAAATGAAACGATAGTCATCGTCTATTTCGATTTTGATCGAACAAAGCTAGGGGCTTCCATGTATATTCCATCCAAGAAATATACACCATAGATGACAGTCATACGAAATATTCACAATACTGGCAAAATATGCACCATATTCACGGAATATACACGATATTCATGAAATATACACCTCATATTCACGATCGGTAACAAAGATTCGACATTGCCGTAAACACATATTTTTTACATGCTGTGTATATTCTGTGAATATGGTGAATAATATACACGGATTATATGCAATATTCACGAAATATTCACACAAATACGAATGTATATTTTGACTTAAAAGCCCCTAGGAACAAAGTCTACTGGAAGTTACAATTTTTTCTGTTCATTTTTTTATTCTTCAACGGTCTTTTTGACCCAAAAAATGCTCAATTTGGGAACATTGCATTAGTTTGAAGCAAAACTAAAAAAGAGCATATTACTGTTGTTTCTTCACCTCTAGATCTTTGACTTCATTGCCTATAAAATTGGGGAAAAAATTGACGCATATGTCCTGTAACAAAAAGTGCTTTCACATAATATACACCAACGTATATGTGATAGCACAGAATGCAGCCATATTTTGACAAAACAGGCCATAAAATAACCGATCGAAAAGAACTGTCAGAATTGTGACAATCTCATATGCATTATTCATTTGATAACATTCCATCAGTTTCACACATTCAATCATCTGATGGCAATTTATGTATCAGAGTTTTAAGAAATATACATTATTCGACGCAAACACGCAATAGTTCATTAAGTGATTGAATGAATCATTATTATTATTAATAACTGACTAAATTATTGTGTTTTGTTTGGAAAATCCCTGCGAACGTCAAATCCAAATAAACTTTCTGTTTCCAAGTGGAATCGTTTGTGTTTGGCCTTTGACGTTATTCATAGACAAATATTAAATTATCATGCGCATAGTCAATGCAAGCAATTTCTCCTATTTTCAGCATATACATACAGTTGTGTATGATTAATAACATTTGATGCGGCATTTGTAATTCAGTTGCTCTACAATCGTTGTGTGTGAAACATACAATAATTTAGTGTAGTGTAGTTTCAGTAGAGAGAAAGTTTCGCCTTCATTTTTCGTAAAGAAAAAAAAACACAAAAAATATTATATCTTTCAAAATGAATTAAATTACTTTAAATTTTCATTTGAAACGTTAAGAAAAAACACAGAACAAAATGAATGAAGAAATTGGGCCATTTCTGAAGAGCACTTTGCCGACAACACAAGTTGAGTTGACCTTGAGCGGTAAAAATCTTCTCAATACAGATATTCTGAGTAAATCCGATCCATTCTGTTTGATTTCAATGAAAGAGTCTTGGCAAAATCGATATTTTGAAATTGCTCGCACCGAAGTCATCCAAGATACGCTCAATCCAGAATGGGTGAAAAAAGTCATTCTGAACTATAATTTCGAAACGATACAAAAACTTCGGTTTGAACTTCGTGACGAGGACGACGGTGACTATGACTTTTTGGGTGTTTTCGAAACAACGCTCAGCGAATTGGTCTCGTTTTCGGGACGTCAATTCGTTGGTAAACTGAATGGACAGACAGGACAAGATTTTGGTGAAATCATTGTAGTTTGCGAAGAGGTTGCCAGCTGTAAGCAAATAGCCGAGATACAATTTAATGCAGTGGGTTTACCATCTTCCGGGTGGTTATGCCTTGGTTTGACTGGTCGTGATGCATTTTTGGTCATATCACGCAGCAACGAAGATGGATCTTATTCGGTTGTTTCGAAAACCGAAGTTGCACACGGAACACAGAATCCCCTTTGGAAACCATTTAGCATTCGTGCAACGACACTTTGCAACGGAGATTTCGACCGGACTATCAAGATTGATTGCTACGACCATAAGAATGATGGAGATCACAAGCTGATTGGAACGTGTTATTCATCATTGAGAAGCTTAAGCGCTCAAAATGAACCGCCCATGATTTTGATCAACGAACGAAAACGTAAAGAAGATCCAAACCATTCGGCTGGCGTTTTGAAAGTGTACAAAGCTCGTATTGTTGAAGAAGTGACCTTTTTGGATTACATTAAAAACGGAACGCAAATGCATTTCGCTGTGGCCATTGATTTCACCGCATCGAACGGTGTACACACCGATCCAAATTCACTGCATTTTTTGAGCTCACAACGATTGAACTTTTACGAGCTCGCATTGCGTGGCGTTGGCGATATTATTCAGTATTATGATAGCGCGAAAATGTTTCCTGCATTCGGTAAAGCATCATTCTTGTGATACAAACTTTGACTATTATTTCCATGAACGCAACTCGAAAATTAAGTTTCATTTAACTGATTCTTGTTACCCTTGATTTATGTCCAGGTTTCGGTGCAAAAACACCGCCGACTTTCCAGGTTTCACATCAATTTCCCCTCAATGGTAAATTCTTGAAAAACGTTCTTGTATAGTTGGATATAATTATTATATCCACTGATATTTTTGCCAATATTAATATTTAATCGGAAATCATTACTTTTTCACAGGAAACCCAGCTCATCCATACTGTACAGGTATTGAAGAAATTCTGGTTCAATATCGCAACCAATTGAGTATGGTCCAACTGTACGGACCAACAAACTTTGCCCCGGTAATAAATAACACGGCTACCATAGCAACTCAATTCCAGGATGGGCGTCATTATTTCGTGCTATTGATAATCACCGATGGACAAATTTCGGATTTGCATGAAACAAAACGCGCCATAATAAATGCATCCGCTCTGCCGATTTCGATAATCATTGTTGGCGTTGGAAATGCTGAATTCGATAATATGGACGCATTGGATTCAGATGATGCTCTCTTGAGTGCTGGAGGTCAACGTGCCAAGCGAGATATCGTCCAATTTGTTCCATTGAACAAGTATCTGTCGCGCAACGGACCGGATCAGTTCATCAAATCACAAGCTGATTTAGCTAAAGAAGTTTTAGCAGAAATTCCACAACAGCTTACCTCTTTCATGAAATCACACGGAATAAAGCCACAAAATGCGACTTCAAATGTGCCTCCAAATAATTCAAACATTGTGCCAACTGCACCCATGTCTTAAAATAGATTTTTAAGAGTATTTTTACAACAAAAAGAACTATTTTTAGTCACACTACTTACTATATTCTCATGCCTGGTGCTCGAATTTTTTGTTTTTTAAAAGCTTAGATATAATCAAAGTTTTCTGCTTTTTTTATTGACGTACAAAAAATATTTACAAAAGTTATGACAAAAGTGCTTTCTATTTTAAGTACGGGTATAATCTATTTAAGATAGAGATAGAGATAGATAATTCATTCCAAGATTTGTTTTAACTCACAATCAACATGTTTCAAATATTTCTAGAGCTCTATACATCGTGCATTAAATATATATCTTTTATTTGTTATTTATATATTGAATTGTATTTTATTCTATTCTGAAGATTTTTTTTATATTAATATTACAATCATTACAATGAAACTATTGTCATCGTCCATTTCAATGTCGAATCGAACAAAGTCTATTGAGTTTTACAATTTTTAATGCTTTTAGAATTGAATATTTACTAATAAAGTGAGTTATTTTGAATCTTCAAAATTGTTTGGGTATTCTTCCATTCCAAAATGCAGAATTCATAATTGCCAGGCTTTGTTATGCGCTAAATCCATCACGCTGAATAAATTCATGCGATAGATTTATGCGATAAATGTGATGCGCTCGCTTTGCGGTGAACGAAGTCTGTTGCTTTTCAGTTGTTCACGAATGAACGTTCATGCTTTGCAGTGAACGCATCGCTAAGCGGCAGTGAAGATCAACAGACCTCGTTCACCGCATAGCGAGCGCATCATTTATCGCATAAATCTATCGCATGAATTTATTCAGCGTGATGGATTTGGCGCATAACAAAGCCTGATAATTGCATTTCGGGTTCGCTTGATCGTATGGAGAACCGAAAATTTTCGTGCCATTTAATCAACAATTGTTATAACCTGTTCCGAAAAGGAAGCTTTCGACTGATCCTTGTGTTTGTCGGCGATTTACATTATCTGGTGGATTTATTGCCGTGTTATCTTGGTGGAATTGGAAAAGAGTTGAAGGGGCACCCCAAAGGAGAACTCTCATCAACCGGAATCGGCGAATGACATGAGTGTTCATGTACGTGTATTGTTGGTTGTTGTCTGGCAAATAAATTGGAATTTCATAGATGAAATTCGGACGAAGGCACAATATCGGTGAAAAGTTGATTTCGCACACTTTTAACGAATTGACAACTGCTTTTCCGGTATAGCTGTATTTCTCCGTCGAATTGAATGTTTCCTTCTTAGCTCATCCAATGCAATCGTGTCGTTTGGATAATAGACAAATATCTTGGAAATATTCAATCAATTCGCTGTGCCATTTTGGAACTGAAAAAGTTGTCCGATCCACTGATGACTTGAAGTAACCGGGTGATTCATGATCGGTGTCCCTACGATCAATTAGTCCAGTTCCATCAGATTCCCAATAATTTAGCCAATGTACAGAACAAGGGGGAAACTACTACTACCGCGTAATTCATATTAATACAATCTAGTACAACACAAATTCTGAAAAATTTCAAAAAATTCTGCGCAATTCAAAACAATTCCAATCGATTCCGATGCTCCTTAGTCAAATTTGGTGATGATCAACTCAAAATATCGCAAATATAGGGACATTTACCATTCATTTGAATGCATATTGAAGATTTTTACTTCCAAAACATATTTGACTTGGTTTGATCTACAAGACTCAATTCTAGCTCTGTTTTCCATTTTGAAAATATTTTATGTATCATAAAGCCTTTACCTATTTGAAGTGAAATATTGAATTGGAAGTGAGACCTATGTACAATTAAAACGCCATATCTGAAGTTATTTCGATAAGATTGAACATCTATGCGCTTAAGCATTCCTTTGAGATGCTAAATGACCCTATATTTGCAATTTTTGAAGTTGATTATCATCAAATTTGACTTAGAAACATCGGAATTGATTGGAATTGTTCTGAACTGCGCAGAATTCTTTGGAATTTATCAGAATTGGTGTTGAACTAGATTGTATTAATATGAATTATGCGGTAGTAGTAGTTTCCCCCTTGGTACAGAAGCATTACCAAAGCCACAAAACAATAGAACTACCGAAAATATCAACATCAACTTTAACGAAAAACTAACGAAAATGTTTCTTATTTTGATGCTGTAGAATTGAAGAAGGAAATGATTAAAGTGTGACTCAACAGAGAACTGTGGAATAGACGAAATGAACGGGAATTCCTTAGATTGTAAAAACGACAGCATCAAATGTTATCAGCGATATTTTGTAACATAAAATTGAGCATTACGAATAGATTTAGCCGAATGTTTCTTTTTTGACGAAATATGATGAATATGAGACGCACGTAAGCAAGTATCACACGATAATATCGCCATATCTGCCTCATGCGATATAGAAAATATGTGTTTTGGACACATTGAACAATTTTGTGAGTAACTGTATGTTTAATTATATATTTCAATGGCAATGAGACAACTCAGTAAAATATACTGTAACAAACACAATCTGTTTTTTAGGATGTTTTTCGTATTATTTTTCGGACGAAATTGAGGTCTTCTAGGTCAATTTTTGTATTTTGTCAGGACGATTTTTGTGATATTTAGGATGATTTTCGTAATTTATAGGACGATTTTTTAGTTTTTTAGGACGTTTTTCGTTTCACCCAACTTTAACGGCAACATTGTTTTTAGTTGTTCAGCTTGGATTTTATGCCTATATTGAAACGTTTTCGAATTAATAGATACACTTTGTCACAATGGAAAGTAGCTTCGACTGATTTGTAGACGCCGTAAATGTATAGCTATTTATACACCAAATTAATTGGAGATTGATCAATTGATATCAATGATTTAGGAATCAATTTGAACAAAAAGATACTTTCATCAGTGATATACTATCAATGTCTTGATAAATTGATATAATTCGTGTTTTCCTTTTCCGTTTTGTTGATAATATATTGTTCCCTGCTCGATCAAGTCACCGAACTATAATTACATATTCGATGAAGAAAATCGCAATGTCATCATTTCATTACAAAAACCACTATTATTGGGTAAATTATTTAAGAATTTGCAACATTTTTCGGTCTTTCCTTTCATAACGGTCTTTTTGAAATCTAAGATTAAAAATTGCATTAGTTTGAACCATAAATAAGAAGAGCAATGTACTGTCGTTTCTTCAGCTTGGGGTCGTTGACGTCATTGCATGTGAAATTGAGAAATAGATCCGTTAACGAATTAGACTTGTATCGAGTTTGCCGTGCGTTAGTTGTAAAAAAAAACAAATGACGATATAGAAATTATTTCAACGCCAGTTTATAAAAGCGGTAAGTTTATTGAAAAAAGTATAAAGAACAGTATTAATTATTATTAATTGGACAGAGAAAAATAGTTTCAACTTCCAGTGCAACAAATGTCAATCGATCGACGAAATATGCAATTCTTCTTCCTATTTTTTTCTTCAAGTCATTTCAGGATCAATTAGATGTCAACGCGGAGCAGGCGAATGTAAATTTCAATGTAATGACATTGAAGGTTCAATACCGGTTATCTGTATTCCGGAGTTGTTATACTGTATGCAACCGTTGAACACTACTTGGAAAATACCATCCGATTTGATGCAATGAAAATATTCGTTGACTTATGTAAAAAATGTTGCATACATATAATAAATTCTATTCAATGTTTTGATATGTCCATTATATACCTATAAAGCGAAAAAAATGCAATGTTGCATCTTGCGACTATCAAATAAATCGAAAGGTTTGAAAAAATCAAACTCATTCTCTTGGTTCAATTAGTTCCAATTCGAAGCCTATCCTTCAGTTGAAATCACAATAATCACAAGTTCTTTTTGAATTTGCTGGAAAGAAAAGGAAAATCTTTGTGAATAATGGCTGCATTTCGTTGCGGTGAATTAGTTGAATTCAACCATTAGATTTAAAAGAAAACCAAACACATTTGGTATGGTAATTAGTTTTTCGTTGCAATGTAAGCTCAATAATCGATCAACAAATAAAATATGGCAAAATGTAATCATTTCAACGCCAATTTATAAAATTGGTGTGTTTACTTAAAACGAAACGCAGTTTTCAAAACGCAACGAAATAGTTTGGACGGAGAAAAATAATTTCGACTTGCAGCAACAAAACAAATATATCAACAAACGAAATATGAAATTCGTCATTGTATCCTTTATTGCTGTGATATTTATTGCTACGATGTATCCGGTTCACGCAGATCCGGCTGGTAAGTGTAATTTTTCTCAGGGACGTTGAAAAAGAAATTGAAAATCTTTGAGGAAAAGATTGAGAACATAGAAAGAAAATATAAAGATTTATTGAGTGAATACTATTTACACGAAGTTTTGAAAATGTTTCACTTGCTCTAGAATATGATAAGTAAGCTACAGTACCACAAAATTAAATATGATTCAAATGTTCGCTGCAAATTGGTCGTGTTCGTCAAGCAAGCAACGAACAGGAAATACAAGAACTTCACGAACATGAACATTTTGTACTATCTGATCGTGTCCAGCCACACCTGGTCCACACATGTTTCTCTCTCTTTAATCGCATCTTGTCAATAAATGATTTTTTTTTTCAATATTTAAAAAAAGTGTATGGACCAAACGAAGCTGATAAGGTGTGTATAATGGGAGGAGGTAGATGTAAAATGAAATGTAATAAGGATGAGTTAACGCTCCAGATTTGTCATTCTCCTTCCAAATGCTGCGTACCAAAAAAACCATTCTAATTTTTCAAACACGTTGAATGTATCTTTAATCAGAATTTAAAGCAATAAAAATGTTCATTTGTTCATGAAAGTGGCCAATTTGATTTGTTTTGAAGATACTGCTAGTCAGGAAGAAATTGGCGAAATACATTTTGAATGCCAGTCTTTTTATCACTTTGTAGTCAATGCCATCTCTAAACCAACTCATTGATTCATTAAATATTTCGAGCAACTTGTTTCAATCGTGTGTGGCTTGACTAGAATATAATCAACTTTAATTTTCGTACTTTCGATCGTATGATGTGCGTACAGAGTACTCGCCACAAAGTTGATTGCATTTTCAATGAAACCAAACACATTTTAATTGGTAATTAGATTCAATTCACTAGCGCGATAATCAGTTAACAATGCATTGATCAGCGGCAATAATTTCGACACATTAAATTTGAAAATAGTTTCAACGATAGTTAAAAGCGGCGATTTTCTTTACCAAAAGACATATATATTTGTTCTTCAATTTTTATTTAAAAAAAAGAAGTTATACACTGGTTGGATGTATGGATTAGAATGGGGGTTTTGGTCAAGGGCGTAATAATCGTCCAATACCAGAACCGTAGCGTAGATCAATGATACACTGGTTATACTATACAATGATACACTATATATACACTGGTTATGTGACCTATTGTAATATAGCGACGTCAATCAGTACACTAACTATTTTAAATAATGTTTCAATGTATTTTCGTTCATTTGGTCACAAATAAAAGCTATAAATTCATGTTTTCAATTTTCCAACTGTAACTTTAAATATTTTCACATTTGCACAGAACGCAGCCATAGAAATGTTATCACAACAAGTTGTCACAAAAAAAAAACATTCATAAATTTCGTCTTAACTTGACAGCATTGCATCAGTTTGCTAGATAAATTGAATATTTCGTGTTGTTTTCATCTAAAATTGAACGTATGCGTCACCAGCGTTCTGGCGAAATTGTGAAATTAGTCAAAGCAATTTGGTTCAACGGTTTCATGAGTTAAGCCGCTGTAGACATTGTGTGGTCTATAAGTGCGTGTGTAAGGGAGTTCACATACCGTCATAGTTCAAATGCCGTCTGTGCTTTGTATGTAAATGAATTTACCAGAGCCGACTCATTTCGCATTCAGAAGAAGTGCTCTTTACGTCTTGAACAACAACAACAACAGATAGCAACAGTAACTGCGCAGCCGCATCCCCTCCAAAATAATGCTTATCTTAGAGTAAAAGGCTGGTGTTATTCGAACAAAAACTTTTCAGAGTGAATATTATTCATTGTAGTGAGATAGAAAACAGTCCAAAGCTGTCAATAGCTGACAAAAGTGCAGAAATAAAAATACTTAGTTTGACTTTGTAATTTCGTTCATTTGACAAATTCACTTTCATTTCGTTTACAAATACTATTTACAACTATTCGAAACAAATCAACGATAAAAAAAAGAACTGATTTATATTCTACACGTATTACAGTTATTAGACTTTTGAAAAAGTCAACAAGTGTTGAAACAAGTGAATCGAAGAAAAAAAAACCTAGAAAACCAACAAAACAAGATAAGATAAAAATGCCACCACCACAGTGGTCCAATACTGGCGCAACGTCAGCCAGATACATAACAGATGATCAATTGGCGCCGTTCGTCAAAGATTTTTTGCCTACCTCACAAGTGGAGCTGACACTGAGCTGCCGAAATTTGATTAACGCTGACATCATTAGCAAATCGGATCCATTCTGTATAATTTGGATGAAAGAACCATGGCAGGATCAGTATTATGAAGTTACACGCACCGAGACTATTGACGACAATCTCAATCCACAATGGGTAAAAAAAGTGATTTTGAACTACAACTTTGAGACGATCCAAAAAATTCAGTTTGAAGTTCGTGACGAGGATTTGAAGGGATCTGATTTCTTGGGACGATTCGAAACAACTTTGAGCGATTTGGTATCGCACAACAGCCGTCAATTCGTTGGAAAACTCAGTGGCATACCGAATCGAAATTGTGGCGAAATCGTTGTGGTTACCGAAGAAGTAACAGCATGTAAACAAATCATTGAAGTTCAATTCAGTGCACAAGATATAGCCAGAACTGGGTGGTTGTGTTTGGGATTGTGCAGTAATGACCCTTTTTTGGTCATATCACGTTCGAATGAAGATGGATCATATTCAGTAGTTGCTAAAACCGCGCCAGTTCTATCAACACAACATCCAACCTGGAGACCAATCACAATTAAAGCAACGACACTATGCAATGGTGATCCAGACCGAACCATCAAGCTCGATGTTTACGACCATAGAAACAATGGAAGTCATAAATTGATTGGAACGTGCCATTCATCGCTTAGCCGCTTGAATTCACCACACGAACCGCCCATGAACTTGGTGGACGACGAAAAACGCAAGAATAATCCCAACAATTGTACCGTTGGCGTATTGAGAGTTGACAAAATCAACATAACCGAAGATGTGACATTTTTGGAATACATCAGAAACGGGACACAAATGCACTTTGCCGTGGCTATTGATTTTACAGCGTCCAATGGAGTCTATACCGACCCAAGATCACTTCATTATTTGAGCGGAAACCGCTTGAATCCATACGAAGTCGCACTCAGAAGCGTCGGCGAGATTATTCAAAACTACGATGAATCACAACTATTCCCGGCATTTGGTTAGTTTAATCACATTTTATCGCTCAGTTTCTGTTGTTTTTTCATTTTTTTCATGTCTTTATTGAGTCTTGTTATGGGTATATCCATGTTCTTGTTTCTAGCGCTATGATTTTAAAGTTTTGATAAATTATAAAAATTTACCGTTTAAATTGCAATTATTCTCATTCAAATTTCCCTCTTTTTCATTCCGAAATGTTAGGCTTTGGCGCGAAATTGCCTCCAACTGGCCAGGTGTTCCATCAATTTCCATTGAATGACAACCCATCACATCCGTATTGTTCCGGCGTTGAAGAGATTCTCAATCATTACCGTATTCGAGTGAAAAGTGTAACACTTTATGGGCCAACAAATTTTGCTCCGGTGATAAACAACACAATTTCCATTGCTAGTCAATTCCAAGATGGTCGACATTACTTTGTCTTACTCATCATAACCGACGGCATCATTTCTGATATGCATTTGACAAAGCGTGCAGTCATTGAGGCATCTTCACTTCCAATTTCGATCATCATAGTGGGTGTCGGTGATGCCGATTTCGATGCAATGGACGAATTAGACTCAGACGACGTTCGCTTAACTGTGGATGGTCGCTATGCCGAAAGGGATATCGTACAATTTGTACCGCTAAATAAATTCATGTCCAAAACTGGATCATTCATCAAGTCACAAACCGACCTTGCAAAGGAAGTTTTAGCTGAAATTCCTGAACAATTGACGTCTTTCATGAAATCACGAGGAATTCGACCACAAATTCAATCACAGAGTGTGCCACAAAATACATCATCCGTTTATCCAACTGCACCCATTTCATAATATACTTAAGAGCATTCACCTTTTAATGATTACCTCATTTTGTTCCGAAAAAAATGGACGAAGAATAATTGTATTCAGAAAGAAAAATCATCAACATTTTTACACTCAATACTGCCTATTCAGTGTTTTGAATCACTTTTTTTGCTTTTTAACGCAATTGCACATTTACAATTGCAACAATTTTATTAAAGTTAGTATGTTTAACACACATACGTGAAATGTCTATCTAAAACAATCTTCTGAATATTAATAACATTAAAGGATATCGCGGGTGGATTAAATATTTATTTAATATTGAGATTCTCGAAGGCGATAAAAGAATATAGTACAAATAAGTTTTCTCTTGAAATGATATTTGTACGCCTAAGTTTTACCACAAGTCATATGTGTAATGTTTTCCATCTCACGTCCACCAAACGGGCAACTAAATACAGTAAAAAATAAAGACAAAGAGCAAAAATAAAAGTTTTAGCAATGACTCATTATTTTCGCGTGTTGTGTGCATTACATTCAATTTGGCGAAAAGCTTGAGCTATTTTTAGCATCAATAAAGTGTCGCCGTTCTAAAAATAAACTCATTAGATTATGCTGACGTCAATGCCATACCCTCTCTTGAGACCAGGCCCATATCATATATTAAAATTATGATCATGTGGCAAAATTTCGGAGAAAACACAACAAGCATTCTAACATGCTATACCTTTCCAAACTATATCATTTGGAATGAGATGACTGACTCATAGCAAACAATAAGGGGATGGAGTACAGAAAAAGCAGCGCAGACTCATTCACATCCAAACATAAATACGCGCGTCAAAATACAATACAAAAAGGATGCCAATATCAAAATAGCTTCATTCTTGGAATGCATTTTGCATTCGAGACATTTGTTTTGGTTGTTAGTAAACAAATAAATGTGTGGCGACGGTAGCAGTCGTTTAGGGTGGATTTTTGTTTTATTTTTAACTTTTCAACCACATTTTTGTCGCTTCGTGTGGAAAATTGTAGCAAACAAAAAAGAATCGATTTAATTGTGTCGCCTGATTGACTCCATTTAAAGCGATTGATATGGAGTGAATAAAGCGATTTTCATCCAGTCATCAAGTCAAACATTCAATCAAAAGTTGTGTTCATGTGGTTAGTGTGATATTGAAATTAAGTGGAAAAGTTTACATTTTTTGATTTTGTGAAATTAGATTCTTGCAAAACAGAGGGAAAAGTTTTTTTTGGTGAAAAATGTTAGCCGTTCACATCAATGTCTCCCATGTACGAAGGTATCGACGACGCAAGGTAAGTCCGGAGCGAACGAAAAATTCTTTGGAGTATTTGACAAATGAACAGCTTGCAGTCTACTTTGAAGAACAATCGAAAAGTAATTTGCCCACTTCACGGATTGAATTGACCATCAACTGCAAGGATCTGTTCACAACGCATATTATTCGAAACAAAACCGACCCGTACTGCGTTGTGATGATGAAACGAGAATGGCAGAAGAATTACAAAGAAATCGCACACACGGAAACCATCAAAAACACCCGTAATCCCAATTGGACAAAGAAAATTCATTTGGACTACAACTTTGAGATAATTCAAAACATTCGATTTGAAATCCGAGACAAAGGTTTAAAAGCGGGCGATTTCTTGGGGCGATATGATACTCAACTGAGTAAATTGGTATCTTGCTATGGCAGTCAAACGGTTGGAAAACTCGCTTGCAGCATCGACGGGATTGGTTACAATGATTGTGGCGAAATTATTATTGTCGCCGAAGAAGTGCCAAGTTCCAAACAAACTGCAGAGATTCAATTGCGAGCGGAAAAATTGCCAAAAGCTTGGCTCCGCAGTCACAAACCATTTCTTCTCATTTCAAGATCGAATGAAGATAGCTCATATTCGGTTGTTACAAACACTGAACCAGTACATTCGGCCAAAAATCCCATATGGGAACCTTTTTCGATACCAGTTGGCATTCTGTGCGGAGGTGACTTTGATCGTTGTTTCAAAATCGATTGCTACAACTACCGCGATGATGATAAACATAAATTGATTGGAACGTGTTATGCATCGCTGCAAAATCTGAAAACAATGTGTTTAAATGGAGAGTCGCGGAGTTTGGTGAATGAAAAGAAACAAAAAACAAGACCAGACTACGTTCCAACAGGTGTGTTGAAGGTGGAAAAGATGAATATATTTGAAGACATTACATTTTTGGACTACATTCGCAATGGAACCCAAATGCATTTTGCTGTCGCCATTGATTTCACTGCATCGAACGGTGTTTATACCGATCCGAAATCATTGCACTATTTGAGCGAAAATCGATTGAACAATTATGAGGTTGCTTTGAAGGGAGTTGGCGATATCATACAGCAGTACGATAGCACTCGGCTATTTCCAGCATTTGGTGAGCTTTTTATCGATTGAATGCTTATTAATGTGTTCCGATTTTTCTTTGATTTTAAATTAACTGGAAGAGTCGATTATTGTATTTCAATAACATTTTAAACTTGGAATAGCGACTCTGTCTAAACATCCTTTTGATTCAATTTTATCACTAGGTTTCGGTGCAAAGCTACCGCCAGATCAGCATGTTTCGTTCCAGTTTCCTCTGAATGGCAATCCGTTGCATCCGTACTGCACCAATATCGAAGAGATTCTAAAACATTATCGCGACCAACTGAAAGCCGTAGAGCTTTATGGACCAACAAACTTCGCTCCGGTGATTAATGACACCATTAATATTGCAAGCCAGTACCAAGATGGAAAACACTATTTTGTCCTCTTGATAATCACAGACGGCATTATTTCTGATATGCATTTGACAAAACGAGCCATTATCGAGGCATCGAAACTTCCTATATCGATCATCATTGTGGGTGTTGGTGATGCAGACTTTGAAGCAATGGAAGTACTAGACTCAGATAACATTCGTCTAACTGTGGATGGTCACACTGCCGAACGGGATATCGTACAGTTTGTGCCGTTGAATAATTTCTTATCGAAAGACGGCGAATACATCAAATCACAAGCCAGTTTGGCAGCAGAAGTTTTGATCGAAATCCCTGACCAATTTCAAAGCTACATGATATGGAGAGGATTTAAACCGCAGACGGATTCAGATTTACCTGCTAACCCATCGTCTATAGTGCCAACGGCACCGATAGCAGCGAGTTCCTAAAAATAACATTTTACACACAAAAAATGATGAAAATATTCACTCAATTTTACCTCTGCACACAAATTGTACAACAATTTTAACGAGTTTTTTCTCAAACCATTTTGATGTTGTTGTTAAAAGTAGCTCTTACTTGTAAACTTTGCCTTGCGTGATACTATCTTTGAATGTGAATTTGAAAAGTAATCGTGAAAAACAAGACCAAAATCAAAATCCAGACAAATCTATTTCGTTTTGAATAGATATTGTTTAAATGAAAATACCAAAATTTACCTCAGGCATACGTGTACTTTCCTATTTAATAAGGACAATCTATTCATTGTATTTTTAAACTAAATTTTAAGAATTGATGTAGTACAATTTTGCCAAAATTTTACAAATCTTATGACCACTATTCTTTGCGATTGCAGCTTATGCATTTTAACAATTTAGATAAATTTAAAGTATTCAACACATACGTACATTAACTCTTTTTTCACTAATATACAGAATATTATATGCAAATATTGCCAATATTACTTCCATGCTTGAATTTACCGCATATTCAAATTGTATGTTTCTTTGTAATTTCATTCATATATACACGGAACGAATAAAGGAAAAAATTTATGCTACAAAATGGGTTCATTCATTATTATTATTCTGGCTGCTGCTATTGACCTCACTCCGGAAATCGTGACCCAATTTCGACTATCATCGTTCACATCAAGGTTTGCTTACGTCAGAGCGTTGACGCCAAAATGATGACGTAAAGTTTGTCCCACATTGTGACTCATCAGAGACGAAATCCATGGAGAAATCCTACTCCTTTTTAAAGAATTCTCCTTCCAAAATGAATTCATTACGGAGCGAACTCGAACATGGCCTGTTGTTTACATTGCTACTCTACAATATTACTCATTTCGAAGGAGAAAATATTAGCACAGACACTGGAGTTCGTACACACATGACCAGCCGAAACAAGCAAAGGAAAGACAATTAGACTCAAAAATCAAAATTTAGATGAAAAAAAACTACACGAAATTAACTATCGGGAAATTAGATTTTTACATTAGAACACAAAGGATGAAAGCAATTGACAAAATGGCCTGGTTTTAAATGGTTGAACAGACGGGGAGAATCAAATCCGCCAACAAAAAATACTCAACATCATATGCTTAAATGTATTTATTCCGTTATTTATTCGCAATATAAAGACTTCGACAATATTTTACTGCAAATCTTATGACCATTTATGGTAGCGAGAACAAAATTTTAACAATAATCTAGAGACAAACCTAATGTAACTATATTTTGCATATTAAGTATGATGTAACTTCCAAGCAAACATGGTTAGCTTCATTGTAAAACTTGTTTTCATTCATACATACGTATACACGGAACGAATAATGGAATAGAACCATTTTACACTCAAATTCATTCATTATTCTGGCTGCTATTGACCTCATTCTGGAAATTGTGACCCAATTTCGACTATCGTCAAGGTTTGTTTACGTCAGAGCTTCTGACGTCATTGTAGAAAACGATAACGTAGAATTTGACCCACTTTTAGTGACGAAATCCATGGAGAAATCCTAGTCTTTTTTCGAAAAATTCTCCTTCCAAAAGGAATTTACTAAAGCGAACTTGATTGGTTCATTTTTGACATTTAAACCAAAGGAGAAAAGTATGGCGCAAACGCAGAAGTTTGTAAACATGCACAATCAAAACAAGCGAAGGATATCATTCCATTGGTATCTATATGGCACGACAGTGACTCATTAATAGTAGTGGCACAAGCGATAGACTAGCGTTTTGTTTTATTTATTACATTTTCACAAACACATTTTTGTTTGTAATGGAAGAAATTATCGATTTCATTGTATCCCAGGAGCAGTGAAAAACCAAAACATTACCAAACAAGCGATTGATTGAACTACACAACATTGCACTCAAGTGAAATTAATGATAATAATTAAGTACTTTAATACGTAATAGAGAGAAAAAAAAACTGTACGAAAGAATCGATTTTTATCAAACGAATAGTGTGCCATCGTCATATTAGTTGAGTGAATAAGATTTTATATTTTAAACGCGATTATAGACACGAAACAACGACAAAATGGCATTCGGGGCAATGGCAATACGTAATAAGGCTCCAAGAAGAGCAAAACAACCACCACCAAAATTGACTCATTCTTCTCAGTACATCACCGATGAGATGCTATCTCCCTACGTTCCGAGCTTTTTGCCCACTTCACAAGTTGAACTGACCATAAGCTGCAAGGATCTACTGAGCACGCATACGATTCGAAATAAATCGGATCCATTCTGTGTTGTGTCCATGAGAAGACCGTGGCAAGATAAATGGAAGGAGATTGCTCGCACCGAAACGATTGAAAATACGCATAATCCACAGTGGATGAAGAAAGTTATCTTGGATTATAATTTCGAAACCATACAAAATATCAAGTTCGATATTCGTGACAAGGACTTGAAAGCGGGCGAGTTCTTGGGCCGTTACGAAACAACTTTGAGCGAATTGGTGGCTAGCTATGGTTGTCAGTCCATTGGAAAACTCATCGCTAAAACCGATGGAGTGGGTCATAGCGATTGTGGGTAGGTTAAAAAGCTTTAAATTTTATTCGTATTATTTGTTTTTATTTAAAATTCAAATATTTTTCAGCGAAATCATAGTCGTGTGTGAAGAAGTGGTGAGCTGCAAACAAATTGTCCAGATTCAATTTCAGGCTGAAAATTTGCCGAAACCTTCGTGGCTGCGTGGCAACGATCCGTTTTTGGTTATTTTACGGTCAAACGAAGACGCTTCTTATTCCATTGTTACATGTACTGAACCGGAGCATTCAACTCAAGATCCAATTTGGAAGCCAATCACCATTCGTGCGACAAATCTGTGCAACGGTGATTTTACAAGATCCATCAAAATGGATTGCTACAACTATAGAGACAATGGAAAGCACAAGCTGATTGGCTCATGCTACGCATCTGTTTACAACATGAAAACGATGCATGAGAACGAAGAGACAAGGGAATTGGTGAATGAAGAAAAAATGAAGACGAAGCCAGGCTATGTTCCATCTGGTGTGCTTGAAGTTGCAAATATTGAAATTACGGAAGAAATCACGTTTTTAGATTACATTCGTAACGGAACTCAAATGCACTTTGCTGTGGCCATCGATTTTACTGCATCGAACGGTGTACATACAGATCCGAAATCGTTGCATCATCTGAGCGACGATCACATGAACAGCTATGAAATTGCATTGCGCGGCATCGGAGACATCATACAGCAATATGACAACTCTGGTCTATTTCCAGCTTTTGGTAAAATTGATTACAGTTTTCTTTGCCTGTTTTTATTGTTGGTTCACTTTAATCATTTTGTCCTTCCATTTGTTTCACAGGCTTTGGTGCCAAAACACCTCCATCCAATCAAGTTTCATTCCAGTTTCCTCTAAACGGGAACGCACAGCACCCTTACTGCACCAATATCGAAGAGATTGTCAAGCATTATCGTGATCAATTGAACGTTGTAGAGCTCTATGGACCAACTAATTTTGCACCTGTCATAAACGACACCATTTCCATCGCAAAGGGATTTCAAGATGGAAAACATTACTTTGTCCTCTTAATCATAACAGATGGTATTGAATATTGATCGTTAATAAGAAAATCTTTACTATTTACATTTTTTTTCTTTTTACCAGGTGTTATATCTGATATGATTCGAACCAAAAAGGCCATAATTGAAGCTTCGAAATTGCCCATTTCAATTATTATTGGTGCGTATACTTTTGCGATGATTTTTGGATTTTTTATCAAAAAAACATTTGAAAAGAACCATTCCGTACATTTTTTCCAAACACTTTCATTCTGTCTAATGATAACGATTTTTGATCATTCAGTGGGCGTTGGTGATGATAACTTTGAAGCCATGGAAGAGCTGGATTCGGATAATGTTTGTTTGACCGTCGATGATTTGGTTGCAGAACGAGATATCGTGCAGTTTGTGCCGTTGAATAGTTTCTTATCGAAAGATGGCGAACATATCAAATCGCAGTCGGCATTGGCAGAGGAGGTAAAATTGATTGAAATTTTCTTGGCATTTGGCTCATTTTAATAATCTCCCATTTGCTTCACACAGGTCCTTGCAGAAATACCACAGCAGCTGACTTCTTATATGAATTCATGTGGATATAAACCGGAGATACCATCAAGCATGCCACCAAATCCATCGGTTATAGTGCCCACTGCACCCAGACCGACAGAGTCAGATGTTTAAATGAAACATTTCAAAGCTTTTCAATACATGTTAAGGAACCAAGTTATTACAACGAAAACAAATACCACACGTAGTTAGCAACGGTAGCTCAGCGGCGACCAGACAGTTGTCGCTACTAGGGTAGAAGCATGAGAGCAGAAAAGAAGAAGCATAAATAAGATGTTTACTTCTTCTTCTATTCTTCCTTCTCTACTCTTATTCTTCTGTACTAGTAGCGACAACTGCCTGATCACCGCTGAACTACCGTTGCTACGAACTCACAATGTCTATGGAACGATGTGATATGTGGCGCAACTAGGTGATGGCCGCAGAAGTTCTGTCAAAATTTATACACAACCAACTTGACATTCAGTTACATAGTTCAGCTAACCCATAGTACATCCATCCATGGGCTAGGTGCGCCACCAGCGTGAAAAAATATGACAGTATATGATTAATACACAGCACATTGTGAGTTCGGTTGCTACGTGTGACAAATACTAATAATCAAAATTGTCGAATCATTTTCCTCGATACAAATTTTAAAATATTCAACATAATGTGGCTTAGGAGTGATCACTGATCCGTTATCATTGATAACTTATCAATGATGACTATATTACTCAGTAACAGGTTCGTGGTGTCAATAATTTTATTTTATTTTTATTTTATTTTTTATTGAGTATGAGGTGTAAATAACGGGAAAAATCCCTTTTACAATTTATCACCTATAGTTTGTTTTTACAATTTGATAGTTACTTTGGTCAAAGCATTTAAACATTTCAGTCAAAATTAAAAAAGAAAATTGAAAAGTGAGTGAATAAGAAAAAAGTAAATTTAGATTTTTATGAAAGAAAATAATATATTAAATACGTCACTCTGGTTTTCCAAGGAGATTTTTTTCTATGGCTGTTCGATTTAAATGGATCTTAACGATGTTTCAGAAGAGAATAATAATAGGCTTAAAAGCCCAATGATATCTAATTTTTAATGAAATTTCCACGAATAATTATAAAAATATTACGGACCTAGAATCAACGATTATTTACGAAATGAAAAACAATTAGTTACCTCATAAGTATAAATGTAAGCACAAAACCAAAGCGGGTATTGTCACGATATAATTCCGATCGTTCCTTGGTTCGTTGTTGTGTTTCGAACATTGACTGTAATCGTTGCTTCTAATTATTAACCGTGTTTTCGCTTGCTTTACGCGTGTTTTGCTTTTTGCCCTCATTAAAAACGACTAAAATATTATGATAAATTGAAAAAATTAGTAAAAGATTCTAAAAAAGCTAACGAATAAAAAAAAATTAGGTATAAATTTAAAATTGTTTCCATTTTCAATGTTTCGAATTTGCATGAATAAATCTAAAAAATCAAAAATCAGTATGCATGACCCATCAAACCGAAACGGTGACTTATTTATGGCTTTGTTAAAGCCAAGAAATTGCGTGTGAAAAATTTATAAGTCAGAATGTTTAGAATTATTGGGTGGAATATTGGCGAAACACGCCATGCACATCACAGTTAGGCATCGTCATTTATTTAGGAGGTGTTTTTCTCCCCCTAAAACCAGTTCTACACTCGATTGAACAAGAGTTTCACATGCTTTTAACTTGTTTTTTACGGCCAAGTGACTCAAAAACTGCGCAAACTCATTGTTTCCATGGCACGGTAGAATATATTCTATAGGCACAGACTGTATAGTCACAACAGATGTGACGGTGACAAATCTGACGTGTGTAGTGTTTTGTTTACAAACTCATCTTCATTGATGACGTTTTTGAGAATAAATTCACGGTGTGTCATTATATCTAATCAACGTGGACATAAGTTTTTTTTTTTCAAATTTATCCGTTACATATCGTCGAACGTTGCTTTTGTGAACGAAAGGATTTTCATTTGTTTGGAAGGGTGTGACCTTATTGAAAAACTTTGACAATAAAGGAAAAAAATATTTAAAAAGATGAACGAAATATTTGAACCGTTCTTGTTAAATTCGACACCAACATCCCAATTGGAGCTGACAATAAGCTGCCGAAATTTAATCAATACGGATCTTCTATCAAAAAGTGACCCTTTTTGCATTGTGTCGATAAAGGAGTCTTGGCAAGATCAATATTATGAAATTGCGCGCACGGAGATGATCAGAGATTCCCTCCATCCACAATGGGTGAAAAAGGCAATTGTAAACTATAGTTTTGAAGCAATTCAACGAATCCGATTCGAAATACGCGATGAAGATGTTACGGTGTCCGATTTTCTGGGTGAATACGAAACGACGCTCAGTGATTTAGTTTCATACAGTGGACGGCAATACATTCGAAAATTGCATGGAGTGGAAGAAAACGGTAAGGAATCCGCACGCCCAACGGGTTACGGTCAAATTGTAATCGTCACAGAAGAGTTGTCTTCTTGCAAGCAAATAGCTGAGATACAATTTCGCGCCACTGATTTACCAAAACAATTACCATTACTCAGGAACGATCCATTTTTGGTCATTTCACGCTCGAATAATGAAGACGGTTCGTATTCGGTCGTTGCAAAAACTGATCCAGTGCGCTCGACACAAAATCCATTGTTCAAACCAATTTCCATCCGTATACAAACTCTGTGCAATTCCGATTATGAAAGAGATATTCGAATTGAATGCTACGACTACCGAAGCAATGGAAGTCATGTACTCATTGGAGCATGCTATACGTCGCTTAGGAGTTTAAATACACCGAACGAACCACCGATGACTCTGCTGAATGAACAAAAGCTCAAAGTTCAAGCCACGAAATGTACTGTTGGAGAGTTGAGCGTTGTAAAATGTCACATTGACGAGGAAATTACGTTTTTGGATTATATTCGAAATGGAACACAATTGCATTTTGCCGTTGCCATCGATTTTACCGGATCGAATGGTGTCCACATCGATCCAAATTCATTGCACTATCTCTGCGACGAACGATTGAATAGCTATGAAATTGCTATATCCGCTGTCGGCGAAATCATTCTACATTATGATAAATCAAAGAAACTGTTGGCTTATGGTGAGTGTTTCTATTTTTTTTTTTTGAATAGAAACTACTTCAGGATTCAATTTTTTTTATTTACAATTTTTTCTCAAGGTTTTGGAGCCAAAACACCCCCCAAATTTCGCCAGGTGTCACATCTATTTCCTTTAAATGGTAATCCTTCGGATCCATATTGCTCTGGCGTCGACGAAATCTTGACTCATTACCGCAACCAATTGAATACGGTGCAGCCGTCTGGGCCAACATACTTTGCTCCAGTAATAAAAAATTTGATTTCCATTGCAAAAGACTCTCAAGATGGAAGGCATTACTATGTGCTATTGATAATCACAGACGGATTGATTGCGGACATTCAACGAACAAAAATTGCTGTTGTAAAGGCATCGGTTCTACCCATTTCAATAATCATCGTTGGTGTTGGCAATGCGGATTTTAAACAGATGCACAAGCTCGACTCAGATCATGTGCGTCTGAGTGTAAGTGGACGTAAGGCTGAACGAGACATCGTACAATTTGTTCCACTTCACAAATATCTTTCGAAGAATGGCTCGGAACAACAAGTAAAATCAAAATCACATCTAGCGAACGAAGTCCTGTGCGAAATACCTGAACAGCTAACGAGTTTTATGAAATCACGCGGATTCAAGCCACAAATGAGAACGATGCAAAATACACCGTCAAGCTCGTTAGCCGTTACACCAACACCCATTTGAATCAATTCATCATTGCTTAACGATACATCCATTCAATCTATTCATCTACGTCTACACTGAGAAATGGCTGGAAGGAAATATTCCAACCCTGCGTTCTAAATGTTGTCATTGCAGATGATTTTGTAAATTGTCCAACCATGGTTGGAATATTGATAGCATTTTCGCACTTGTTGAATTCCAACCATGGTTGGACAATTCACAAAATCATCTGCAATGACAACATTTACAACGCAGGGTTGGAATATTTCCTTTCAAACTTTTCTCAGTGTATATACATGAATTTAAAAAAAGGCTTCACACTGAATGACAATCAAATCAATTGCAATTTCAAATTTAGAAAACATTTTACCACTACTTATTACTATCTATTTATATATTGTTGAAATATTTTTAAATGAACCGAAAAAAATGGCAACCATCGAGCTAATGCTCAGGTCGTTCATACCAATGAACTTTTCCACCGTACAGTTAGTTAATTATACGGTAAATGTTAACGAATAAAACCAAAAAGAGAAGGAAAAAAAATGTTAATCGACTCATTTCGTAAGTGCACTTTTTAACGCTTGAAAATGACTATTATTATAAGCTTAAGCTTTTTGAACAAGTGTTATTGAATTTTAACATGAAAACTCTATTTTTAAAGGGAAAAATAAAGGGAGAGAATAGAAAAAGTGCTCAACACATGTTAGCTTGCCATTCACGGCGACAAAAGATAACGTGAGATTTAATTAACATTATTTGAAACGGCTACTGAAATAAAACATTTATTCAAAGAAACAGTTCTGATAGTCTCATTGTGTCATGCAAAACAATAATGCTATGCTTGCCATTGGTTGTTCCGAAACAATGAGCAAATGGCATTACAATTACTTTACGGTTTTCAAGGTAAATTCGAAAATTGCGTGCCAAAACCGTGTAAGTTATGTGACTTGTGCCAAGATATGTAGAACGACGGAAATCCGTTGGGTGGGAAAATTGACCATGCACAAGGCTGCCCAAGAACATCCACAACGAATGTGTGTATTCCCTCAAACCAACAATCGGCACCGCCACCGCCACCACCACTACCACCTTCGTCGTGGCCCCATGTCTCATTTGCCATTCTCACAACATTGTTTTTGACATTTTGTGACAGGCCATGCAAAAACTGCGCAAACTCTGGCAATGGGAAAAAAATCGTTTGTTTCCATGGTATAGAACATATTTTCCAGAAACGCTATAGCTATATATGGATGAGTGTGGCTACCAAAAGTTGGCATTTCGTGTGTAGTGTGTTTTGTTTATAAACTTATTTTCAATTTAACCATGTTAAACTGTGTAAAACTGTAGTGAATTGTTGAATTTTATTAAAATAGTTAAGAATTTTAAGTGAAAAACACCAAAAAAAATACGAATAATTTAAAGCACAAAGGTATTACCTAACACCTATCGCATTGAAGAAGTCGCGAAACGATAACTCACACGTACAACGTTTTATACTACGAAGACGAAAAAAACGCGGGGCTTACTTTTTGTTTGTATGGCTGGGGGTGTGAACTTGAAACGCTCTAGAGATTGCTATCGAAAAATCGCGATACAAAACGAAAATGCCTCTGAAACCGTGGTCAACGAATTCAGCTTATGCACGAACGGTTACAAATGAGATGCTGGCACCATTTCTGCCAAGCTCTCTACCAACATCACAAGTGGAGCTGACATTAAGCTGCAGAAATTTAATCAACACAGATATCTTAAGCAAATCGGACCCGTACTGCTTGGTGTGTATGAAAGAGCCATGGCAAGATCAATATTACGAAATTGCACGAACCGAAACCATTGACGATACATTGAACCCACAATGGATTAAAAAAGTATTGGTCAACTATAATTTCGAAACGATTCAGAAAATTCGCTTCGAAGTGCTCGAGAAGGACGTGCAAAATGACGATTTTCTTGGGTTTTTCGAAACAACCTTATCCGATTTGGTTTCGTTTTCGGGACGACAATTTATCGGCAAACTCAATTTGCCAACACATCCGAACAAAGATTGCGGTGATATTATCATTGTGACAGGTACAGTATGCAATACACAACACACTTCCGCACAGGTACAGTACCAACGATTTATCTTCTTACAGAGGAGGTGATGAGTTGCAGGCAAATTGCTGAAATGCATTTCGAAGCCAGAGACCTTCCAAAACAGATGCCCGTGTTTCGCAACGACCCATTTTTGGCCATATCACGAAGCAACGAAGACGGTTCATATTCGGTGGTTGCACGAACCGAATCATGTCGATCCACATCAAATCCGACATGGAAACCAATAACCATTCGCTTGCAAACACTCTGCAACGGTGACTTTGATCGAGCAATTCGCATCGATTGCTTTGACAATCGAATTAATGGCAGCCATAAGATAATCGGTACATGTTACACATCGCTACGGAATTTAAACAATCCAAATGAACCGCCAATGAATTTGATAAACGAAGAAAAGCAAAAAATCACACCAGAATTGGCAGCGGCTGGCACAATGAAAATTACAAAGTGTAGCATTACGGAGGAGACTACATTTCTCGACTACATTCGAAGTGGCACACAAATGCATTTTGCCGTTGCTATCGATTTTACTGCATCGAATGGACGGCACAGCAATCCAAATTCCCTTCACTATCTCAACCCCGACCATTTGAATAATTATGAAGTTGCCATTTGTGGTGTTGGTGAAATCATCCAGCATTATGACAGCTCGCAGTTATTCCCAGCATTTGGTAAATGAAAATCGATTTTTGTTCTTACTTTTACACACCTGAATCATAGTTCCATTTACTCGGTTGATGTTGTGTTTTATGAATATTTTATATTTTGGTGTGTCCCACGTGTTCATACATATACGCCTACTTATTGAAATGTTTCTATTGCTCGATTGTTGGCTCCCTGAAATAAGGTCGTTCTCTCTCTCTCTCTCTCTCTCTCTCTCTCTCTCTCTCTCTCTCTCTCTCTCCAAGGCTTCGGAGCGAAATTGCCACCAAATGGAAAGCTCAGCCACCTGTTTCCACTCAATGGCAATCCTTCATATCCATTTTGCGATGGCGTAGAAGAAATTCTCAAGCAATATCGCATTAGATTGAAAAATGTCGAGCTTTTTGGGCCTACGAATTTTGCTCCGGTGATAAACACAACAGTCACAATTGCAAGGCAATTTCAAAATGGACGTCATTATTTTGTACTTCTCATCATAACGGACGGAGTCATATCGGACATGAAATTCACTAAACGGTGCGATACTTTTACTTTTTATCTAGCTTTTTTACCATATACTTTTTTGGTGTTTTTTCGATCTTTTATCGAAAACATTTGAAACGAATCATTTTGCATAGTTTTTTTTTCAAAACAATTTCTCTCTGCTCATTAATACTGATTTTTGATTTTTCAGTGCCATTATCGAAGCGTCATCTCTACCCATATCCATAATCATAGGTAATGTAACCCATTTTTCTTTGTCCCAATTTATTCAAAACGGTTGATTTATGGTTGTAATTTAAAATGTTTCCTGTCTGTCTATGGTCTGTTTGAGAAAGACCCATTTTGGTCGATTACTATATCATTATACTAATTATATATAAAATATTCAACATTTTTGGTCGTTCAGTGGGTGTTGGTGATGCGGTTTTCGACGCTATGGATGAATTGGATTCGGACGATGTTCGATTGACTGTGAAGGGACGTTATGCTGAACGAGACATTGTACAATTTGTTCCATTGAACAAATTTCTGGCTAAAAACGGCGAAAGTATCAAATCTCAGGCCGATTTAGCTAAGGAGGTGCGTGCGATATTAATTTATGTTTCCGTTTTGATTTATCGTTTCTGAAGAGTTTAGAAACGTTGACTATACTTACTACACAATTGGACAATGCTCCAATGTGAAGCCTCCACATATATGTTTAAATGTATTTATACCCAGATTTATACTCAATATTGATTGTTCCACATTCCTCCGCATTTCCGACAGGTTTTAGCCGAGATTCCTGAGCAAATTACAAGCTATATGAAATCGCGTGGCTTCAAGCCGAAAACGGTTGAAAAACCAGCTGACGAAAAATTACCGAATGATGCATCTGTTATTCAACCAACCGCACCCATGCTAAACCCTTAAATTGTTAGTGTTCAAACCACAGGCAGAAAACAGAGAGAGATTATCTAGATTTATAACAGAACAAACCAAACCAAAAAACCACAACCATTTAGATGGTTGAAAAAATGCTTAATTGATATTTTGCATAGATTTTTAATTATTGTTCCATGTAAAGTGAATTGTTCCTGTCATTGGATTAGTGGATAAGTGTTTACCAATAGTTCAAAAGAAGAAAAAAAACCAACCAACCAACAAACAAAAGAAGATGAAGTCCATTTAGACGCTTTTTTTTAGTAATTTTTTTTAGTCATTATTTATTAGTCGATGAAGAGTACAAATTTATATGAGATATTTTTCTGATTTTAAGAGAAATGTGTCAATTTTGATATTCACACACATAAATACACACACACACAAACACCGACATACCAACAGGTTAAGGACGACGTTTGAGCGGGACGACAACATTTTCTGTTAACCTGAAGCAAAAAAGACTGTGACAGAAAATGGGCATGTCTTCCTGTTGTTACGAAACAAACGAAGAGGGTATGATTTTTGGACGGAAGTTTAATAAATTCATACGAAACATTTCAGGGCTACTACTCGTTATTATCGAGAAATGAGCTATAATAATTTATGCTTGCCATGTAAAATGCATATTATTATTAATGTTAAAGGTGTCCAACATTCGGACCACATATTTTTACATTGCTGATTAAATATATTTTGGAGAAACACAATTGAGGGCCTAATGCACCTACGAACAATAACAGCAGTAACAACAAAGAAAAAAAAAATAAAACAATCTCTTCACGATGTTAAAGAATTCAAGTCTCGAGTCTAGACTTTACTCTCAATCTCTCAAAGCCAATCATTTATTTTTCCACCATGTCGTCTTAAATGAATTGTATAAGTTTAAAATTAATTCTTAAATGTGCTTCTTAAATGATGAATCGATTGATTTTTGTTTCATTTTAAATGTGAGTCTTTTTTAAGCCGAATCCACAGAAGGATTATACTTACTACAATCATTGTCATTATTCTCTTCTATTTTCGAAATGTTTAAATGAGTGTCTATTAAGCGATGTTGTGCAGTGATATTATCTCTCTAGAAGTGACAACCGTGAATTTCAATTTCAACACAATCAATTTCAAATCTTATTCGAGAATTCGCACAAAAAAAAAATCATAAATAAAGAGTTGTTCAAAATTAAATGATTCGTTTCATTTCTTGTTCATTACAAATGTTCATGTTTGAATATGTGAAACTTGCAGTTTACGCGCGGGAACAGAACGCAGCCATTTTTATTCTCTCGTCAATGTCGTAAACAAACCGGGAATGAACTGTCACAATGACAATCTGTTATTGCATATCATTGTACAATCTGATTGCATCGATTTAATTGGTGTTCAGCAAATTGTTGGCTGATTTTTTCTGAATTTTCAACGATATTTCATTTAATCTTGTAGAATTTGATAGGTAGAATAACGAAAAATACAATGAGTGGTAGCGTTGTAAATGTACTCACGCCAAATGGACGTCGGCAAAACGTGAAGGTGCAACCAAATACGGCAATTCTGAAGGTAACATCATTTTGCATTTAACAAATTGACTTTGTAACACAGACAGCTGCTGTCATTTTCAGGTTCTAGAGGAAGTATGTGACAAGCACAAGTTTGATCCAAATGAATATGACCTAAAACATCACAAACGAATCCTAGACCTAACCACATCGTTCCGGTTTTCCGGCTTGCCAAATAACGCGCAATTAGAAATGGTTGAGGCGCAGAAGAAGCGAACAGATGCTGAAGTTGAACTAGTCGTACAAATGGGTGATGGGATACGTGTTGATGGAAAATTTAAACCGAATGTAACACTTTTGGATATCATACAGCAACTGTCTCCCAATGAACTCACCGGAGAAGATTTGTTTGCCATTTACATGCGAACCGAAGTGTCAAGTGACAAATTGGAAAGTACGTCATTGAAAGATTTGGGTTTGATTAGTGGTCGGGCAATTATTCGACTGATCCATCGTGATCCAAATGCAGCGAAAATGTAAGATTTTGAGCAAGCTTGATTGATTCAATTTTTTTGGCTTGTTTCTAGCTATACGACTAGGCAATCATCTCATAACACGATTCGTGTGCACGTTTCAATGACATTTAAATTTAGATTAACTGTTTATTGAACAATTTCATTCTAGACAAGCAAACGTGGCACTGAACTTAGCCAAACCAAATGAAGCAAAGGATAAGGAAGAAGAAAACCGAGGAAATAAAATCAGAAAAACCGATGACTTGACCAAAAGTACACCCAGTACTTCACAATCAATAATCAATGTGCTGAAAGAGGAAAAGAAGAAAGAAGAAGCATTGAAACAGGATTCCATTGAACAATCTAAAATACAAGGGGATAAATATGATGCAAATATTATTGATCTAACTCAAAGCAGTGACTCTGAGGACCAAAAGCCAATACCAGAAGATGAAAAGATGGTCATCAGTTCACCAGAACCGCCTGTTGTTGAAGAGGAGGTTGATGAAGATCCCGGTGAAATACACATTGTAAGTTTAGCCTTTGACTTCATAACGTATTATACGGTTCGGAAAGAATTTTTTTAGCTTAGAAATGTACTAAACATTCTATGTGACAACAATCGTACATTAGTTCAGTAGGCTTTGAACCTTACCTAATTTCAATATTTCTTACTTCATTGTTATGCAGTTGGGTGAACGAAATGCGGTCTTATTCACTCAAGATGCAGCAAAGGCAGCCAATCTGAATGATTTACCGGATTCATTCTTCGATTTGAATGTGAATGACATCAAAGTATTAATAAAAGGTTTACGAACTCAATCGGAAGGTACGGTCGAACAACCGTTGCTGACAGCCAAATTGCGTGAAATGGAAGAGGAGCAAAAACAATTATCATTGCTAAACCAATACAAAACGGTCATCATTCGAATCCAATTTCCCAATCGATACGTTTTGCAAGGAACATTCACTCCATACGAAACCATCGCAACTGTTACTGAATTCGTGCGTCAATACCTTGGAAATCCAGATATTGATTTCTACCTTTGTAAGAGATTGAACAAATTTCATCCAGTTTCCCTTTTTTTTACATCAATATGTTTAATGAACATTTCGTTTCATAGATACAACCCCACCAAAAAGCGTACTGTCGAAGGAATCACGACTCTTCGAAGCCAACTGTGTCCCATCAGCAATATTGCACTTTGGCTCGGAAGAAAAGCAATCAAATTACCTGAAGGAAGACATTCTTGATAAAGTTTCATCACCCAAAGCATCGTTGATCCAAGCATTGGCCGATCGGTATGTTCTATTAGACTGAAAATAACCATATTTCTCTCTTAAATACACTGTCTTCTTGACTCAATACATACATTTGATGTCAGTGCATGTTTATCTTCATGAATGTGTTATATTGAATGTAGTAAAGTAAATTCAGTGCAATTTCAATTGCAACTCAGCACTCTATCGCCTCTGTTCAAGTTCAGTAATCAAAGCGGATCAATATTTTTCTTGCAGGGGAATCAAACAATATGCGGAAGCGTCAAACTCAAAGTTAGGCAACGAAAGCAACCCATCAACGTCTCAGCAATCTCGCAAGTCGAATGCTGCAAACTTCAGTACATCATCAAAAACACCATCAACCTCTGGCGATGCCAAGCTGCCCAAATGGTTCAAGCCATTCGGAAAATAAGACATAAACGTACAACAAAAATAAAATTGCATACATTCACAGTGATACATCTTGTTATTGCATTTTTCATCATTTGAAATAAAAACAAAATAATTTTTTTTTCATTCGTAAAACATAAACTACGTTTACATTATGTTGTTCCACTTATCGGTTAATTTTTATATCTAAACGTGTCTACTTATGCTGTCATTTTGTTGTTGCTGCTGTTTTTTTCTAAATAATGATGTAAGTGAATCTCTTGAAAAGATGCGGTGTGTGTGTGTGTGGTGCATAGTTTTACAAAAAGGGCATCAATACCGTTTGTCTCCTTTTTTTGTCTATTTATTTCTCGATTGTGTGTGAATGACACAAATCATAAACAGATTTTGATCACGACATGAAGATCACTTTCTCTCTATAAATACTCTTTTTTTCTTCTAACATTCAATTCAATGGATTTCGATTGTAAGTGCCTAACACATAGTAAAATATCACTTTGGGTTCAATGGGTGAGAAAACTTACTGGATTACAGTATTGATACCCTTGGAAATCTAAACACGTATCGTAAAAATAGTATAGTCGCGCTGTGCAAATTTTTCTTTAGAATTATAGTTCCAAATATGTTTTCATTTCTTGTCTATAACAACAAAGTGATCTAACTTGTCTAACAACTGCGAATGGTTTGCTTAAAAGTGACTGCATATCATTGTTCTTGTTTATCTTCTTCTTCAGTATTTGTTGTTGTTGTTGCATGAATGGAACGTCGTTTCAATGTATATCAGCATAAGGCATTTAAATGAAAGAAAAACTTGAGCACATTTCGATTGCATCGAGTCTTTGTTTCACATACACGGTGTTATTTTGGTATGAGTTGATGATTTTCACAATTGATTTTGTTTTATCTTATTCAGCCAGACCTTGTTGACATCAATCGATGAAGTGGCCAACGTTTTGCTACACACAGATTATGGGCCACAGAAGTAATGAACATGCTGTTTCCAGATTTGTTTTTGTGTTGTATTTTGTTTGTCTCCGCCCCGTCGGATAGTAGCGGCACTCAATTTCAAATAGACATTTCTAATGCTAAAAACATTCAATTCGCGCAATATCCAAAAGGAGGGATAGAACATAAGTTTTCATATCATTTGTTTGTTTGTTTGTTTGTTTATTCTTAAAGATGACGAAAAATCAGTCAAAATTCTTTTTTCCCTAAAAAAAACGCTCAACTGTTCTGTCCGCATTTATATGGATATGATAACGTCAATGAAGACAGCAAAAAAAGAAAACATGTGTGGTGTGTGTGTGAATGAAATGATTATGCAAACGAAATAGAAAACTTAAAAACAAAATTGAACTGTGTCTAGACTGTGTCGGTCTGTGACAGACATCTACCTAAATAACGTCACTTATCATAATCTCTTTTCCAGTTTAGAAACTCAAAAGAAGAACGAAAAAAGAAATGTGTTCATAAAATATAGATTACAAAATTACAGATGGCTCCAATTCTCAATGGTGAGTTAATGCTTGTGTAATTGTGACGTTGTTTTGTTTTGCTGTTTTCGAAATTTATTCCAAAGACTAATTCATAGTGTCATATTTTATTTATCTGCAAATGCCTGATGGATGTGTACACACAACAAGCACGCAATGCGATTGGATTTTAATGGTTCTATTTTCGTTTTGTTTTTTTTTTTTCCTTCCTATTCTATGATTCGAATGTGCTCTTCCATGTTATCTAATAGAAACGGTTGTTGTTTTTGCTTGGTTTTTGGTTTCTATGGTACAGTTGGCATTTTCAATAGTTTCAAACACACAATATCAACAATTTATAAGATCGAAGCCTATAGACTTTTTTGTGTTACAATTTTTTTTCTCTCTCTTCTTCTCTCGATATTTTCTCTTCTGTTTCATTCTCTAATTCATACTATTATTGAATACAATTTGTTTTTTTTTTACCGCATTGATGAACGATTGGACGCTCTGTATCAATGCTGGTAAAGTATGTTCAATTACAATTCTTAGATGTGTGAATCATGCACAGACAATCGAAAAAAAAAATACTTAAAAATGTGTGGCTGTTTGATTTGTGTTCGATTGAATGTTTGTTTTTACATCCGCGAACCTTTTTGCTGCAGAACTTTGGCTCTATCATTTGATTCCTGTTCCCGGCCAATCGTTGGACCAATACACTCCTTTGATACGACACACAAAAATTCGGCAGTTTCTTCGGATCCGTAGTTGTATTGTGTGCCAATGTTTATCAGTTGCTCGAAACGCCAACCATCCGACATTGTCGACACCATCTACAGCACAAACAAACGATAACAAACGAAATGAATTTTATCGGGCCAAAGATAGAAAAAAAAATGCACTTTGACACACAGAACATGTGCATTCGAAATGATTGATACGAACCTGTGTTAGTTCATTCTCTTGACACTGTAGCACGCGATAGACTCGTTTTTTATCTAAGGCAGGTCTGTTATCTCTGAGTGTAATGCATTCCTTAATTAAACCTATTAAATGCGTTACATTATAAAATTCGGCTTCCTCAAGTACACCCTCCTCGGATAGACCATCTAAAACTAGTTTGCCGTGTCGCAGATAGTTCAGCACTGGTGCAAAATATCGTGGATCTCTGTCAATCAAATAGGCTCCAGTTTCATCCTAGAATACATCACATTAACAAACACAAACAAACACAAACACAAACATCATTATTGTGAATCATTCGTGAATGAAAAGTGGAGGATGAATGCATCAGTCATCGTGTAAAAATGTATGTCATGTGTATGCATTGTATTCGATATACAGAAGAAGAAGAAAGAAATAACACACAAAAGCCATTAGATAACAAATGACACGGAAAGGATATAAAGCGAATAGAACATACTTTGTCTGATATTAGGTCACTGTCTTGAATGAGACGCGCTAAAAAGGAATTTGGATCGCGTGAAAGAGTGGTTTTGGTTGTGAGAAAGCAAGTGCCACCCACATTTAATCGAACCCATTGATTGCTGCCCTGTTTCGTAAGCATATTCGGACTCTTTCTCGGATTCAAATTCACCGTCGACATTATTATTGTTTTTGTTCGGAAATAAATTTTTGGTTTTTTTTTCTATTTCTTTTCACGCACGTTTACACTCTTTTAATTCTCGTCCAAACACACACAAAACATCACGATTTCACAGCAAAAATAAAACCAAAGAAGAAGAGAAAAAACGCGAAACGTTTGTTCTCTCTGCCTGCTTTGATAGATGTTTCCACCAATGAACTAAAACACATACAATACAAGAAATTGTTGTTGCCTTCATCGACGCACCATATAACTTTTGCAATAAATTCTCACGCACACTGTGACACGCGAACCATTTGATGACAGATTGGAACACTCTCTGAATTCCGACGGATTGACTGTGTGTTTGGGACACCACAACTTCAACAAACTCTGATGTCATTCGTCCCAAATGTCCATAGATTCGTTGCAAAAATGTGTTGTTTTGCCATATTTTAGTCAATGCCGCGCAGTACTTGGCTTTAATCATTTCAAGTGTGTCACTATCAAATCGACAAAAATAACCCAAATTCATGCAATGTGATTGATTCATTTTTATTCGTAGAAAAATTTACTTCTGTAACGTCTAAATCGGGTAACACGTATTTCAATATGGTATTGCTATGTGTGTGCTCATCAATATGATGGCATACACACACACACAATTCACTTACATACAGAAAATTTGACATAATCACGCAGTTGTCAAAATTTTATTTTCCCATTCAATTCGGAGAGGCATACGAGTAAGAGAACAAATTTTTAACTTCGCAAATTGCATTCGAGTTGACGTATCTACCTATCTAATATATTTTTGGCCTGCGACGAAATTTTTGTCAAATCACTTTTACGCAGCAATACAATTTTTTTTTCGTTCTCAGTTGGGTCTCACGTGTGTGCATTATCAATTTGGTGTTTGATAAAATTGGACTCTTTCTCTCTATCCGGTTGAATGCACAAGGAAAATTGATCGTTTCACATTTTATTGGTTCGCACAATTTGTTATTTTTTTTTGTTCGTTCGGTCGTTGCTGCTGTTGAGTGAGAGAAGTGTATGTGTGTATATTTGAACAGCACGCAACTGGTATATTTCAAATTTGCGAGTAGAATAGAGAGGAAATAGAAGACCCTATAAATTTTCTTTGGTAATTTTGGACGGATTTGTTAATAAGAAACTGAATAGAAGAAGGCATTCAACGTACAATCAGTTCGAACAAAATGCCAGTCAAATGTGAAGTGATTCCACCACCATCGCAGAGCAAACAATTAGGATTTCCAAAAACACTTTTATATAATGGTTCGAAATTTGAAGGTTCACAAAAATCGAAAGGCAATTCATATGCCGTCGAAGTTGTTTTACAGGTATTTTTTTTTTTGAAAATATAGATTATCGTGTTTGGTGTCTAGCTCATCAAGATTTTCAACTGTGATAGAAGTAATATAAATGCAAAAAAAAAAAAAATACTTGCATTGTCGTCACATTTCAGCACGTTGACGAAGAAAATTCATACTTGTGTGGCTATTTGAAGATTACGGGACTCACATTTGAGTATCCCATGCTGACGACTTTCTTTGACGGTGAAATTATCTCAAAGAAATACCCATTTTTAACAAGGAAATGGGATGCTGACGAAGATGTTGACAGAAAACACTGGGTATGTATGACTTTTTTGTGAAGTTTACTCTCTGTTTGCATTGAATAACACGTGAGCGCATTTATGACGTGATCGAATTTGTTTTATAACCTGCTGTTGTTTTTTTTTTTCAGAGCAAATTCTCTGCATTTAAGAACAAATACGAGAAGACATTCAACTCGGATAATTTTGACTATGACAGTTTGGCGAAGAGCGATTATGTATTTATGCGATGGAAAGAGCACTTCTTGGTAAGTTTGACATTTCATCGATTGTCAATCGGCACCTTTTTTTTCTACCGTGATGAAATTTAAATGTGAAAACGATTAAACAAACAAAAAAAAAATCACTGATTTCAGGTACCTGATCACACGATCAAAGATATAAATGGCGCATCGTTTGCTGGTTTCTACTACATCTGCTTTCAAAAATCAAAAGCCGAAATGGAAGGCTATTATTATCACAGATCATCTGAATGGTAAGCAATTTTTTTTCCGCATCTCAATCTTTATCTATCGTGTGCTTTTGATCCTTATTAAAAATTCAGCGTTTTTTTCTCATCGCATAAACAAAAACTAGTGTTATCACTACATCATTTTATTTTTTTCTTTATCTCTGCATCCAATCAGGTTTCAGTCACTAACTCTAAAACATGTACCGGAGAGTTGCATCCAAATCTACGAATTCAGATGAACTGTGTGCGGGCACGCGCTGTATTTAACTTATTGAAATTGATTAAGTGCTGTTTTTTTTTTTTTTGTATCTGTTGGTTTAGTCTCACGTTTCGCATTGCAGCAACAATAACAATAATATTTAAACAGAAGAAAGCAGATGGGAAAAAATGCAACAATCTTGTCTTGAACAAAGCAACGCTAATGTAATTTAAACCGCGACTCCAAAATCCTAGCCCAAATCATATATTTTACCATAGATTTACACACATGTATCCAAAATGCTCTCAATTTACCTGGGCAAGGAGGCAAATTTGTTCATTTTTCGTAGTGGTTTCGTCCATATCAGGCAGGCTTCATCCCAAATTGGTTGAAATTAAAAAAAAAAAACAGGAAGAGTAGGAAATCTGATTAAATTCAAACAAAAATTAGTGCATATAAAATTTTATAGTTTAGGGCAATAATAACAAATTGCAATATCGAACTTGATTAGTTCCGAAACTGACTTGCCAGCCCGTTAATCCCCACAACAACAACAACTGACTAAAAAGTAAATCGTGTTTGGAAGTGCGTCCATTGTCATTGACATCTCAAACAGAGGTGCGAATCAGTGGAGTAATGCATTTCCACGAAAAATGATGATCTGACGTTTTGCCAAAATTCAATTTCCACATAAAAATCTTCTTTTGCATAATAACCGATTCAATTTCGACAAAAAATCAGCTGAATACTATTTATATGAAAGCAGGTTGTACAAATTCTTGCAGACAATTTTTTATAGATATTTATTATCCAAGAAAATGGCCAGTTTTCAGCTGATCAAGATTGTATTGAAATGTATATTTAGTGAAGCAAATATGTTTTAGGGATAAATTGTTGATTTTTATGAAGAAAAATGAAAAAAAAAAACCAGTTTCTTGCAAAATGAAAAGGAACAAATTACTCGAAATTAAGTTAAACAAAATGGTATCAATAATATTATTAATAGAAACAAAAAGGAAACAGAAGAAATCTTTTTTGTAATATTCAATTCGAATGGGAAGTTGTTTCTCAATGTGATTTTATGCGACAGACGAGGAAAAATAGGTACTTCAATTGTTTTCGAGTGCTTTCATTTTGTTTTCTATTTTGATAAATATTATCGATGAGATAGTATGATATCCAGGAAATATCAACGAAACAACAAAAATAACCAACCAACCAACAAAATAGAAAAATAAAATATTTTATATGAAAACAGATACAGAAATAGAGAAAGCGAAGTACAGCCATAAAGTATATTTAATGAATAGCCATGACTAAATCTAAGGAAAAGAAAAATTCGGTCGCAGTTTTTGACATTTAGTTTTTGGTAACGAGAAAGCTCATATTTTCCCTCCCCCTGAAGAAGATTGTAATTTGTTTTTTTTTTTTTCAATTCAATAAAACGTAAATGTAAGCCAGGATTAATTTCTAATTTGAATTTTGTGTCATGCAATATTTATATATATTTTTCCACATGTTTAAGTTTTTTTTTTACCAAACAAAAATTGAAACCGCACACATTTCGTTTTCTCGATTTCGATGATTTCAATTGAAATGGATGTATTGTAAGAATTGTATGCGGCAACGCTGTGGTTTTTTTTTATGAATGAATTTGGATCAGCGCATGATTGTTTCAAATTACACAATTATTATCTAATCAAAGTGCTGTTTCCTTGTTCGCGTTTTTGGGAGATATCAAGTCCCAACAGCATCAACAAATTGACACCAAAATTAACAACAACATATATATATGCTGTTTTATCAGAGAAAAAAAAACCCTGAATACTTTCAATGTGTTACTTTATCCAAGATTTTTTTCTTTCAACAAATTTTCGGTTGCTCTTTGTTTTCGTCTCGCAAATATTTTGTACTCTATTCAAGTTTTTTTTTCTCTTTGTATTCTGATGAGTCAATTGAGTTATTATTTTGTGTGTTTGCTTTGTATTAAACCGAAAATGTTTTGGTTCCAATTGTGAAATTCATATTTTATATGAGAATGAACTTCATAGCAACCAAACCAACAATTGTTTTTCTTGATGAGTTTTTGAAATAAAATAACAATTAAAAAAAACAGAGAAAATATGGTCTTTTATTAGGTGTAAACAAATTTGATGGAGATTAGCATCGATTGGAAGGTTGTTTTCGTCATGAGATCATGAACGCGCTGAGTGCGACCATCTTCAGAATTCATTCAACAAAAATGGACATTTTGTGGGTCTAAATGGGTGCACATCCAAACCAAGTTGTAGTTCCGTTTAAAGTCAGCCAACACTTCGAATCGTTTTATGCACAGCAAACGTTGATCATAACTAAGACGATGAAATGTGCTCAAAGCACTCGAAAATAGAAAGTTGTTTGTGTTGTGTTGGGTGCGATAAAAGGTAGAGTGGGGAAAATACCGCTCAAACTTTACACTCAAATCGAAATGAGGTAACGGACTTATTCGCTGTCTGTGCTGTGCTGTTCTTCGTCTTAGCTTCAACTGTAATGTGTATACCTGGCGGCATACGTGCGGCTTTGTAAACATGAGACTCCAGCACAAATTGCTGTTTTATTCCCCGTATTTTCATTTCTGTTAATGGTGCATTGGTACGTGTGCTGCTTGCTCACTGTGCTCATGCATAAGTGTTTACCTGTGCTTAGCTTTTTGCCACACAGTTGATCGTTGCAACCGGTTTCAATGGAATGACAGTTGAATGCGAGCGTCTGAACGGTGAAGATCACGATTCTCCGATACACACGGTACATCAAGCCCTCTTAAGACATCTGCCGAGCGAAACGAAAACAAAACGCGAAGGGAAATAAAAATTATATACGTTAAGTGAATGGATAATATTAATGTGTTCTTAAGTGAATATCGGCATTTAAGAGAGAAAGCTGCTTTGGAAAAGTTTATGATTCTCGAAAGTGAGAAGTGAGTTAAATCTTTGGAACAGAAATAGTGTGAAAAATTTAAAAAAAAACCAACAAAAAAGAATTTTATCAATAAAATCTGTATTGGCATGAAATAAATGGATAAAACAACATGAAAGTTTAAGAAATAAAAGAATTCGTTGCACTCGAAATAAGAACGTAAGAGAAAACGAAAGAAAATTTGCATAAATTCGTTGAAGAATCGTGTTGAAAAGCAAAAGACAAAACAAAAGACGTGAACCCAATCATCACTGGAAATATTACTGAATTTGAAAAAACAAAAACAAAACGAATTGCCGTACATTTGAGGCATTTTATGCAGAAATCCACCGGCGAAAAAAGTAAGAAATTCGAAATTGAAATTAGAGTTTAACGTGAAAAGATATCGAATTCGTGGAACTAAACCCGCTGGCTGCAGGCCAAACATTGCATTGTTTTAATAAAACAAATTGAGTTTTTGTCTTCGAAATGGGTTGAAATTTGTTGATAAACACATTGAAGATAACCTGTTATTTTCATCTTGACACTCGACACCGAGTCAATAGAGAGATTATTTGGAAAAGAAAAACATCTGTCGGCTTTTATTTGCCATCGTCTTAAATTTATGCAGCACCTTGCAGGTTCTTTTCTCTCAATCAATTTGGTATGAATGTGGCGTCATGTGTTTACCGAATTAGAAAGTCATCCCGCCAGTGTGCCTATGATTGTTTTTCACGGCACAACATTCTCTGCATGGTTATATTTGCATGGCATATAATCATCGAGGTTTTCAGAATGAAAGTAAAGAATTGTTGTTGGTGAAAAATGGTGACACCGTTTCGACTCACTCTTCTTTCGCCGGAAACGCATATCAAGTGCGACGTTGAATGTTTTCGGTGTGGCTTTGTTTCTCTTCATTTTTTCGTTCGTTTAAAACAACAGCAGCAAGTTAATCGTTAACAAACTGCCCAAAAAATTCTCCACATTTGAATTGGTCACGTACATATTAATCACCATAATTTCACAAGCCGACGAACAGATAAGTACGTGGAAAGTTTAAATGCGCCACACTTTTCCCTTTTACTCTGTTCTTCTTTCTCACTCCCTGTCTCTCTTCCTAATCGCCAGTATTTCTTCGTAGTTTTTGTAGTAGAAAGACAGAAAAAAAAACCATGCCATTCATCGAATATTCAGTAAATGTCGATGAACAAGACCAATGTTTGCACTTTATTTCGAATTGTTGTCGAGCTGTGATCTCATCTATTATGCGGTCGATGTGTGTTAACACTGAATCGATTAGAAACAACAACAAGAAAAAACTCACCACATTCAGCAAACAAAAATAAAAGACCGTTTCGAAGAAACGTTAAACATGTGCTTATAGACTTTATGTTGTTGACTCGATTCGAGTAAATAACGCAAAATAATTCGGAATGCAAGTTCCGTGTGTATTTACTCTACCATCCCAACCTAATTCCATCGTGCAAAGTTTGCGCCGCGAACCAACAATAAAATATAAAGAAAACAAAGTAAAAAAAAGAATACAAACTGCGTGCTACTAATTCAATTGAAACCCATGAAATTATGATCGGCTAAATGTTCTCTCGGACAACAAAACACGCATTTTTCTTTCTCGTTGCCTGTCTTAATCATTTTAATTTAAAGAAGGGCAAGAAAATATGGTACACAGTGACACAAAAGAAGCGGAATATGCACGCTGATGTTTTATGTGGTAGCTCTCGCGTTGCGGTTAAAAGCGTGTTGACATTTTTAATTGGCCTAAATAATTGTGAGTGGTAAATAAACCGCGGAATATATGGGATGATCTAATTTTTGATATGGTGATATGGTCGTTTCTGTTGCGCAAAGATTCTACGGAAAAAATTTTTTTCTCAGAAATTTGAGAAAGAGATCTTTGCAAAGAATTCAGTCGATGTGAACAGAAAACAGGCGAAGAAAACTGAAAACAAACCAAGAATATCCAAGAATAAATCCCGGAAGACGCGATGACAGAATCACTCTCTGAATCACATCAGTATCATTTAAGCGATTGGTTACGGTTTATTTTCCCTGGGTTGATTGATCGTCTAATTACTGCAAACTATTTACACTCAATCTGTGTGCGCTCAGGAAGTCAGTAAAAATGGAAAAATGCAATAATCTTCGTGCAACCCACTTAATGCGCTGATATCAACAACGAAAAATGTTGTGTGCACAATTGGTGCTCCTTGTTTTTTTCTTGCCTCCATCATCGTTCGATGGTTTTGTGGCTGTGTAAACACGTTGGTTGGTTTGTTGAAACGTTTTGTTACGATTTACCATGCAGTTTCTCTTTTTTCTTTCTGCGTCGCCGAGTCCATTCTTTTCATTTCGGTATTCTTCCATGGTGCGCACACGTATCAATCCGTGAAATGAACGCGCCAAATTGTGCGGCGCATTTAGAAGAGATTCAATTAAAATGCGCTGACGTGCGCGCTCGCGCGCACTCGAGATCGTTTGCTCTCAGTTGATGCGCGCAGAGTTGCTGTCGCTTGTTAGTCAGAAAAATGGTTTATTGTGAGCCAGATTTGGTGTATTACCTTTGTTGGGTTTGAATGTGCATTTCATGCAATTTGCTTGGCTCATACTTTTCCCTTCTTTTGGTTCGCA